AAGGAAGCGTTTCCGACCCTATAAAGTATATATATTATTGATCAGGGTCACTAGCCGAGTCGATATAGCCATGTCCGTCTGTCCGTCTGTCCGTCTGTCCGTCTGTCCGTCTGTCTGTCCGTCTGTCTGTCCGTCTGTATGAACGCTGAGATCTCGGAAACTATAAAAGCTAGAGGATTGGCATTTTGCATGCAGATTCTAGGAGTTCCTACGCAGCGCAAGTTTGTTTCAAAAAGGTGCCACGCCCCCTTTAACGCCCACAATCGCTTGGATACGATTTTAAAAATTTAAATATTTCCGAAAAGTAAAAATGCAGTTTTATTGAGTTTATCAATACCTATCGAAATGTAGAAGAAATTTTTCAAATCGGACCATTCGTTAAAAAGTTATGCGTGATCAAAGTTTCTATCTCCATCTCCCTCGCACTCCCTTTACCTGAGTAACGGGTATCTGATAGTCGGGGCACCCGACTATAGCGTTCTCTCTTGTTAGATTTGGACTCATACAAAGTTGATTAATTGGAAAATATTTTTGCTTAATTTGACTTCAGTGGTTCTTTGATTAAATAAGGACCCGTGAAAAGGTGTATAGTGCTGTCGTCATCTTTTAAGATTTTATTATTAATTCGAAGTGTAAATTTTATTTATTTACTTTAGTTCTAAGCTATAGTTGACCAACGAAAATTGGTCAGTTTGTCGGCATGCAAATCGAAATCTGGTGACCCCGAGCCGCATCCAAAACTGGGCGGTAGCTAAGTTGATGTGGGTTGGTTGGGCTATGGACTGGATTTGCAGCCAGCCCCCACAGATGGTTCATCTGTGATGGCGAGATGGCAATGGCAATGCCGTTGGCTAATGGAACTGGCATTGGGACCAGAACGAAGACGAGACTGACACTCAGACGATGGACCGAAACCGAAACAGAGACTGGAGACTAGAGACTGAAGACTGAGGACTGGGCACTGAAGACTGGGGACTGGCAGTTGTTAGGTGGTTATCTGGCCAATGCCATATAAGTCGAGAAATGCGCAGTTAGGCAATCAATGGCCGGCCATCCGGCGTCGTTTCTTGGGCCCAGGGATTGGGGTGGAGGTAATCGCAATTGGACTTCGACTTGGTGTTGGAATCGGAGTTGGACTTGCAGTTGGAATCGGCGTTAGGAATCCGCAATGACACTGCCCCAGTGTCTCGGCCTCGGTTGGTTTGTGGCAAAGTGTGTGAGATGATTGGCAACGGTTTGTTGCTTGGCCAGCTTGCTTACCTGGTTACCTGTTCACTTGCTCGGTTGCCCATTTCCTACCTGATCGGCGGGTTGGAGGTGCCGCCACAGACGCAGACGCAGGCGCAGACTGTGACCAGCCGGCGGAGCAAATACCGTTTTGCTGAATAAATATAAACAAAAAAGAAGACGCACAAAAACACTGGCCAACAAGTGGAAAAGATCACGATTGAGTAACTCGACTACTTGATGCCTTATAATAAAATATAGTATGCAGTTTTAGCAGCAAGTTCAGAAGATTAGGTAATACATGTACTACTATTAAAGATGTCGTTTTGTATGTTTTGTATTTTCAGGAGCAGATTCCTAAACGTTACGGACAAACAACTCTGTATAGATAAATCATACTTAACTCTTTGGGAATAGCAACACCCATAGTAGTATCTCTTGAGCTGACAGAAGAGTAATGGACAAGTATTTACATTTTTTGACAATTGACTAATATGCCCCGCAAACTCCAAAAGTACCCTCTTACTTGAGTAGCAGTTGAAGTTGAAGTTGGTGATGCGACGGCACTTGGAATGCGTTTAGTCTCCCCCGACCCCCTGACCCCCCTTGACCATCCCCTTCACCTCCCCCTCCACCCAGCTGCGAATGCCTGGAATGTTAATGCAGCTACTTCTACTTGTGCCTGTTGCCTCGGTGACAACATCCATCGCCACTGGCGGAGGAATGGGCACAAACATTTACCTAATCCATTTCCCATTTTCCAAAGCGACTGCTCTCGTTGCCGTTCTCGATTCCATACCCATTTGGGAGTAACTTGGAGGAGCTTTCTTGTTTATCCACTAAATATTAAGGGCTGCCACCCACTGTAAGAATGTAAAATATGTTTAAAATAATACAAATTTTTAAATACATTTCCAGTACCAAGTATAATAATTTTAAAAAATTTTGTTTTGAAAATCTTCTTCACTAAATATATTTTCTATTTATTTTTTGCTTAAACTGTACACGTTTACGTTTCACTGTCGAATATTACAAAAATTAGACAAATTCAAAGAATGAAGAGATTTATTTTTAGCAAATCTTCAAACTAAAGTTGCTACACATTTTTACATAGCATAATTTAAACGAGGTTCATTGCTGTTTATGTACGCATACAAATAATATTACAAAAAATATATTTACTATAGACTATTTCACTAAATATTTTGTTAACATTTTACTTAAAAAACCCTGACAAGCCAAAAAAAAAATACAAACATAATGGATTAACTTTCTAAAATAAATAAATGGCTATATTAAAAAATAATAAATTTAACAAGTGCTTTTTAATATCTAAAGGCATCAATTGCTAAAGCGATAACTCGGAATGAAGTTCTAATGTCGGAATTAAATATTTAAGTGGATTTTCTTTACATACTACTACTTGAAGAAGCCTCTTCGTTTATCTTAGCCTCTAGCCTAGTCCTACTTTGAATTTATAGTGAGTATGGGACTAGTGGTGGCAACCACGATTGCCTTTGCCGTCGCCGAGGGCTTTGTCTGTTTCGCGGCTGATTTCTCAGGCAGGAAGTAGCCCAGGGAGCAGAGGAGCACCACCAGCGCCAGCAGGGTCCAGAAGATGGGATCGCAGCTGGCGAAGAGCAGGCGGCCGAGGAGATTGCTGCCCACCACCGCACCCAATCGACCCACCATCATGATGAAGCACATGCCCATGGCATTAATGTGCGTCGGGTAGAACTCCATGGCGATGGTGCTAACCAGGCCGCCGCAATTGCCAATGGCCATCACCACGGTGAGAGAGATGACGACCAGCGCGAACTGCTCCACGTAGTGCAGGGCCACCAAGCAAATCATGGTCAGCAACATCCAGGCCACTGGAATGGAGGAGGGATAATCGGGAATTAGGAGGGTCCAATTAACACCCTTCGCAATACTCACTCAATAGATTCTTCTTTCCAATATAGTCGATGATGTAGGCAAATATCAAATAGATCATCACAAAGCAGGCCCCGATGATGATCATCACCTGGTACGTGGAGGTGTCCACATCCACGGAGCAGCTCGCTGCCTCCTCCCCCGACCCCGAATCCACAGTGAAATTCTGCAGGACTTGGCAGAGCAGCACATCGTCGCCATTACGTGTGCCCAGCTCGTCCAGGATGGTGGGGAACCACATGAAGATGCCCTGGGCCATAAAGTAGATGAGGAACTGGATGGTGCAGATATTCAGGGTGTGCCACAGCCGGGAACGGTGGAAGAGTGGCACAGTCTGGTGCCACACAAGACGCACTGCGTCCAGGAAACCATGGACATCAGACAAACTGGCGCCACCGCTTTCCAGAGCCACCTCCTTAACCGGATATTCAGAGGGATCCCTGCCAGAATTCTTGACAAAAATGGCGCGCAGAATTTTCAGCGACTCATCACCACGTCCCTGAACCAGCAGATATTTGGGCGTCTCGGGCAGAGTGCTGATCCCCACGAGAGCTAGCAGGGAAACAGAGACGTTGGCCAGGAGCAGGACACGCCAAGACGAGAAGCGCATGCCAAAAACAATGGTCTCGATGCGCAGAGGTAAAATTCCAATTGCCATCGCTGCAAAAATCCGATAAATTGATTATAAGTATGTGTTTTTAAGCTAAATCGAAGACAACAATGCGTATGAGTTATGTCTCTCAGAAACCTATGCAATAATATTAAGTATTCGCCTGTACACCCGAAAAATACTTTTTGGACAAAAACAAAGAATGGAAATAAAACGAGAACGGAAGGTAGCATGGGCAATCCGAAGTGTAATACCCTTGCAGTCACACCGAAAATAATTGACAGCGTGCAAAGCGCTTATATATGTACTTAGATGACAGCTAACGTTGAATTCCTTATTAAATTTCCAATCAAGGGGCATTCACAGCTAAAAACTTTAAATATAAAAATCTTTCGCAAAAAATCATGATGCTAGGCCCTTATGAAAAATATTTTGTCCAAAATCCGCAAAAAACCAGCTTTATTTTTCGGTTTTTTAATCAAAACCCTGGGAAATAGTGGTCGAATGTTAAATGTCATACCTCGTTGAATTCGTTATAAAATGTCCAATCAAGTGGCATTCTCAGAAAAAAAGACTTTTAAAAATATTTTTCGCCAAAAAATCATGGGGGTACTCCTTATGAAATATATGTTGACCGAAATCCGAAAAAATCTGGTTGATTTTTCTGTTTTTTAATCAAAGCCCTAGGAAATATTGGTCGCATATTGGAATGCCATGCCTTGTTAAATTTGTTATAAAATCGAGTGGCATTCACAGCAAAAAAATGTTATCTTTAAAAAAACATTATGACCCCCTTTTAAAAATGATTTAAAGTCAATTTTCGCTAAAAATAATGTTTTTGTTTTCACACTCACCTGGAGCAAATATCATGGCCATGCAGAGGAATCCGGAGAGCAGGGTCACATGCCTGACCCGCGAAGTACTGCCATGGAACTCGCCGCACAAGCTGAAGACGCACGCCTGTCCGCCGGAAATGAAGAAGCCTGTCAGGAAGCGGAACACGATCAGCATCCAGATGTTCACCGAGAAGCCGGACACGATCGAGCACACGGAGCTGAGGAGCAGGGCATATTTCAAGGTGGTGGCCCGACCCCACGTGTCCGCCAGAAAGCCCATGGCATGGGAGCTCAGGACCACGCCCAGGAATCCGGCCGACGCCAGGATGCCCTGCTGATCCAGCGTCGGCTGGAGGTCGCACTTCATCTGGTTCATAATCAGACTCACGCCCATGATCTCCACCATTACGGCCATAAAGCAGAGTCCGCAGATGAGCAGCAGCTGGTAGTGGAAGCGGCCCACTCCCGTCAGCGTGATGGCCTCCTCAAAGCTATGTGGTCGGGGCTTTTCCGGAAGACTCTCCTCGCGGCCTCCAGCAATGGCTGTTAATACAAAAAAAATATAAGAAATATTGATCAAGAATTGAAGGAGATTGCTGGAGTAAGGGATGTAACTTGGAAGTGCTTTTAAAAATCCTGCCCGATGCAAGCCCTCATAAAATATGAAAATTTCATTTGCATAAAGAAAAACATTTCCGAATATTTTAAATCAAATATCGCTAGAAATTTTGAATTAAAAATTTTTGTGACTTAAACGATTTTTATATGCGGTGAAAGTACAGAAAATGACCAAAGTAAACGATACTATTCTGGTCAACTTTGCAAATGCTTTTTTCCAGTGAGCACGTCAATGAGGATCAGTCAATCACTGTCATTTAATGCGAAACCCTATAGTTTATAGAATAATTAATGTTTCCCATAAGTAGCTCGGATTGCAAACAATCCAAGCTCAGTTGCCGTTTAATCATGGCCTCAGCCGGTCTCAATTTGGGCGAAAAATCGGAGGATAGCCCGGAAGCGCAGGACGATGTTCGCCTGCCCAAGGAGCAGCCACCCTCACCCTTCTTCGAAACGAAGACCTTCCGCCTGATCTCGATTTTCCTTTACCTGGGAGGGATCAGTGGCCTGGGCATGGTGCTGGCATTGTATTACCTCATCTTCTTCGACTCCAGTATGCCGGACATCCACCTCAAGTTCCCCGTCTCCATTGGCGGCCACCCAGTGCAGAAGGTGCACGAGTACCAGTGACCCACCCTAGCCTCCTCACATGGCAGGTGGGTTGGAGGGCAGTCGGGCACTCTGCTGCTAATTGGATTTACGAATGCTAGCAAAGGTAGGGAAAGAATGTGCATTTGGAACACGCGACTAGTAAATGCCCTTGGACAATTTTGAATATCCGTGGGCGTATTCAATATTAATCATCTTAGAAATTATCTAATTAAATATTAATATTGAAGAAAAAGAAAAAAACTTAGTGTAAAGAGTGTAAAGAATGGGTTTATTCCTCAGGTTTAAATTAAGGAATGATAATTAAAGTACGCAAACAAGGGAAAAGCGTATAATTTGAAATCGCTTAAATAGTGCATTATAGTATTGAATATATAAATCTAACAAATGAATTTTAAGTCAAGATCCAAGAATATATTCGCAATTTCTGAAATCTATGTGAATGAATACAATTTGAAGTCTCACTAATCCTAGAAGCTTACGAATTCTTTTATAATCAAAGATACAACTGGAATCTAAAATGACATAAAAGCTTGCAATAATATTTTAATTCGAAAATATAACTATTAAAATTGTTTCCAAATCGACTAACCGAGAGTATATAAACATTTTCTTAAACTAAGATTTTTCAAAATTGGTCAATTCTAGATAAATGAATAAAAAGGTCGATCTAACTAATCCCAGAAGCTAACAAATTAGTATGTACCCCCTCCTCAGACACATTCACTATCCATCACCATCGTCACTTTTCATTTCCTTGACCAAACATGAATATAGACTCTGCATACTAAATTGGCTAGAATAGAACAGAACAGAACAGAACGAAAAGGAATGAAGTAAAGTGGGTTGGAATCGGGATTGGAGGAGTGACGACGTTGGCGGGAAATCAAACCGGGTCAAGTGGTCTCCCAAGAACGCAGCACGTGATGCGGTGGTCTATTCGAGCCCAGTACTGGTACTCTCGTAGTGCCATTGGCGAATCTTATTAGCGTGGCCCCCAAGACGATGCCCCGACGATGCCAACCCCCAAAGAAACCGCAAAAAACAGTCGAGCGGAATGCGAAAACAGGGGTACAAGAACAGAAAAAGAAACGGAACCGAAGACCAGATACCAGATCCCCGGGCAGTCGGAGCACTCGCTCAATTGTGTTCAGTTCGTTCGAAGAGACGGTTACGGTTGATATTTTCATTTTGGCCCTTCCGAAAGTGAACCGACAGCAGCGGAATGAGCGGTCCCTCGGGATTGATGGCCAACCTGGCCGAAGTGGTAAAGGAGGCCAAGGACGAGGAGATCCAAATGCCCAAGTCGAACGACTTCTTCGAGTCGAAGACCTTCCGCCTGCTCACTCTGATACTCTACATGGGCGGGGTGAGCGGCATGGGTCTGACCCTGGCGGTGTACTACCTATTCATCTGGGACTCGCGCATGCCGCCACTGCCCGTGTTCAAGCACACGCATCCAATTGGCTAGGATCATGGCCAAAAGCAGCCAGCACTCTCCCATCGACATTTGCGACCAGATTCGGGTGAGTGTGGCCACCTGGAATGATCCCGATTTGAGGGCTATGTGACAGTGCTGTCAGTTCAGCTTTTGCTTAATTAAATCGGAAATATTATGGTATAGTTCATAAATATACCATACTAATGTCCAGTAATTTGAATTATGCCTCAAAAACTTCAAGTCATTTTAAGGGTTTAAAAAATAAAAAAACCAAAACCACTTTTAATTATATATATAAATTATATATATGTAAAAGTACCTTTGCCTATATAAATACAAGCCTAAGAGAAATATATTTATTGAGGTTAAACAATTATGAAAAAATTTTTATTTATATATAGGTTGTCAAGAACTACTCTAATATCATTATTACATTATACTTATTTTGACCAAACAACCACTCTTTCGCCCAATATTAGCCAATATTAACCTATCAGACCATAGATGACTAAGCTGTCGATATCGGACGTGAATCAATTATATTTTTCACTTAAAGTTCTCATATACATAGGCTTTTAAAAAATTACTTATATTTTTTAAAACCGACTTTACAAATTTTAAAAGGAAATATGATTATTTGGATCGTAATATAAAATAACTATCAGTTTATTACTAGAACACATTTTTAAACTAGATGGAATAAATCGAAAAATAGGTGCAATCCGCCTTTAAAGCATTCACAACTGTTGGCACTTACAATTTGCAAAACAAAACGGTGCTCTGTTTTATTAAAAACATTATTGATGCATTTATGTTTTGTGAACTACTTTGCGATTGGTTCCTCCACCGCAAAATAAAACTTTTTTATTTGACAAAAACTGTCAGCACTGATGGGGCGTTCTGGTTCTCGTCAGTGGGTGGCGGCGGCTTAATTAGCACCCGTGGCCGATATCAAAAGTTGACAGCCAGGCAGAAAATAATCCGCTTTGCTACGTGCCACTAAATCGCAGAGTTGAAACCAACTATTCGCATTGGTTCTATCCGCACCAGGGGATATGGCGTCACCCGAGTGATTTTGATTTAATCGTGGTGGCGACATCAAATCAGTAGTTGGCACATCGCGAGCTGGTCTGCCACGAGCAAAATTATATCCGTAATGTCCACCCCGGAATCGGCAAGAGTGGGCCTGGGAAGTAGTGCGGCCAGCATGGCGAATCTGGCCAAGATCGTCAACCTAATCGAATCGAATGTGAGGGCGGAGGAGGAGGACGAGGAGACGGAAAACAAGGGATCAACCGGAACCGGAAGTGGCAGCAGCGTTCGCTTAGCCAGCAGCAGTGCTCCGCGTAGAAGCGCCTGTGCCACATCATATGTGCCCAAATCGCCGCAGCTGGAGGAGATTATGATCGCAAAACCAACCTGCACCGAACGATTTGCACGCTACTTCGTAATCGTGATCTACCTGTGCGGACTCTGCTGCCTGGGATTCTTCCTGTCCATTTATCACATCTTCTTTTGGGACTCGCGCATGCCGCCCGTCTACAAGGGCCAAAAGAAAGGACCTGCCTTCGGCTAAAGACCGGGCGGGATCAGAGAACTTAATCCACCAAAACAATCCTAACTAAAAGAAACGTATTTTCGGTTTTGGTAAGGCATTAGAAAATAATAAGTTAAATTGCAGCTTTCTACGATAAACCACATCAAATAGTTGGCTTGGGTATTAGGAATACCAAATTTATTGCAAAAACACAGTTTTAGGGGATAAATTACTTTTTGTATAAAAATATATTAGCCATATTCAATATAAGGTTTACATAACCATCTGTGGATGAAACAATTAGTAAATAAATTGTTATCCCTTAACGTGACGTATGAGTTATTTTAAGGGGCAGAACATTGGTCACCCATACGCAGTGTTGGCTTAGAAACCATTTTTTATTTTATTATTTAATCAATTGAAAGTATTTTTTTTAATTGTATCTATTTAATAGTTCATAAAAATGATATTTTAGGTACTTGGCATGTGATATAATTTTAATTTAATTTCCAAATTTATTAATGACAAATTTGTCTGAATTTAATATTTTATTAATAAATTTCGAAAGAAAAGAAACTTTAGTCAGGTTTTGATGATTCAAAAAAGTTTAATACTTTATGTAAAGCATTTATTTAATTAAGTAATTTCACGATTTAAAACCTATTGGACCAAGGAAAATCTAGTTGTATATTTAACCTCGTCTTAATTTTATTAAATCTTCGTTACAACTAATATAAAGTCAATATCTCACAAGCGTTCAAATTAAGGCCGTTAGTTCTTATTAAGTTGATATGCCTCCCTCCACGTGCATCTTCCTTGGCCCTAAAAGTTTGCGCCCAAGCAAAGTTTAAGTTTAATTATGTGTATCCAACTCTGTATCATGTATGTACGGTGGATAACTTTCCCCTGGTACTTTTACCAAACCCCCCTTACGTTATCCCTTCGTTCCGGTTGCCCGAGCTGCTTAATCAGCTTTGTCTGCACATAAGTAAGCAGATGGATAAACCATCCTTAAACTTGGGATGGCTGCGGGAAAATGGCTGGAAGGAAAAGGGAAATGGGAAATGCCATAGGCTTGGCCCAAAACATTTTCGAGGCCAGCACAGCCAGATGAGCGAGAAGAGCTTCACCTGGCCACGTTGGCGAATTAAACTCCTTGAGGGAAACTTTGCAACAATACTGCTCTGAAATGCATGTGAGCTGGTGGGAGTGTGGCCTACATCCTGGCCCACATGATGAATATGCATTTAAGTGCAAGTACAGTAGAGCGTCTGTAACTCAAACAAAGTAACTTGACTTAAGATATACAAGCCTGATTAAAACGAATATGTATAGCTTTAAATTTTAATCAGTTTATTTATTCAGCAACTATTGTGTGTCTTATAAAAAAAACCTTCATTATTCTTACACACATCAAATTACTACATTTTTGTCAGCAATAAAAATAATTGCCATCAAAGAGAACTCAAATTCACTTCAATTTACAAGATAACCCCAAAAGATTTAAATATTACATAAATGCATAATGATTTAAATAAATCTAACTTTTAACATAATATAGTATAATAATGATAAATATATATAAATACAATTTTAAAGAATTGTAGGTTTCAAGCAAAACAAACTAAGATCAATGTCTTATTAAAACTGTCTTTAGTCCTTAGAGCGAATGTTATAGAATGATCTGAAACATTTTTATTAATTTAAAAAATACTAGCATACTTTTGGGCATGAAAATCCTTTGTTTCAATTTTTGGAAGTCCACCTGTACAAAATGTGCATGTGGGTATGTGACTGGCTATCTCTTTTCTCAGCAGTGTTGGTGTGTGGAGCTTATACAACAAAATCAATGGCCAACATTGCAATACCGTTTGGTGTGCTCGCCCCCTCTTACTCGCACCGCCTACATTTTGATTCCCCGAGCACTGCATTCGTTCTGCTCTCTCTCCTGGCGCTCCCATGCTCTCACTCTCTCTCTCTTGGTTTGTCCTAGTGACCCAGTTGTAGTTTGTTAACCCCCGAAGGCAACGCAAAACAAAGGTGTGCGCGGTGCAGCGGGCTAAAGGTGGGGCGGGGCAGCGAAAGTTTGGACGTCCTTCGCGACACCTGCGAAGGTTGCTGTCAAAGCCAGCCCACACCCCACCACCCCACGAAAATTGCACAACATTTTCGTTTCGATTCGAAAAATTGCCTCAATTCGCAAACATTGATTGGCATTGAAATTATTGAAATAATGGAAATTAATTCAGGCGCGCATTTTAATTTCCGCATGTGAGTCAATGGGAGGGGATTTAAGGGGACTAAGGAGGCGTGGGTGGGTTTTACGGGGCTTGGGGGTGTTTAGGGAGCAAGGGAATGATAACTGCACTTGACACGCAACGAGCAACAACGTGCCGATGTGCGGTTTGCTTTTGTTTTTATTTCGTTTCGCCTTTAAGGAATGCTCAAAAAAAACAACAACAAAGAACGTGGGCGGCCGAAAATGTTAATGCGCCAGAACGAGAGAGATGGATTTTATGAATGAAATTAAAAGCGAAGATCGCTAATGCAACAACAAGTCCCGTCCCCAAAAGTCGAAGTTAAAACGAAAGATGTAGGGGAAAGGAGGGCAATTGGAGGGAGGAGAGAGTAGAGTCGCTCTCTCGCACGAAGTATAAATTGAAAAACACGAAACGAAACACGAAAAACGGCACAAAACTCCTGGCAGCCTCTCTCTTTGCTCTCATTTCGCTTGCACACGTTCGACGCGTCGGTTGGCAGACAAGTTTTTGCGCGCTCTTTTTTGTACTTTTAAGCACGCCACGCATAAACAATAATATTTAAATTATTACAACAAATTATTAAGAAATATTTTCCATAAATAATAATACAAATCAAATAAAGAAGGTGGCAAGCTAGAAATGAACTCAATGAACTTTGCATTTACCAACCAAAATAATTACTAGACTATAAACGGGACACTGCCAAAAACAAAAAGGAAAGCAACCAAAATCAAGAAGAGGCATCTCTGAACATATCGACACAATCAAAATAGAGATATTGAAAACAGGATCGAATCAAAAATGAACTCGAAACATAGTTCGCTGGAGGAGAAAGTGAAACTGCCGCCCACGGAGACAATAAGTCGCTGCTACCAACCGCAGCAGAGCAACCGCAAGGTCATTCGCATCCTGACCGTCGCCGTCTATGTCCTTTGCGTTTCACTGGCGGCCATCATGCTCTCGCTGTACTACATCTTTATCTGGGACCCCACCATCCGCCCCTTCGTCACCAAGGCCACACACTGCGGTAAGGCATCGGGTAATGAGCCGGGTAATCGCTGGGTAATCACTCCACTCCACTCATCACTTCACTCCACTTATGACTACTCCATCGAAAACTAGTGACTGGTGACCGGTGACCGATGACCAGTAACCAAAAAACCAGAAACCAATCACGGGCCGGACAATTTGCGGCCAGCGGTCACAATCTGGGACAAAGAATGAATCTAGGCTACGAGAGTTAAGAGCTATTGGGCTCGGGTTGGGGTAGGTTTGGGCTACCCATTAGTCGTTGGCCATTACCGATGGGCTTGAATGGTTGGTAGGATAGTGCTGGCCCTTTTTTAAGCTGCAAAATAAAGTGCTTTTAACGGAGGGTATAGTCGGAACCAAAAAACTTTTTTTTTTAAGTTCTAATAAAAATTACTCATACGAAGCGTATGCCGTTAAAATTTTTTACATAAAAATGTTCGCATTTTCGGCATAAAAATCTCTTATAAAAAAGACTAACAATGTGGCGAAAAAGTCTTCACTACATGGAGGAAAATAAATAATTTAATCAGAACAACAGTACGTATGAGTGATACATTTTAAAGCCAATGCGCAGTCCCTCGAACGCACTTTTCAAATATTTTTGGTCGGGTAAAAACAGGACTCTTACATTTCCCCACAAATTTATTTTTCGTTATTAGTGTTCAAAACCATAAAATTTATTAAATTTAATTAAAAACAAGAAAGGAAAGCAAACTTCGGGCGGAGCCGAAGTTGATATACCCTTGCAGAATATTCTGTAAATTATATTCTCCAAAATTATTTATATGATGCATTCTTAATACTGATAAAAATCCCAACTTCCTAACTTTAAAAACACCAAAGTTATGGCATTTCCGATCGTTCAGTTATATGGCAGCTATATGATATAGTGGCCCGATCCGGCTCGTTCCGACTTATATACTACCTGCAATAAAAAAGACAACTTTTGGGAAAGTTTCAAGCAGATAGCTTTAAAACTGAGGGACTAGTTTGCGTAGAAACGGACGGACGGACGGACAGACGGACAGACGGACAGACGGACAGACGGACAGACGGACATGGCTAGATCGACTCTCCTGGTGATGCTGATCAAGAATATATATACTTTATAGGGTCGGAAATGTCTCCTTCACTGCGTTGCAAACTTTTGACTGAAATTATAATACCCTCTGCAAGGGTATAACAAGAAAGGAAAGCTAACTTCGGGCGGAGCCGAAGTTGAAATACCCTTGCAGAATATTCTGCAAATTATATTCTCCAAAATTATTCATATGATGCATTCTTAATACTCATAAAAAATCCCCACTTCCTAACTTTAAAAACACCAAAGTTATGGCATTTCCAATCGTTCAGTTATGTATATGGCAGCTATAGAATATAGTCGGCCGATCCTTATGAAATTTGATATGTCGGATTGATTGGCAAACATAAAACCCATAGAAAATCCCAACTTCCTAACTTAACAAACACTAAAGTTATGGCATTTCCGATCAATCAGTTATATGGCAGCTATAAGATATAGTCGGCCGATCCTCATAAAATTTGGTACGTCAAATTGATTGGCAAAATGTAAAACCCATAGAAAATCCCAACTTTCTAACTTTACAAACACGAAAGTTATGGCATTTCCGATCAATCAGTTATATGGCAGCTATAGGATATAGTCGGCCGATCCTTATGAAATTTGGTACGTAAAATTTATTGGCCAAATGTAAAACCCATAGAAAATCCCAACTTCCTAACTTTAAAAACACCAAAGTTATGGCATTTCCGATCGTTCAGTTATATGGCAGCTATAGGATATAGTCGGCCGATCCCGGCCGTTCCGACTTATATACTGCGTGCAAAGGAAAGAAGGGTGTGTGCAAAGTTTCAATTCGATATCTTTAAAACTGAGAGACTAGTTCGCGTAGAAACAGACAGACGGACAGACAGACGGACAGACGGACAGACGGACAGACGGACAGACGGACAGACGGACAGACGGACAGACGGACATGGCTATATCAACTCAGGAGGTGATCCTGATCAAGATATATATACTTTATATGGTCGGAGATGTCTCCTTCACTGCGTTGCACACTTTTGACCAAAATTATAATACCCTCTGCAAGGGTATAATAATAAATATTTCAACAAGGATTAATGTGTCAATTTAATAAACTCAGAAATAATTTCACGATCTCAGAAAAGGCTAGAGATTTTAATTTAAGAAGTTAAGAACTTAACTGATAAATGTTAGAATCTTGGCGTTAAGAGAACTGGACAAAGAACCATAACAAAAATTGGGATAAAAAAATACATTTTAATTTTCATCAAAAAAAAAAACAGGTTAATGTCTTACGATATTTATTATAACCTTTAACCACCTTTCAGTTCTATAAAAACGAATGAGTCTATGATTTTATACTTTGGTTTAAAGTCTTTAACATAACGAAATCAAATTTACGGCCGTCAACTTACAAAACATGGAACATTACTATAAACTGAAAATAAGCAGGAGCACCAACGAAATCTTTAGAGATTTCAATCCATTATGCTAAAAATCTTTAATTTTACTAAACATTTTTGGGGAAAACTATTTGTTATTGCAAACTGTAAGACACCATTTTAAGAGATATTAAATAACTAAAGGTTTCTACCCAAAGTTAGCTTTAAAGAAAAAGTACACAAATTTCTTGGCTAAATATCTGAATTGGCACTACTTTCTCGGGAAGGACGTGAAAAAGCCGCCCACATTGTTCCATTCGCTTCGGCTTTAGCTCGTTCCGCCTCCATCCTTCCTTTGCTTCTTGGCTTTTTGTTCAGTTTTTGTAAATCAACTCGAAATTAGGTCAATGGGGTGTCATCGCACACAACTACACCAAATCAGCCCAGCCACCCACCGCCCAGACACGCTAGGGTGCAGTTTTCCTTGGTGTACTTTCCATTTGCAGTTTGCAGTTCAATAAATCTAATTTAATGCAATTAAATACAGAATCTGGGAGCTTAATGAAAGTTATACGGGCAGAAAGGCAAGCAAATTTATGACAGCGAGAACGCAAGTTGCCAGATGAGAATGGAAGGTAATATGCTTAGTTTCTACTTATAAAGTAATTGCCCATCAGAGGGCGGCGTTTCTTTTCAATGCCTTTACTTAAAATTTTATTAACCGCCTGCATAACAAGGCGCAACTGCTCACAAGGACGACTAAAATTGCGAAAATTAAAGGTGTAATAGGCATACAACATTGTAATACAAGGACGGGTAAAAAACTGTACTTGCTTGTGAAAAAGTATAAATATTTCATTATAGAAAACTTTGGACGTTTCTTTCATCATTTTTATTTTGTATCAACCAATCGGCTGTGAAATCTATTTCGACATTTTTTTTAAATCAAATGATTTTTTACTAACAGTGAAATATATATATGTATATATTATACATTGCTAATAGTTAAATAAAATAAACATTTCCACTTATAATCCAAACTTTATTTTTAAAGGTTAAAATAATAATCTTATAAAAAGTGCAAAAAAAAACCCAATCAATGACAAAGGACAACTTGAAAAACAATTGTTACTGCTTAAATACAATAAATAACAATTGAAAATTTTTTTCTGTTCTTGCAGATAAAATTGTGATACCCGAAAAAATTGCCATTCGCCTCCTAAACTCATCGGAAGTGACCGCGGAGCAGTTCTACAAGCACATCCTCGAGCAGTACCGCATCCTCAACCACATGCAACAGCAACGCCAGCAGATCTTGCAGCGGCAACATCTCCAACTGCAGCAGCTAGAGGCGAACAATCGCTTCCAGGAGGTATTTGCCACGGCCACCATAATCCAGGCACATCCGCATCCCCATCCCCATCCTAGAGAGCCACCGAAGAAACCGCTTTTAGGCCCGTATACCCCGGTGCCCGGAAATATAAGTCACGTGTCAATGGGCGGCGATCAGCCGGGCAACATGGAAACTGATCCGGAGGCTCATTTGCCCCTACTTTTGGATACCTCGCCGCCGGCTGAAGTCACCGGAATGGGTCACTCGAAGCGCAAGACACATCGGGGTCACTACAAACACCATCGAGCTCGAACCAGCGCCCAAAAGAAACTGTCAATTGCCAATTCCATCGTCAGTGTCATGGGCAGTTCCACGCCGAGCACCACAAGCGGTGGAGACACATCTTTGGCGGCCACGGCGGCCACTTTGCCCCATGGCTACATGGACACACCACTGAATCCGGCGGCCGGAACCATTGTGCAGCCACCACAGCTACAGCTATACACCTCGATGCCCATTCCCCTGATCCTAAGTCCCAGCGAGGAGAAGCGCCCTTCGCACCACGCCCACGGACATGGTCACGGCGAGCGGCGGGGAGGGACGCAATCCGGCGGCCGACGAAGGACCACGACGGCCTCGGTTTCTGGCTACGAGGCCCAGACCTACCTCAATCCGTTCCTCACCGGCGAGCTGATCTTCGAGAAGTAAGGGATTGAACCCTAAGAGTAGGCCCAAAATTTTTTTTTGTAAGGCATATAGAGGGATACACTACAGCCAAGATCGGAAATGGAGATTAGCTCACATAAATGGTACCTATCATACCTATATCAATGAAGAACTGTTTAGAAGGGCAGCACTACTCACAACAATTCAGTTAAGCTCAGTACTGGCATAAGCTTTATTTATCAGTTAGCTAAATTTATATATATTTTCCTAAACTTGGTCAATGATAATTTAAAAATCAAGAGCGATATTAACCGTTTCATATTGAAATTTCAAAGTATATGTAATTGTGTTTTTTATACGTAGAATGTGTTTGAAATTAAAAAAAATTGTAGACAGAAATTGAAAAAAAGAGATTGAATTGCTTATTATATAGTGTTTTAAAAAAGCCAAGCCAAATATATCTGATGTATAACTAATTTCAGCTACAGTTAAAAGACTTGACTTACGTCCGTACTGGGCTTTAAATTGGTCTATATATACAGAGCCCGGCCCGGCCACATATAGAGGTTAATAAACGTTATGTACTACAAAAGGATAGTTAAAACCATAGCTAAACGATAGTCGATGTACCAATCACACAACCACTCAACTCAACTAAACACACTCGAAAGGAACACACGCATAATACGGGACCCACTTCAGTAGAAAGTCACTCGATATCAGCGATCAAGGATCACACAGGCGGCTCACCTCACCAAGCTCAGCAGCAAACTCACCCCACCTAGGACACTGCTTCCAGGCAGCTAGCGAACGCTACACCAACTACAATAATTAGCCAACCCTAGAATAACCAGTTTACCAGTAATCAGTAACCAATTACCAGTAACCCATCCAAGGAGTATACCCCCAACAAAGGGGAAGCGGATAAATGTCACTATATTTCAGAATCAGAATGAATCACACTCACATACACCTCTAAGTCACCTCACGCAGAGAGGCTACTGCTAGGATTGTGTCACTGCCAAATATCGGTTATATGCAGGCTATAAAATATTTATATATATTTATAACCTTATCTATATATTCGCCTAATTAAGTTGAAAAGTGGTCATAGCAAGCCAAAGTTTCGAAAAATGCTCTAAGACATTTTAAAATTTATATCGTAAATTTTTAACACATAAAACCAAAGAAATATAAATATTTCTTTTTTTCCCAATTAATATTTTTCTTCGTCATCGAAACTCGCAAAAATTTATTTTGAATCCGGTACAAAACTTAACATAGTTTTGTTACATAGTTACATGTAAAACCTTCAAAAGATAATTCCTGAATAGTAACTAAAGAAAATATGCCACTTTGCTTGATCAGTCACAGTTTAAATGTTAAACAGAGATTCGTTCTTCAAGGTGGCCTTTAAATAATGAGCTGACGTATTACCTATAGACACTTCGCTCTACAAGATTAAACCCGGCGTGCTCAATTCAATAGCGACTATATAAAACTATATATATAACTATATATGGGGCATATAACCGATGTGTGTCGTGACATTTGCTCGGTCTATTCACATACTCAAACACTCAAATGCATACCTATCAAAAACAAAATACACTAAGCGAAAAAGCGGGAATGATAGTTGAAGGGAAGACGATGGAAGAGTTATTGAGAAACTGCATCTGCATCCAAAGACACGAGAATTGAATTCATTAATAATAACATACGTATAAACGATATGCATACGATATAGAATTAAATCTGTAACTGATGGGCATATACCGCATATATATCTTATATACTGCATATATCTTATATATGTATACCAAAAAAAACAAAGTCATTTTGGCAATAATAAAGCATAGCAAACCAAAAACAAGTTATGGCAAGTGTTTTATTCAAAGTATTCTATTTTTTCGGTTATAACTTTTATAAATCTAAAGATAAGTTGAATAAATTCTTTACACTTTCAAAATTTAAAATTTAAGTGAACGAATTTCAAGTTAGTACTAATGCTTATTTCACCATCATTGTTTTTTTCAACGATTGAAGCACTAAAGACACATAAAATCACGTAATTCTATAGTTTCTTTTTTGCATTTAAAGAGAATATTTCACCTTACCATTTTCTTTATGTGTTCTTAAATAAGGTATTTCGTTTTCCATAGCACCTCAAAAAAATACTATTTTATTTGTCACTCACCGAACTCGCGCTCACAGTCTATCACATAAGCGGGATTATCCATGATGTCCTCGATCTGCCCGTCAGGATACGAATATATGTACCCGAAAAGAGATGAGGAAACGTTGAGACTGTCGGCACTGTTCACGACCAACTGATGAATTCCGTGCCGCTCGGGACTTAAAAGTACGTCCGGGTATCTGGCCGCGCGGGTACGTGTTTCAAAGTCCGATAGCAATTGCGTTCTGAAAACTCTCTGCGGTAACACACTCGTAAAACTCGGCCGGAGATATCCACACCAAGAATGAAGACAAAAACAAAAGCTGTAAATCTTAAATAACCGCACCATTTTCCGTAATCTGCAAGTCAGTATCGTGGTGTAAATGTTCTTAGTTAGCTGGGTAAGCAAGATGCTGAATCAGCGATAAGGTGGCCAGCTATCCAGCCCCTCTATTCCTATCTAAAACCATCAAATCGCAAGTGAAACTACAAAACACTGGGTGTCTAAATAGCAAAACTCTTTAAAACTCAGCTTTCCTGGAACATAGCAACAGATTTGATTGGTAAGTAAAGCAAATATCTTTTATAATATCATGCATAGGTAGTTAATTATTTGAAGAAGCTTTCTTATACAGTGCGTTTCGAAATTGTGGGAAAGTTCGTTTGAAAAACATATTTTTTAGGTCCTTACCTATTGTTTTCAGCCACGTTTAGTGTTTTTAAGTATATATTTTTTATGTTATCATTAAAATTTAAAATGTTTACCACTTTTCAATCCTTAACGATACAAAAGCCCCTAGAAAGCCATTCCTTAGAAAATTATAAAAATTACTTGTTAAAGTAAAATAAAATAATTTATTGATATTCTCATGCACGTACGTATATTTTTGTACTTTAGGAGGTAATAAAAACATTTCTTTAAAGTTTTAGACACCTTTATTAGAGGTTTCAGAGATGTTATTTTACAAAATGACTGTTCAACTTTAGGAAATAATTAAAATTTAACGGAAATCACTAAATTATATTGTTAATGACAATAATTCTACTCTTTAGTTCAGTCTAATGAAAACGCAAACTTCAATAATAGACCATAGCTGATTTTTGAAGAGACATTTTATTTAACAACTACATTAACGCCAAGATTTAATCAATTCGATTGATGACTGAAGCCTGGACCGATTTATATTCGTTTTGTCTGGCGATTTTCCACGACATCTGCACTTGAAGAGCCGCACTGTAGGCGCATATTATGGCCAAGTCACTCCCTGCAAAGCCCATTATGATAGGCCCCCGAGACGCGACAGGTTGATCCCATGCCATAAACACACTCGTAAAGGGATCCAAAAATCTTAGTGGGCACACACAAGCGGATTCACATATCTATCGGCTGTAAAACATTAAAACTGATGCTTTATACATTGGCAAATAGACGGGATAGCAATAGCCTAACGCGGCCCTCTCTTTCTGAACCATGTCGGAAGGGGTTTTGGTTTTGTCTTTTACATATCAACGTTTATTAGAAAATCTCCTTTCCATAGTCTAAGTTCACTATAGTTGGCGTTTAAGCTGCAAAACGGTACAGCTGATACAGTACGATCCTCACACGATTGGGCCTAATGTCCACTGCGGCCAAGCTCAACGATCCGCGATCCACACTCAGCGGCTATGGCCCTGCCTAAGAACTCACTCCTTTCGGCGTGCTTAACTTATAGGAAAAATATAAAACAAAAACTTATAACAAAACATATTGCGGGATGTAATCGAGCAGGATGGAGCATTCCGCCAGTGAGGATCGCAAGGATAGAGCCCAAGGGGAATCGCAGTCGCTCTGGATTTATACATACACACAAAAGTTTGAATGGAAGAGTGAAATACAGTGGTGGCTGCGGATGCGTGAAGTGCTTGTAGATGCGCCGGGAAGTACGGAGTGCGATAGTCAGGGTGTCCACAAGCCGGGTCACCGTGCTTAGAACTGAAACGGCGGCGTATCCCGGCAGGTGTGGGAGCCCATCGGCGTGATGACCACGTGCAGAGTTAGTGTGTTCCTTGCCGTGCCCGTCAGGTGGGGACTCAAGTAGGGCGATGTGTGCTCCAGCTCCTCGTAGGGCAGCAAGTTGTCCAGGTTGATCACGCGCGACGTATCCGAGAAGTACTCCGTGCGCTCCACAACCGTGCGGATGTGCATAATCTGGTTCTGCACACCCACGATCAGCACGGCGATCTGGAATTACATATAGCAAATTAGAAAAATGTTTTTTAGTCTACAATCTAGAGTAAAATATTCTACATTCTTAGCATAACAAGAATACAAGTAAACGAATCGCGTTTGAAAGGGCTACTATTGGGACATTTAATCTTTTGTTAAATTTAAAAAAAAAGTTTTTGATTTTTTCAAACAAATCTGTTCTATCATAAAGTAAAACCCTCGAATTCCAAATAAATAAATAAATGGACTATGTATTTAGAAAATTCAAACCTCTCATTTATTTATTTGATTTGAAGGTTTGGAATTGATTTATTGGTGCGCAATGCAGAAATTGAGGTGGAATCCATTTTAAACAAATTTATCTAGCTGGATATTTGTTTTGAATAATACTTAAGTTATTAGTTGTCATAATAATCTTAGCTAGGGTGCAGTTTCGGCTAAGGAAAACAAAAACTCCAGCTATTAATAATATAGGTTCTAAAACACAAAGAATATATTCCACAGAATGGATTTCTCTTAAACAATTTTACATCTGTCTAAAACGATTTCAAATGGGATCAACTACTCACCTTAAAGCGCTCCTCGCCTATGTTTTGATGCTTGCAGGTAACCCGTAAGCGCACTGTGTTCAAGGAGCAGCCTGGCACGTCCTCGCCCCAGACCATTTTGGCCTTGTTGTACTTAACGCCACGAGGAAAAAACTCTATCTCCCAGGTCATGCAGGGATCTGGGGAGTAACACAAGCCAAATTTAGTTTTGGATGTACACAAATTGAAGTCCGAAGGCCAGTACTCACCGTCCTCCTCAGTCTCGGCGATGTGGCGCTGCGAAAAGAAGCAGGTCACATAGTTCTTGTAGTCCTCTATCGCGTCAAAGTTGTGCACATCGATGTCGACGCTCCAGGTGTCGTTCCAGTAGAGACGCGGCGTAAACTGCAGCTCACCCGATTCGGTGGCTCGCACCTCTCGTACTCGATCCTCCTGCCCCGACTGATAGCTCATCCCGATGGCAATGCGTTCGACGAGGAACTCCTTATGGTACTCGATCAGCGGGTCCATTAGTAAGTGTGACAGCTGGCGCGGCGTCATCATGCCGAAGCGGATGTGGGAAACTGTCTGCTCGATCAGCTCCATGAAGCTGCCGCCAGCGGTAGCCTCCATCTGCTCGCGACGATGCAGCAGCCACGTCTGCAGAATGGCGAACAGTTTGTACTCGCTGGTGACAACCAGATCGTTCTGCTGCAGCAGCAGTTGCATTATGGCCGGATCCATTTCCACAAAATCACGCGACTCGGCGACCATTTCGAGGTTCCATTTGAGAAACCGCTTCAGCGTCTCCGTGAGATCGTTGTGGGTGGGCGAGAAGGAGAGCGTGTATTGCAGCCAGGAGACCAGATAACCGCTGGTAGCCGCCTTGGCCACGTGCTTGTTCATGTAGCCCACGCAGAGATCGATTAAGTCGCGTACATTGTACTTGTCGCTCAGCGCCAGCATCGGCATCACCGTCTGCAGCGTGACCTCGATGTGGCCCACATACAGGTACTTGATGAACTGCGGGAACACCGCCGAGCAGCAGGCCTCCTCGTGCAGTTCGATCACATGCTTGCTGCATTCGTTCCACTCCGGATTCATGAGCATCACCTGAAAGACGTCGCTGCTGGCGCACAGGATAACGCGGTGGGCGGGATACTCCTTGCCGTCCACCAGGAGCACTATGTCCGACATCAGCTGTTCGGCGTAGAGGTTCGCGATTTTATTGAGCACACTATTCGCATCGATCATCTAAATGGAGAAGAGATTAAAGGATTAGATGTTATATTAAATACCACACATTTGTATACTACAATCTTTACGCGTATGTAAAAAAATTATACTTCTAAAAAGTGCGAAATCAAATCCAACCAGAATTTTTTCTTGGTTTGTCTAAAAGAAAGTATTAAAAAATGATAAGCTTGGAATTCTTTTTTTATATATAAAAATTTGGGAAAACATTTTCTAAGAAAATATTGTATACATTGTAATAGGTTCAAAAATATCAAATTAAGAATGGAATCATTCTCAGGAAATAATGGAAAATATATGTTGTCAACCAATTTGAATTGACGGATTGTTAATTAGGAAAGTATAAGTTTTACTTTTATAAAGGTATGTTCTTATCTTCCTTTCTGGAGGTTCGGACCATAGCCTTTCTTACAAATCTTGTGCATAATATGCAGTGTTACATGGGCATTATTAGCAAATCAGTGAACACATCGGTGGGATTTGCGTATAAGATCTGTGGAGAATTATAGACATATCTCAGCGGTATACCCACCGTGCTGGCTCCATCCTGGGCTTCCTCTGATTCGCGACATTTCCGCCGCTTGGCCTCCTGATCCTCGTTGGAGTTGTCTCCATTCGCCGGGTTATCCGATGTGCTGGCGCTGATTCCATTGGGATTTTCGGGAGGACTCGCAGGGCCATCGCCAGCGCCGCCACCTGCTGCTCCTCCGGCTGCTTCGCCCGCCTGATCCGCAGCAGCTGCTCCGCCGCCAGGACCTGCTCCCGGACCTCCTCCACCTGCCCCTCCTGCACCTGCTCCACCGTTGCCGTTAGCGTTCATCGGGAATCGGGGATATCGGGTATCGACTGGAGCCCGGTTCGGGACTGGCTCTGGGCTGAAGGACACTCTACAGGACGACTCCGCTTGCACGAGCTAAAGTCATGGCAAAAAGTCTCACAGTTTGTTTTTTTACAAAATTGAGCTAGAGCTGGTAGCCAAATCGATTATGTTGTCGATTATTCGATTTTACAAGAAGGCAAGGGCACAAGCTATCGGTGCTACTATCGATACCGGGGCATGGCGCGGAATGGATATTTTTTAATTGTAAATTAAAATTGCTTTGCGTTTTGCTTTGGCCAAACTAAATTTAACTTAAATTACGTAAGTAAAATAAAACTCATAAACCTTTTTTTAATTTGTTGTATCCAATTGTTAATTTAGTTTAATTAAAAGTTAACATTACGCGCATAACAATTATAGAATAATATATATCTGAAGCTTATATTCCTTGTTCGGTAAGTTAAGCTTTAAAATTTGAGAATAATAAGGCTGAATATTAAAATAAAAATAATAATATACCCTTGCAGTGGATACCAATTAAGTAAATATAATCTTGATCAGCATCAAACAGAAGAACTGAAATCCGTTTGGTAGGCTAAGATCAAAAGTTAAAGATTTAAAACTTTCTCATAAGTCTTTAGTTTGAAGATAATAAGAAAACTATATTATTACTTAGCTGTCATTGAAACATTCGGAAAATTACAAAGTAAACAATAAAATCGTTGTTTTTAATTATTCATATACATAAGTATTTACTTCATTATCCAAACATTCCATAGACATAATTGTTTTTATCCTTTTCAGAAATACGTTTTTTATAATAAAATCGGACGACCTTATCACTTGATTATTTGATTCGTTTAAGTGTATTAAGCTGAAGCCGGCTGACCTAAATAAGCCTCCTTTTTTTCGTTTAAAAATCATATATGAATCCATACAATACAAGAAAATTTTCTTTAATAAAATTGCCTTTTCTTTAATAAAATTGTTAAAAAACAAAAAAAAAAGTACCTAAGGTGAAAAAAAATAATAGAGTTCCAATAAAATACCTTCCAACTTCCCAATACTTTAACAGGTGATGCGCGCCTTTTTTTGTTAGACTAGATTACTAGATTACACAAAGTTGCTTATAAAATTTGGCCAAAAACCTTGATAATTAAATGGCCAAATAGGCAGATATATGGAAAAACCCCCAATATTGGATTAAAAACGCAATTTTTCTCACTTCTTGTTTGCAAAACGAAAGGTTGTGCTTCACAAACATTTCAACAAGTAGAACATGTGTTTTGTAGCTTAAATATGATGTTTTCTTCCACCCTTGCTTGTTATTTCTTTAGCAAACAACGTACAGATAACAGATTGACATATGTTTTCCAATTGATATTTATTTGTATTGTGTTGACAAATTTTCCTAGAAATGACTTAAAAGTAGCCTGCTGACCACAAAATGACATAAAATTGAAAATAAAGATCGCTAAACGTCTTTTTTCGTGCACACAGTCCTGTGTCCCATTAAAGTAAATAGTAAAAACATAAAAAAAGGGATCCAAACTCAGCTCACAAGGACGAAAACATGAACACAGTGGGGGAACTAAGATCACAAGATGAATGACTTCGATTCCAGCTAGCACGTTATGTTTTGGGTATTATTGATACATATGTTGTTTAAATGCGGGCTCCTCACAGAGGCTTCTGTTGCTGGTGTTTCGGAGAGAAAATATTACGATTACATTAATTAGTTTGGCGGGCGATTTTTTGTTCATTTGACTGCTGCTGATCCCCGGGTCCTGCGGACTTAGAGTTCGTCGTGGCCAAGGAACTTCTTGAGGTAGGCCTGCAGCTCTGGCAGCGAACGGCTGCCCTCGTACTCGTTCTGGCGCTGCCCGTTCTTGTAGAGGAAGAGAGTTGGATAGCCCTCAACCTGCTGGTCGATGCACACTTGCTTGTTCTCGGGCGCCGTGCAGTCCACCTTGGCGATCTTCACAGCACTCTGCGCCTGGTGAGCCTCCGTGGCAAGTTGCTCCCATGTGGGCTGCAGCTTTTGGCAGTGTCCGCACCATGGGGCATAGAACTTGATGAAGGCCACGCCCTCGGCAATGGCTTCGTCGAACTCCGCCTCGCCGCTCAGCTGTTGAGGGGTCAGCTTCTTGACCTCCTCCTCGGCGGCAGCCTCCTTGGTAGCCTCCTCCTCGACGGCCTTGTCTTCAGTCTTTTCCAGCGGCACTCCCACCATCTTCTCCACATAGGACTTAAGCGTAGACAGGTCACGGGCTCCCGCGTACTTTTCAATCTTCTTACCATCCTCGATCCAAAGAAGAGTGGGATAGCCTTTGACCTCGAAGTCTTGGCAGATAGAACGGAACTGGGTGCAGTCGATCTTCGAGATGGTCACACCGGGTTCTTTCACCAGCTCCTTGGCCAGCTCCTCCCAAGTAGGTGCCAAACGCTGAAAGTAAATGATAATTTTACAACATTGAATGGGGAGGTACAATTCTTTCTTACCTGACAATGACTGCACCATGGTGCAAAGAACTTGACAAAGTGATTGCCGCTTGACACGTGCTTGGCAAAGGTGTCCTCAGTGAGGTCCACCACCTTGCCCAGATTGGGGTTCTCGACCTCCTCGCGTTTGGCCTCACCCAGATCTGCCTCGGCGGGCGTGCTTAGTTCCTGGTTGATAAAATCGGTGATGGCGGGCAGATCCCGAGTGCCCTTGAACTTCACAGATTCCTCCTCGCCCAGCTTGAAGAGGCGCAGGGTGGGATAGCCGGTGACCTGGTGGGTGGCGCACAAACCTTGGTGCTTGGTGCAATCCACCTTGGCGATGATCACCTTGGGCTCATCCACGTTCATAATCTCCGCCAGTTGCTCCCACAACGGCTGAAGGCGCTTGCAGTGGCCACACCTGCAAGAAGGAAATGATTTAGCTTTTAAATTTAGAATACATACATATACATATATAAAATCATTCAACAAATTGTTATTTTTCTTTTATATCCCTAACTAAATGTTTAAAGAAAAATGTTTATTTTCTTTTTTTGCTTTCATCAGAACGTATGTAGGTCTTAATGATCGGCGGATATAAGAATTAAAAGGACTCAAAACCAACCTAAACCAGTGTCCAGAATCCCAGTAAAAAAAAAAACTTTTAAAAGTGATTTTATTCAACTTTTAACCTTATACTCACTTTAATAAAAACCTTACGGACATAAAAATATCAATACAAACATTAGCTCATAAAAATTGCTAAATGAGCTTTAAATAAAAAAATATTTTTGGTTATTAACTAAAGGGTTCTATAATTATTTTTACAAAACGCAATAGGATTTCAGTCTTTCGATACGAATCCGTTTTCTTACTAATACTTCCTAATCTTATAAAACCCTTTAAATATGTTACGATTAAATTTAAAAATAAAAGACTCGCCAAATCGTTTAAATTTAATTGTTTTCCGAATACAAAGGAATACTATACAATGAACCGCGATAAGACTCTGCGAACAAATTGTCCCGAACAAAGAGTTTATCATCAGGGGCTAATGCTAATGCCGAAACGCATTTCGAGCTCCCCCATGTAATCAGTCTCGTAGAGCACTTCTTAGCAACATAATTGAACCTAATCAAATTAGCTCATAGACACTGCGATGGCTTTTGATAAGGTCTGAGAACGAAAACTATAGTAGTGGCCGAAATCTTGAGTATTTAGTGTGTCAATCAAGGGGCAAGTAGGTTCTTGAACAAAGCCCCTCTGATCGTCTTATCAACGAACGTGCGATTCGTTTGGGAGCTATGACGAATCTTCCATTCCTCGAATCTCTGGCTTCTTGACCAAATTGGGGGTCACAAATTTATGTTACTCAATTTCTTCAGGTATGGGCGCAAAAATAAAAATATACAAAAAACGAGCCCATTTTCGTTTGCAAATCTGTGTCTGCCCACTAACATAAAAATGTGTTCCGGTTTACACATTTGCCTTTCAGGTATTTTAAAATATTCAGTTTGAAGTCTAAGGACTTTTCTCAAAATTGGAAAAAGGAAATATTTTTCTCCCAAAAATGTCTTTTTGATCTAAACAATAAAATTTCTATGTAAGTTTTTGTTATATTCTAGATATTAATCAATGGGCTTTACATTTTTAAAATTTTTTTTTAATAAAAATTATTCTATTTAAATAAATGACTTCAATTTTGTTTTAACAAAAAGAAAACTTTTAATTCCATCAATCAATTTTAATATAGGTTATTTGATTATCAACAAAATACAAAAACTAACTTTTGAAATCCAATTCAATTGGCGAAAATGAAAATCGAAACACCACCTATAATTATGTGTGCGTGGCTTGGTCACAATATAAACGACCTATGTGGACTGCTGCGATTCGCCGGCATAAGTTGGCCAATTTGGGACGCAGTTTTCTTTGGTGAAAGCAAAGGGAGGAGAGGGAAACTGAATGCAACTCACCAGGGCGCAAAGAACTTGACGAAGACATTGCCGCCGGCAATCGCCGTATCGAAGGTTTCCGGGTCCAGTTCCACGGCGAACTGCTTGTCAGCCTGTTTGCCGGCGTTGGAGTCGTCCTCCTGGGCCGCTTGGGCATTGGGCAGGAGGGGCGACAGCAGCAAGCCGCACACCGCCACAGATAAAATGGACCTGGCCAACATGATGTTCGAAACGGTTTGAGAGATCTAACTGCTGGGAGCCAAACCACGTCCGGATACAAAATAAATTTTCGATACTTTAAAAATGCCTAGGGTTGCCACAAGTGACTGTCGATAGCGAAAGTCCGGCTGGTAATCGATATTACAAAAATATTTCAAAATGTACATTCCACTCAGTGGCAAAATATCAGTGTCCAAAATAAATAGAAACCAACAACGAAAAATAAAATTTTTATTTCACAAAATAGTTCAGTTAGGTTTTCAGATTTTAAAAATTTATCAGATACTATTTTTGCTCGTTACCTTAAATATTTAATATAAAATTATTTTTAAGCTTATGGCAGTTCCATAATCAATATTAATTTACGGTAATTATTAATTTTGCAAAGGACTGAAAATCAATAAAAGAATAAATAATGTCCGATTTTTCTGCGGTCTGGCACGGTTTTAAAAATTTCAAAACCCGCCAATCTGGCAACGCTACAGAAAACTCTAGTTCGTGAGTGTATTGGTGCGTGAAAAACGAAACAGGCAAAACAAAAAAACGAGCGAATCACACACAGAGACGTAGTTAATTTGGGAGGGGGTGTGTGCAAAAAAGTTGCTCGTATACAGAATGATTAATACACACAGCCATGACAAAGAGAGAATCCAATCACTCCGGATTCCGCTCTGCAGCGAGGGTATTGAAAATCAATCATGATAGATTTTGAAATAAACCCGGATTTGTAATTCGAAAAACGGGTTTTTGCAACGGGGAAAGCGGGAAAACGCCGCAAACAGATGGGCATCCGCATCGAATATCGATGCGATATATCGCACGCATATCGCCGCGTCGCACATGCAGCGGCGCGACTGTGTGTGTGTAAGCACTGAGGCGAGCACAAGGCAAAACGAGAAAGAATAATAACTTCGGCTAGTCGAGGTTAATATACCCTGCGAACTTTAAAAGTCATTGATTATGTAACTTGTAATTTGTAATTTGTTCAAAACTTTTTTATGACTTATATTCTGTATTAATAAAGTCGAATGCGTTCGAAGTTCTTTATCGATAGTTCTTGAGCTGGTCCTTACAGCTTTCAGACAATCAGAGCAAGTCCAAATCGACGCACCTGATCAATTGTGCTTTCTTAATGGAGTTGAAAATTTCTTCCTTATCGTAGAAATGTTAATAACTTGTGCAAGGGTATAATGAGCGAATGGCAGACACAGACACAGAAGAGGCAGAAACAGCTAAATTGCAGCTGCTATGTTGCTCGTCGTTCAACGACGACGAATAGGGTAAAAACGGCAACAGCGAATGATGGCGGTAAAGGCAAACGAGCGATAGTCGAACTGAGGGGCGTACCAGCGGGGGGATCGTACTTGAGTTGACTGTTAAGTAGGGTTTTTGAAATATCAAGTTGCTGGCCGACCGCTCAGCTTAAACTTGGCGAACCTAACACTTGTGTAGTTGGAATTTCTAAGCAAGCAGCTGTTATCGATTAAGTTAACGTCAAAAAGAAAAAAAATATTTCGAAAATTTAATTGTTTTTGATTATAGTGAGCCGTAATATTAATAATACATTAAAAATATATTTAAAAATTTTAAGAAATAAAATAATTAGTTGTACGCATTAGGCTCGTTTACATATGTACATACATATGTTTTCAGCTTATTGAAACGGATATTGCTTTAAAATAACATGCTAGGTTCATGTTAAGTGCTGAAACAAAGAACTCTGGTTCTGCGAATTCTCCAGCCATTTAAAAAATGATTGATAGAGACATTTAATATTTAAATAGGCAAATTATAAGCACTAAACTAAATGTTAAGGCAGAGTTTTAACCACCCAACACCATATGCATTTCTATCGGCGTTCGTGCTGAGCCATAAATAATTTTGCTTTGCGCAAACAAGACTGAAAAATTCAGCAAACCTGACGCACCCCCTTATGAATAATGGCACACCGACGCCGCTGCCGCTGGCAACTGGCACAACAAAAGCAGCGAAAAACCAGAGACATGCTGTTCATGCTATGGATTTCATAAATTATTAAATACGCGAACTCAACAAAAAGTTTATGAGTGAAACTAGTTAAGTTATTAATTATGTTGTTGCCAGTAGGTTTTCGAAGAGCAAAAATAATACTTTCAGTTCAACGTTGACATCTCCAAAATAATTTAGGTGGTTAATTCAGGTTAAATTTATAAACTTGGCTTAAGCGCACGGTTAGTTTGCAAATAAAAATTTATCGATAGTCAAATAATTCGGCACATCGGTAAAGTTTGTATTGCAATTGGCCATGTAATCAAGTTATGTATTCCTTCTTGCGAATTAATGTATGTGCTAACATTTAAAAATGTATTATAAAATTATTAGGTTCGCAGTTAAACTTTGCGAGCATTTGAATACATGATATAGGGTTTATGCCCCCGCTTTAGACTGGTTTTCGCGAACTGAGGAGCTGCGCACAATCGCTGTAGCAGAGGTGCCTCAGAGGCAGAGCGTCGGCAGCACACACAGACGTCGCCGGCAAACGAAACGCTGAGGGGTGCCAGAAGAGAGATACAGATACATTCGGGCAGTAAGTGCGGGCGAGATAGCTACAACTCCTGTTCCCGGTTCGTTTTGTCATTCCCATTCCATTCCCAATTCCCGTCACACGAGTTAGCAGCGCACAGCTGCATCCGAGATCCTTTTTGTGGCGTGCTCGCGAACATAACCCCTTTTATTCGGTTGCCAACGACGCCCCTGCGACAGGCAGAAAGCAGAAACAGAAGAAGAAGAAGCAGCACGAAGCGAAGCAGAGGCAACACAGAAAAACAGCAAAAGCAAAGCATTGGAGTAGTTGTTTGGATGTGGACGGAAAGGCAGACTGGCGGCGACTAACTAAAAGGTATTTGTTGTTCACCCACTCATCTGTGTGCGTGCGCTGTTCTGGTGAAAAGCTGTTCTCAGCGTTTGCGTTTGCCAAAAGACAAGAAGTACGAAAAAAGCATTCGTTTATTAAATGCTCGCGTTCGTATTTTTTCGAAAACCTAGATGAAAAAGAAATTTTCTGCTGCTGCTGTTGCCTGTATATAATTGTGTGTGTGTGTTGGGCCGTCTCTGTGTGCGTTTGGCTCTCTTTGGGTGTGCGAGAGCGTGTGTGTTTGTAAGTGTTTCTCTGTGTGTGTGGCGGACCAAAAAGAACCCGACGACGACACTAGAAATTCGATTTGTGTGTTGTGTGCACACGGCGGATGAAGCGAGCAGATTTTTGGCAAATAGTGAGCGATTATCGGATTGAGTAAATACAACAAACAACAGAGACAGCAGTGGCATTAACAGTAATCAATCGATCCCGATCCCCCTTGCATATGTAACTGTAAACCTAATTGTGTGCCTCTTCTCTTCCTCTCTCTCCATTTTGCTTCTTTTTGCTCTTGCTCTCTCTCTCTTGTCCTCTTTCTTTCCTCCGCTCGCCGGGACTCGCAACTCACGAATAGCAGTACATTGACAGGAGCAGCTCGGAGTGGACAGGATAAGGATAATAAGCAGCCGATAACAGCCAGCAAAAGATTTGGCTTACATATTTAAGCCAGCCAGCCAGCCAGTCAGCCGGGCACTTTCGAAGTAGCCAACGTCCTGGGCCCCAAGATACCAAGATACCCGTACCCACCAAATCACCAATCACCAACCATTAGCAGGCGACGACGACACATCCGCAGAAGATGTCCAACGGCAAGGCGACGGTGTCGTTCTTTGAGAACGGGAACACCAAACAGTTCGAGTACTGCTACCAGATATATCCCCAGGTGCTCAAGCTGAAGGCGGAGAAGCGCTGCAAGAAGCCGCAGGAGCTGATCCGTCTGGACCAGTGGTACCAGAATGAATTGCCCAAATTGATCAAGGCTCGCGGCAAGGATGCGCATATGGTCTACGATGAGCTCGTCCAGTCAATGAAATGGAAGCAGTCGCGCGGGAAGTTCTATCCGCAGTTGTCTTACCTTGTAAAAGTCAACACACCGCGCGCCGTCATCCAGGAGACGAAGAAGGCTTTCCGTAAGCTGCCCAATTTGGAGCAGGCGATCACAGCGCTATCAAACCTCAAGGGCGTCGGGACCACAATGGCCAGCGCCCTGCTGGCAGCCGCCGCCCCCGACTCGGCACCATTTATGGCCGACGAGTGCCTGATGGCCATACCAGAGATCGAGGGCATCGATTACACCACCAAGGAGTACCTCAACTTCGTCAATCACATCCAGGCCACCGTGGAGCGCCTCAATGCGGAGGTGGGTGGCGAGACGCCACATTGGTCGCCGCATCGCGTGGAGCTGGCCCTCTGGTCGCACTATGTGGCCAACGATCTCAGTCCCGAGATGCTTGACGATATGCCGTCGCCGGGATCCGGCGCAGCCGCCACTGGCACCGGCTCACTCAGCACAAACGGCAGCAGCAACAAGGTGCTCGACGGTGACGACACCAACGACGGTGTGGCCGTTGATCTAGACGACGAAAGCCAGGGAGCAGGTAAGACGTCGCACAAATGTTGCACACAAGTCTCTTATTAGAAGTCTCCAGAAATCTAGTTTTGTAATCACGTTTTCTAATAGTTTAAATTGTTTGCTTTTTGGTCTAATGCCGAACAGTTTAATTGTAAATAAGCGATACTACAAAGAAATCTTTATTATCTTTAAACCTATTGAATTTTTTTAAAATCATTTGCAAACTTGTTTAGTTAGTAATTGAAACTTGTTCAATCATAATTTGAGGAAAAATATTAAGTAACTTAAGTAACTGCAAATTAACTGAAAACAACTAAAGAAAATGTAATTGCTGGCTTTTAAAAGTTTTTGGCGCCTGTAATTGAAAATCTTTAAATATCAAATGATTTTCTTAACACCCCAGATAGCAGGCACAATTTTCTTTGTGCTAGTGGTCTGACCGCAGCTCGTCCAGTAAATACATTGACCACTGATGCTTAACCCGATACTTTCTATCCCCAGGCGGTCGCAACACTGCTACGGAATCGGAGACGGAGAATGAGAACACCAACCCGGCTGCCCTTACGCCCCTGCTGTCGGGCGAGGCCAAGAAAAACAGCAACGCAGCTGCCGTCGGCGCCGCCCTACAGGATGGCGACTCCAACTTTGTGTCGAACGATTCCACCTCCCAGGAGCCGATCATCGACGATAATGATGGCACTACGCAGACAACGGCCACTACGTCCACGGAGGATGGAGAGCCTATAGCCCTGGGTATTGGCACTGGTTTGGGTGGCACACCGCTCGCCTCAGACTCTGAAAGCAATCAGGAGGCGCCGCCCAAGACCAACAGCCTGACCATCCTGACTCCGACACAGCCCTCGACCCAGACCCCGAATCAAACGCAGACGCCGAGCCAGCCACTCAAAACTAACAAGCCGATCACTAACAACGGCCAGGTGGCTTCCTCGGCAGCAGATGAGGCGGTCACAGCAGTACCACAGCCAGCCAGCAAAACGACTGCAGCAGCAGCCAATGGAAATGGAAATGGAAATGGCGTCTTGGGTGACGAGGATGAGGACGAGGTTGAGGACGAGGAGGAGGACGAGCTGGAAGAGGAGGATGAACACGAGGCGGAGCTAGAGGCTGACGAGAGCAATAGCAGCAACGGCATTGTGCGGGATAGTAAGCTACAGCAGCTGGCGGCGAACAAGGCTAAGGCGGCGGATGCCGTTTTGCCAGTAGAGTCAGAGGATGCAGATTCGGCGCCTGCAATTGGACAGAAGCGCACGGCCCTGCACTGCGAGATGGAGCTGAATAGCGCCGGTGGAGTGGGTGTGGACGTGGGGGAGAAGTCCCCGGAGCTAAAGAAACTGCGCAGCGAATGAGGCGGAGGTGATGATAGGATACGAAATACGGATACGGATGCGGATGCGAAAACGGGGATCGGTTCAGTTCGGTTCGGCTCGCCGCGTATCTGGTGGAAAGACATATGTATGTAGTGCAGTTGAGTCGACATAGAGACATAGAGCAACATTACCTACACTTTACCACAACAACATTCAAGAAATTCTACTATTAAGCAACTAATTATACATACATATAATATATTATATATATATATACAACATATAACGAAAAGCAAACATCCAACACACACCACTCTCATACACACAATACAAAAACCACAAAACACCGACATAACATAACATAGCCGATCAGATCAGAGCGGAATATAAGATCCCGATCCAGCAAGGAGAACCACAAACATTTCAATAGCATAGGAAGCGCGCCAAGATGAAGAATCCGATCAAGAATCCGAAGAACAAGCAGCAGCAGCAAAAGAGAGTTCAGAATGCAGCGTTAACGTATTATTAAAACTGAAACGAAAAGCAAATGCATAACATGAATAGTAACTATAAAACAAGATCAGATGAAAATCGATATTTTTACACAGTCAAAAAGGAACATTTAAATATAAAGAAATTTACAAATGCCGCAGTTGCCCACTACATACAAAAACAAAAAAAAAATAAAAACAAAAAAAAATACAAAACAAAATGATTAAGATGGAAAAAACAATAATTATAATAAAACAGAAAAGTAATTTATATACATAAGTATTTAAATTTAATAATAAATCAAAACTCGTCGCATAAACCAAGCCCAAACCACCACATCCACCCCCCCGACCTTCGACCCCGCAGCATCTCGCGCTCTCTTTCTCTCACACACACGCAGCACACACAACATCCACATACACACTCGGAAGAAACAAAACAAAACTCATTTCAACACTAAGAAATTTTTGTGGTCGTAATTATAATAATATAATTTATATTTTATGTGTAAAACTTTTTTTTTAACTTTACATATACTGAATTTTTTATAATTTATATAATAATCATTTTCATTTGATTTCCGAAAAGAAACGGAAGCAAACATAAGAAAACTGCATCTTAATTGCACCCGGCGCAGGCCGACCGATCTCCGGGTAGTTTGGGTTGTCGGTAGCGGTGGGTTCCCCGAAATCCACGGTCCATACAACACGCAGATCGGTCGGACCTAAAAAAAACACCATCTCAAAATTATAATCATTTTTATTATTAGTAGCATAAGTCCAAATAAAATGTGAAATATTAAGAGAACACGGCATAAAACAAACCATCACCAAAACATCTTGAATTGTTGGATCGCTTCAATAAGATTTTGGAACTTTGCATTTGAAAAGGCGTTACGGATAATGTCAATTGAAGTCGTTATTGTTGTTGTTATCGAATTATCGTGGCCAAGAACACGTCATGTATGGCAACGCCAGTAGGTCTTCCGATAGACGTGAGTATGTAAATATGCGATAATTGGGGCTGGAATTGTTTAAAATTGTAATTGCATTTAAACATCAAATTAGTATCTTTATTTGTTGTGGCATATTTTAACATATTATCTTGCAAAAAAGTATACATATTTTCAAATGAATGCACAAATTAAAATAACTCCCGAAGCAGCTAGAAGATTGTATACGCAGATGTTAATGACAACAATAAACGGGGTTATTTGCTTCAAGTGATTTGTATTTTATTAAGATTATATATTATTTTTCTGGAAATACAGAACTTTAGATATCAGCTAGAACTTAAGCAATCGATATTATGGCCGATGCAAATAAGTATTCCCGGATTGTGGGTTTTAGTTTTTTTTTCGGACATTTAGGGAACATTTTAGGGGATAATAATTGTTAAGATGTTATGCTTCAAAAAAATTTGATAATATTTATAATAAACTTTATATTCACAACATCGTTTAGAAACTTGGCTCGCATTTGAATTTTGGGGGGATTTTTTAGTGAGAATTTCTCGTTGCTTGCATTTGGGGGGAAAGCATTTTCACAATCTGGTAACACTGGCACTAATCAAAAGAAAACACAGGACAGAAACATATAGAATAATTTCGCACATAAATTAACTGTGCCACGACTGCCCGATCGGCACATCCCCCCGCCGCCCCAGAAGCCATATTTCTCATTAGCAGTGGAGTTCAGTGAGCGGCTCGAAATTTGCCACAGCCAGCCCCCACATATCATATATAAATCGAACAATACCCCCTCCGCCCCGCCGACCATGACATTGGATCGCCTTGGTCGTTGGCCAGATCGGAGTTAAATGGGACTAGACTAGTGGACCAGTGGCTATGTGTCGGGATCGAAACAGCTCCGAATCAAAGTCCTCATAGAGAGTCCCACGTTCCTAGTTCCTTGTTCCCCGATCCCTGGGCTCCCGTGAGAGATTCTGATCCGTGCAGAGGACCCGGCGAGCAGAGGGCAGAACAGAAACGGAAGAGGTGCCGCCATGCTGCTGGTGCGTCAGCTGTTCGGGGCTTCGGCCAACTCATGGGCCCGCGCCCTTATCATCTTCGTTTTGGCCTGGGTGGGCCTGGTCTACGTCTTTGTGGTCAAGTTGACCAATACACAGGGCCAACAGGCCGCCGGCGAGAGTGAGTTAAACGCCCGCCGCATCTCACAGGCCCTCCAGATGCTGGAGCACACGCGCCAGCGCAACGAGGAGCTCAAACAGCTCATCGATGAGCTGATGAGGTAGGTGGACACAGATGGATGGAGCTCGGACCACAGTCGAGGGCACCAGAATAGCACAACAGTTTTGGCACCCAAAGAAATTACTGCTTTATAAAGTTCATTGCACTCCCAAGTGAAACCCTAAAATACTTGATACACCTAAACATAAAAAAGAGATTAATGCACTATGACGAACACTTAATGGTTGCATTCCCTAAATACTAGCTTTAAAAGTTCAGTGGACTCACAATTGTATAAAATCCCCAAATAATCGCTAAATAATTGTCATAACTTAACAAAAAGAAATTCATGCATTATATACGAGCACTTAATTGTTGCAGTCCTTAAATACTAGCTTTCGAATCGTAACAACGTAACAAAAACGTATTAAACTCACCTTGAAGCCGGATTAAACCCGTAGAACACTTGTATTAACTTAACAAAAAGTTATTTTTAACCAGCCTGCAAGTCAATAGTTAACTAAACAAGAAATAATAGTTTTTATTCTATTGCCATACATTTTAAATAATCTGTTTAAGGCTTTAAACGCCTTTTATAATTTTTTTTTAATTTGTGTAATTTTCTGGAATTCTTAGAGCTCTTATTGCGATAGCTATTGTATTTCCCATCTTTCAGCAGTGTGGCTAATTATGCATGGCACGTCAGCGGAATAACACGCAATAAGCTGCTTTACTCACCACATACTCTCCATTTCAGTGACCAGCTGGACAAACAGAGCGCACTAAAACTGGTGCAAAGGCTGGAGAACGATGCATTGAATCCCAAACTGGGGGCGGAAGCCGCCGGACCGGAACCAGAATCCATGTTCGAGTCAGCGCCCGCCGATCTGCGCGGTTGGAATAATGTGGCCGAGGCGGCACCCAATGATCTACTAGAGGCGGGTGCCCCCGATCATGGCGACTTTGAGCCCAGCTTGGAGTATGAGTTCACTCGCAGACGCATCCAGACAAACATCGGTGAGATCTGGAACTTCTTCAGCAGCGAACTGGGCAAGGTGCGCAAGGCGGTGGCCGCCGGCCATGGAAACGCCGATCTGGAGGAGTCCATCAACCAGGTCTTGCTGCAGGGCGCGGAGCACAAGCGCTCGCTGCTGAGCGACATGGAGCGGCTCCGTCAGTCCGATGGCTACGAGTCGTGGCGTCACAAGGAGGCGCGCGACCTGAGCGATTTGGTGCAGCGCCGCTTACACCACCTCCAGAATCCCAGTGACTGTCAGAACGCTCGCAAGCTGGTTTGCAAGCTCAACAAGGTGCGTTTTATAGAGTTCTTTGCTTTCTGGGTAAAATTAGTATTCCTAAAGCTACATATCGTAGAGCGAGCTTATCATTTATATTGGTATGAAGTCACTTCGAACAGTTGAACCTTTGGCTAGAAAATCATTAAGACAACTTATTAAAACAGGAAACTATTTTTTTGTATTCTATTTAAAGCAAGTTTTTTTATAATTATTTTGTTATTTTCCTGGTATTAATGCCAAAGCTCATAGAACTTATATAAATAATAATTTCATAAAAGTAAAAAAGTCTGTTAAGCTTTACAGAGTATAAATCAAAAACAAAGTTTGTATGCAATTAAATATTTAATCACCAAATTTATAGAAAGCAGATGAATATTCTTATTCTTATTAAGCTCCATTCATAAACAACAGACAAACATTCGTATTCTTTAAAAGTGGGAAGAGGCAAGGTTAGGATAAATGGGAGTATTGTTAGTTTAACATTAAACCTGAACGCCTTATGTAATTCTCAAATTGTAAATCCCCAGGGTTGTGGATACGGCTGTCAACTGCACCATGTGGTGTATTGCTTTATAGTGGCCTACGCCACCGAGCGCACTCTCATACTAAAATCCCGCGGCTGGCGGTATCACAAGGGTGGCTGGGAGGAGGTGTTCCAGCCGGTGTCCAACAGTTGCCACGATGCGGGCACCGCCAACACATACAATTGGCCGGGCAAACCGAACACCCAGGTGCTGGTGCTGCCCATTATCGACTCGCTGATGCCGAGACCACCGTACCTGCCGCTCGCCGTCCCTGAGGATCTGGCGCCGCGTCTCAAGCGCTTGCATGGAGACCCCATCGTCTGGTGGGTGGGCCAGTTCCTCAAGTATTTGTTGCGTCCGCAGACGACGACGCGGGATTTCCTCGTCTCTGGCATGCGGAATTTGGGATGGGAGCGTCCAATTGTGGGGTAAGTGGTCGAGAGGTGCTGCCGGAGAAGGTTCCTTTTACTTTTAGGAGACATATTACACTGCACCCCTGTCATAAATGCCCACCTATCTAAAATTACCCCTTATTCTTTTTCTTTTGCAGGGTCCATGTCCGTCGCACGGACAAAGTGGGAACGGAGGCGGCCTGCCACAGTGTGGAGGAGTACATGACCCATGTGGAGGACTACTACCGCACGCTGGAGGTGAATGGCAGTAGTGTGGCGCGTCGCATTTTCCTCGCTTCGGACGATGCTCAGGTTATTGACGAGGCGCGCAGGAAGTACCCACAGTACCAGATCATTGGTGATCCGGAGGTAGCTCGCATGGCGTCCGTATCCACACGATACACGGACACCGCGCTGAACGGGATCATCCTGGACATCCATTTGCTGTCCATGTCCGACCACCTGGTCTGCACGTTTTCGTCCCAGGTGTGCCGCGTAGCCTACGAGATCATGCAGACGCTGTATCCGGATGCAGCGCATCGGTTCAAGTCGCTGGACGACATCTACTACTATGGCGGACAGAATGCGCACAATCGGCGCGTCGTCATCGCGCACAAACCGCGCACGCACGAGGATCTCCAGCTGCGGGTCGGTGACCTCGTCTCGGTGGCCGGCAACCACTGGGATGGTAACTCCAAGGGCAAGAACACCCGCACCAACCAGGTCGGCCTGTTTCCCTCGTTCAAGGTGGAGGAGAAGGTGGACGCCGCCAAGCTGCCCCTGTATCCGGGCGTCTAGTTGGATAGCCATCGGCCATGTTGTTGATTGATCTGTGAATCTTTTCTGCCGCATTCCACCTGGAATATCCATGGTGCACTTTGATTCGGCTCGGATCAGCATCGCCAAAATCGAATGAATCTACAAAATGTCCAGAATCTCAAATGAAATCTCGCTCTCTATGTTATTGTCCATCGAGTCCTGTGCTTCTTGTGACTTTTTCTTGGTGTTCTCGTATTCACACTTTTACGCTCTGGCTCCGATTCCGAATCTGATTCTTATTCTGCATTTGTACAATTCTTTTATTTATTAGTAAGTCGAAAGCCGAAGAAATTATGTTGACAAGAATATACATAAATATATATATATAAATAAATTATATATAGGAGTGCATGTAGGTTCACTAAGCGCAATATAGTCTATCACCTGTAAAATAGTTTAAAAGAAAAACAAATGATGAACGCAAAACAAAACTAAATCTGATTAAATTCAATAGTAAAAGAAATAAATAGTAATGTTTTAAAAAGAAAATGTTTGTACATACAATGTTGTTTTATTATGATGATATTCGTTTAAACTGATAAAAAATGTAAACTGGGATGTGTAATATTCATCTTTTGGACCAGGCGAGCAGTAACGTTCATTAGGTATCTTATGATCAGTTACTGGGTTTTTGTTAGAGATGGCCGCGTGCCTAATTTTAGACCCGTCCTCAAGTAAATGAGGCTTTGGCTGTTTTTGCGAGGCGAGCAGCTTAAATAAGTTTTTTTGCTTTTAATTTTTGTCGCGATTTTTCGTGACACGAAAAAAAATCCAAGAAGCTTAACCATCTCTAATCTACGCTTAATTCTAATCTCAGCAACCGCTTTTTCATTTACATGTTGCCTACATTTCTGCGCCGTTGGATTTTCTAATTGTACATATGTACGACTTCTAATTGTTTCTGGGCGCCTCGTACTTGAAATACAGAAATCTAGTATTGCCCTAATAAATTTAAAGCAAGTTATGCGGGCCTAATATTAAAATTCCCAGGTCCTTAAATTGATTATTATAATCCCAAAAAGGAATGTCTTACCTCATCGAAAACTATAATTTTTTTATTATATTTCGACTTTTTTGCGTGACCCATTAAAAAACTTAGACAAAAATTTTATTTTTAAAATAGTTTCTATTCCGTTTTTATTCAGATTCTTTTGAGAACAAAATGTTTTACAGCTTTTATTTCACAAATTCAAGCAATCAAGAAATTTGATTCACATTTTTAATATAATTATATACCGTTAAAATTAAGTAAGACTAATATTAAGTAGTCAAATTTTGTGTGCATATTGAAAAACATTTTATAAGGATTAATAAATTGTTATTTTTCTCTCATTTGTTACCAAGTCTATTTGTCACATCTTAAGTTCGTTAATCTATTATAACATTAGGCAAATTCGTTTTCGCGGAATGGCATTGCTTTGCACTTACATTTAGATGTGCTGACGACCCTTTAACATGGGTATGTATGACTGGGCATTAATTAATAAAATGTATGAATTTTGAATAATTTAGTACATGTTTTTTATGATGGGTTTTTGGCGGTTCAAAAACCCTGCGGCGCCGGTGAAAGTGCAAATTGACGTTGCGTGCCCTCGCGATGAGTCAAGTCAACTCGCTGGAGCACCTCGAAAGCCGCAGGAATTCCACACCAAAACGAGAAAATTCCCAAAAAAACAAGCCAAAACGGGCGCCAGAAAATCGAAAAAAAAATAAGAAACGTGATAAGCTTCCCCCACCGACAACAAAAAAACAATAACAAATATATGGCGCACGCGTGTTTGTGTGCTTGTGCATAAATAAATTAAAGGTATATCTGTGTATGGGTAATTATAATTAAGTACTCAATGAACCGCAGGGAAGTAAAAAAAATAATAATACTAAAAAAAGCGGTCAAACAGGCAGCTGAACCGGCAATATGAGCCGGAGAACCGGGGAATCGGAAAAAGGAGCTCGCCGCGATCGTTGGACAAGGTCAAGTCGCAGTCGTTGGCAGCTGAAGCGGATAAGCCGCCTCATTCCGGGGCTTTGGCTTCTGATAACCCGGCTTCTGTCACCCCAGGCTGCGTATAAAACATTGTGCCCGGGGCTTAGACAACAGCACTTGCCGACCAGCAGCCCAGTTGATAACATCATCGCACCCAGAGTTTCGGGAGATTACCAGTACAAAACACATCATCAAAACAGAATGTCGCACTTCACCGTCGTCGCCGTCCTTTTCGTCTGCCTTGCCATTATCCTGGGAGACCAAGGCGCCCAGGCTGCCGTTGCCAAGGTTCACCTGACCAATCCCGGTAAGTTACCCAAGTTCATAAAAACTTTTGGTCGTGCTATTTATCCTTTAAACAAGAATTTCATTATGATTACCGATTTTGCATTTTTCCACAACGCTCTAGGAATACTCTTATAAACTTAAAAAAAAAATATTTATTCTAAAACAATAATCTAATCATTTGTAATGTAAATTTTATTAATTGACTTGATGATCTTAAGCCTCCAAGACATACTCTTTCAAGCTTATTTATTATAAGAATATTCTTATTAACATTTGTTGTTAATAATTAATTTAATAGTTAATTTCTATTTGAAAATCGATTTTAAAAATAATAATCTTCAAAATATATATTTGAACGGTATAACGCAATCAATAAAGTACAAATTAGTTCCCCCTGTTAGAAAAATATCTTATTCAGGGATGTGCAACGATTGCTTTGATACACAAAACAGTTATATATGTATGATCCATTTACCTTTGTGTTTCCAGATCATCCCGGCAAGTGTGTGCTGGACTCGAACACGATCATGTCGCCCGGACAGAAGGGCAAGCAGCCCAATCACCCATGTGCAGGTGTCGAGTGCCATGAAGGTGGAATGGTAACCATCAGGACCTGTACGGCCGTTGCTCCGCCAAAGGGATGCAAGCAGCGCGACTTCGTCAACACCAACCGCAACTATCCCGAGTGCTGCGAGCGAGCCTACGATTGCACCAAGCACATCTAAAGCTATCGTTACTCGAGTGTTGATAGTTAAGTGCTAACCAATGGATAGTGGTTATCCTTTTTTTTTTGTTTGTTTTTGTTTTATTTATTGTGTATACTACAACATAACAATTAAAATGTAAACGCTTAGCAATACAATTAAATAATTTAATAGAATCATTAACAGAAAATACATATGCATGTACGCTTGCTTGTGGGGGTGTAATTGGGCTTGGATAATGAGGCAAGGACCTGTCCGCGGCTCTACCTATATCTATATCCGATTCGGCTCGTTCTGGCGTCGGGCAATACATCACTGAACATGGGTATAGCTTGCCGCCCGTTGCAACTCTACACTAACTCATTACACTAAATGGCTGGCATATGAAAAAAAAATAATTAAACCAAATAAAAAGTATTAAACAAAATCACAAGGACGAAAAAGGCAGAGAGGTAATATAACTATGCATATTTACACCTGCAAGTGTGTGTTCTCTAGTTTGTTTGGGGTCTTCTCGAAGCGCACAATCTCCCAAACGCAGAACGAGGCGAATTCGAATCGCAGCCAGCCGAACGGTTGAATCCTTTTTGGTGTCTCTCCTTTGCAATTGCAATTTCCTGTTTTTCTTAGTAACTTTAGCTAATTCGTTTGTTTGTTGGTTGCTTGGTTGGTTTTTGCTTGTGTTTTTGTGTGTTTTGTGTGTGCTTATGTATCTCAGCGACCACGCCCCGTAGCCCGGCCGCCTCCTATCGGCTGAGATTGTTGATGTAGAGCGCGTGCAGCTCGGTGCGTGGAGTATTCTCGAAGAGGGCGGCGCGGTTCTGGCCCTCGCCCTTCTTAACCCAGTGCCCGTAGACACGGAAGGCACAGCCATCGATGACCTGCAATTAAATGGGAGTTAGTTTATATTCAAATACATACAGAATAATAGCTCTTTAAGTTCTCTTTTCTTGATATATTATATAAAGAAATCGATTATCATTAAAATATCAGTAAAAAATGCGTTAAAATTAACTTCGGAAAGCAGCTGTTCTTATATCTTTGCAGTTATAACAAGAATTAGTTAGTAAATAAACCAAAAATAATTGTTATTTATAATTTCATACAAAAATATCTTAAACTATGAAAGATATTGATAAACAAAAGGAATAAATCTCTCTAAAAACTAAACAAAATTGTCTACTTTATTGTGCTATAAATTTGGGAATTTCATCTAAAGAAGTATATTTGGTTTACCCATTTAGAAACCTACAAATAATGATTCGATTTTCAGGATGGACTCTTAGTACAATCTATTAGTTCTTTGATGAAATCTTTAGAGCTATTATTCTAAGCGCAGTTTAGGGATTCGTTTTTGAAACAATTACTCACCTTGCGCAGAACTTTGACGCGATACGGATCCCGGATGGCCTCCTCAACGTGCAGCGGCTCGGCGGTGTAGCGCAAGCGCCGTATTCGGATGACGGCTCGTATCACGAGTATGGCGAATTGGAACTTTTTGCGCGCGTTGAAGCGACTTTGTTTGCGCAGCTAAACATGAGAGACGGGAAGGGCTGGATTAGGACTTGCATTTTCGGGACATCAACTCGCGCATTGCGGATCGATCTCTTTTGGCTTTGTGTTTGGTTAGAGGTGCACACGCCATTGGTTAAATTCGGGGGTTAATTCGTTTTGGGGTTAGCAGTTGACGGATTAAAAGTTAATGGTTAATGGTTACTCCTTCGGACAAAAACAACACGGATCGGGGTCAGCGATATGTTTCGAGTGCCCAGTGTTAGATTCAGTGTTATTGTTAGTGGAGCATAAAACTCCGGGGTCAGTGTTTCGATGGGTGAGTGTTATTTGGTAGTATTATTTACTTTATCGGATGAGTGTGGAGATGGTGGGCCAAGCAGACGTTTTAACAGAAGACAAAGAAAAAGCCATAGCCGGAAGCAAACGAAAGGTCAGAGGTTAGGGTTAAGGGATTAGAGGAGTAATTACAGTCAAAGAAACATTTTCGAGTGAACCACAACATTGACGCTATTTACGGATTACCATAAAACTGGCACGATTCATATGTGTGGCATTATGCAGATAAACAGATATACAGTGACGAGTATTAAGGTATGCGGAGTGGGCGTGGTTGGATGGATGGATATAATACTGTATGCAAATCTATCTCAGTTTGACTTGGTTTACTCACAAGGGAGTCTCCACAACACCGACTTATAGACACACATCTTATAAGGGCGTTGAGACTCTGACAATATAGAGAACATGACACACAAACAAAACGTGTATAACATCATCAACAGAGGAGAAATTAAACAAAATAATCCGTCAGTGAATCGATTTAGGCGTTATTTCATAATATATACGATTATAGATGGGCAGTATATGCACCCAAAAAATATTAAATCCCAGTAAGGCAATCTTTTCAACTAATAAATTGAATGATCCAATTGATAGGCTAAGCTGAGAAGTGATAGTTTTCACTAAAAATTTAGACCTAACACCTAATTCGTTACAAATTAGAAAACATCAATCGTATTTTTTTGGGTGTATATACACTATGCTATGTGCTATGTATGGTTAATCATAATTAAGACTAGCATGCAAGTTAGCTTATATTACTAATCTGGCTTCCTTCACAAGGCACAGAGAGAAATGAGAGACACTAAGAGGCGTTTTTGGCGATTTAAGATTAGTAACAGATGACACCGTTCACGACTACATCTAGGACTATTGCTATGGCTACACAGAGGTATACGGCAGAAGCAAGTCAACTACATACAGTTCTTGTAAATATCATCCAGTTCACCCGAGAGATATGTACTAGAGAAAGGTGCATATAATACAAACATAGTGTTTACTCGCTATGATATGACTAATTGTCAGCTATAAGAAAATACAATAATAGTAATAGTATAATGCAGTAGAGGTAGGTACTTTCAATCTTAGACTAAATAGTAGGCGGATGGGTAGTAAGCAGCGGCTGACCGATCGGCCGATATTACGATCCATCGGATCAAACATCTTAGAGAGAGATAGCCGAACAGTATAATGCGAGGGTGAGTGAGTGAGTGAGTGAGAAGGATGAAGGTGGGTAAGTGATACAATGGAGTTGAATCGAGTGCAGCTTGTCTCTTATGATTTATGGAGTGGACTGAATCGAATCAACTAAAAGCGCTAGAAATTAATCGGTAATAATACGTGTGGCGTCTAAATAAGAAGTAAAACCCACGCGGTTGCCAAAAAACGCTAAAGAACGAAAAATGCCTTACGAAAACATATGCTGTTGTAAATTTACAAATAAAGGGAAACGAAATCTTTAAACAAATATTCCAGTTAATTTTCATTAGATAATTTGATAAGCTTCTAATATTTTTAAATGAAAATAATAGTTAAAAATAAATAAGATTCAATCATCATTGTAATTTTAAAAATAAATTCTTAGGTGACAAGTATTAAATAGTAGTCATTAATGCAAGTCTTATTCGTCCAGGTCTTTGGTATGCAATTTTTCGTTTCCCTAGCGATTTCTGCCATCGCCCGTTGGGCCATTTGTGATGGGAAAGCAAAGAAAATCAAAGGAAAACCTGCCTGCACTGTAGGAGGTGCATACACCGATTGCTTGCCACCGCCATCGCCACCTGGCTGCAATTGTGGATGCAATTGCACCGGCAGCGTCGTCTGTTGTTCCTGATACTGTTGCTGCTGCAATTGCGATTGCTGCTGCTGCGGTTGCTGCTGATAGTAGACCGTCGCCGTAAGCGTTTTGTGGGAGGAGGCTGAGACGGAGGAGGAGGACGCCAGGTCCATGCCCAAGCCCGAGGAGGAGGAGGAGGAGCCGGCGTGGCAGGAGGCAACAGCTGCATCATCCAGCGGACCGTCGCGCATTCGGTTTGACGAGTAGGAGCTCTGTGGCGCACAGTACAGGTAGCCTGCGCTGCTGTTCAGCTGCCCAAAGCGGTACGATGACGTCTCGGAGGCGAGGAGGTGGTACCGGCTCGAGTGGGCGGCCAAGATGGGCGGGGGCTGATGCCGTCGGTCACCCATCAACACCTGATTTTCGCACCACAGTTAACAAACAAAAACGGGGGGAGGATGGTTGGCAGAGAGGCAAGGGCAGAGGCAGCAGCAGAGTGGGCGCGGAAGAAATTAAAATGTTATCAGTCATGGGTGATAAATCAAAGGAGGTGAATCAGGGCGTACTTATACTTAAATACAGATTACCTACGGTAGTCTCAACTTACAGTCTATACAACTGACTTAAAGAATACATCCTAGTCGACTAGTCGTTCCTTCACACTTCATAATTATATGCACCTTGGTTGGGATTCGTATTTGGAGTACACCCGTACCTTGAATTTTATTTTGAAAGATTGTTCAATATGAGAGGATTCCTTCAGCTGGCATTTCAAAATTACTGAACACTTAAAAAAAAAACTGACCCTTAGGTTGAGTTTTTATTTATATTTTGGTTTTTTAAGTTTTTTTTGACGAAATTTACACTTACACTTTTTAAGTTAATAGGGCTTTTAGTTTTGCTAAGGTACTTGCATATTTTCATAAAGATTTAAAAAAGAACATTTGCCAAAAAAGGCTTCCAAAATGTAAATATTTAATTCAAGGTATGGGTGCACCATCCTTAAATCTCACTGCCTGGTTCTTTTCCCTCTCACTGGCTAATGGTTAATGCACGTACACATGCAGTGACTCAAAATGGGCATAGGATATGGGGATTTCGGAAAGGTTGGGTCTGGGGTAAGGGAACCCTGCTGGATTTCTTCTTTTGGTTGGCATGCAGACACAGATATTAACTTAACAGCGTATGAATAGAATGGCGAGCACAGAGCTGCACAAGTGTGTTAACGGTTTTAGTTATCGGGGGCAATCGGTTGAATTGTACAAAAAACACACATGGAGCACAAGTTCGACAACAACATCGAGTACAACGGATTAGAGGGGATTGGTTATCATCGTGGGGCATCGCGCCATCGACAAGCAAAACAAATCAGATGCAAAAAACGAAGCAAATCAGGTACGTTTTCATTTTGTTATTTGTTTGCTTCTGGCGGTTAGAAGTTATTATGCTGGCACATGACCTGACCGGTTTATTTATATATAGTATACAATTGATATGCACTATGATGTACAGTTTAGCTGGGTTATATTAGATCGGCACAGAACGAAACAGAACAGAATGCAACAGATCAGATGCAACGGAACACAGACACGAATGTTGGGTCGGCAGGATTGCATGGTCATGAGTTGGGGACTGCCGACCCGATTGTTTTGTTATCGGGATTATCGTTATTACAGCGATTACAGCTCCGATAAATGGATACGGAGACACACAGCACAGAGAGATAAAGATAGAGAGGGTTAGTCCGGGAAGAGTTCGTTACCAGTGCGATCTCAGTGATGCGACTCATTCGTCGGGACTTGGTCGACAGGCTGCGCTTGAGGCCATCAATGTTTTGCTCGAACAGCTATCGATAGTGTGTGTTTGTTATCGTTCGTTTTGGTTCGTTTAAAATTAATTGTAATCGATTTGATTTGATATATCGTTTATATGTAAGGAAAAGAAGAGAGAAAATGGTTGGTATAATAAATAGTAATCGTAAAAGTAAAGTAAACGCACAAAACACTATTAACAAAACGAGGAGTGCTGCTTAAGAGCCCGGGTGATTTGATTTGGGGGAACCAAACTTATGACAGACCCTGTCAGGACATAGATCTGACAGTTGGACTAAACTACGGGGGGTTAGGCTGCTACCCTAACCAAATCGTAAATCATAATCGTAATTTTAGAAGGTAACAGTAAGAAGAAGCAGTTAATAGGCTGTTGTGAGTGGATTGTGAGTCACAGGTGTGTTCTTTCCATCAGAGTGTGTTTTTAGGTGTATTTTGTGTTTAGAGACATTTGCAGGGCCAGGTGGTTGGGTGGGGTTATATGTAGAATATCCCCTCAAGAGTTTAAAGCCCTCGACTCGAGATCTAGAATCTATATACAGGGATGGGAGCCCGAAATCTAAAAACTGCAGCCCAAACACAAAAGGCGACTCGGAGGCGGACCTCATTCCTGGTGGCTAATTGGTCTGATTTTTGTTTTGTACAGGCGGTTGTACTGGTGTTTTTTGGGGTTCGGCGGCGGCCAGCAATTCCAGCACTTACCATTTGGTTGAAGAATGGATGTCTTAATACTTCCGTGACGGTGATACGTTGCGCAGGATCAACGACTAGACATTTACGTATCAGATCCTTGGGATCCTCTGAAATTAATCGGGGGAAATAAGCATATATGTATCGTTTAGATTTATATCAAAGGACCAACCTGAAATATCAGCCCACTCAGGCGAGGTGAAGCTGTATTTGCCCTCCATGATATTCCGCAGCATGACCATCTGTTTGCGGTGCCAGAAAGGCGGACAACCAACGAGCAGCGTGAACATAATCACGCCACAGGCCCATCTGCAAATAAAATGAGTAAAAGGTGTCAATAATTTTTGCTGAACCTAAGTAACGAAGATACCAGTGGGAAACGTTGAACAGCCCAATAAACAAAAAGCCATACTTATTGCTGAACCAAAGAAAAATAGACGACGGTATCGGAACTGATCAGGTTTCAGATCGTTATGACTTTTTGCTCATTTGCCTGTGACTCATTCATCAAAATGCACACCTCAAGATCAAAACAATTCGCTTGGCGAATAACACTATCAAAAGTAATGTATAAACAACTATCAGCAAATTTCTCTTATTTTAATGGGAAAGTTTAGGTTCTTTTATAATTAATGTGATCACAACGAAAGAATATGACAAAAAATTGTGTTTTGCTGGTCGAATTAATATTTTGCAGTTACTACACTTTTACTTCATTGAATTTTAAATAATTAATTTTTATATTTTGAAATGACTGAACAAGTCTTTCGATTTATGTGCACGAAAAATTGGGATATCTACTTAGGAATGTACTGATAAAAAAAAAAGATTTTATTGTTCTTACATGTCCACTTCCTGGGAGTATCCGGGGGATCCTTCGAACATGTTGCACTTAAGCGTTTCCGGCGCCAAATAGCCCGGCGTTCCACACAGATCTGAAGGGAAAATAAAGTAAACATACTGTATAAAATCCCGCAGAATGTGCCTATTAATCACCTGTGAGTTTCTCGCTCTCCTGCAGCTGCCTGGCAAAGCCAAAGTCCGTGATCTTCACGTTGTGGTTCTCGTCGAGCAAGATGTTCTCGGGCTTGAGGTCGCGATGGACGATGTTCTTGGCGTGTATATACTCGACGCCCTCAAAGATCTGTCGCATGATGGTGCGCGTCTTCTTTTCGGAGAGCGTCACCACAGAGGTCAGATAGTCGAAGAGCTCGCCCTTAGGACAAAGCTCAAATACGAGGAAAACAAATGCATCTGACTCAAACACGTCCTGCAGATCAACTGTGGTAAGAAAAAAATGGTTAAAAATAGATTCTGTAAATGCCAGAAAAGGACTTACTTATGTAGGGATGCCCCATGACCTGGCGCAGTATTGAGATTTCTTGTCTGGTTGCTTCGAGCATGTGATATGGATTCGTCTCACCCGCCTCCGTGGTGGCGCCCAGGTCGATGATCTTGGCGGCGAACTCCTTGCCCGTCTCCTTCTCGATGCACCGCCTAACGGTCGAACTGATGCCCCTGTAAGACAAACATTAGGTTGAGATAAGCTGCACTTGACTTTGGCATGATCGGGAATTTATCTAATCTCTAATCGCTTCAATTGTAATATGTAATTAGCCCTTGTTTTCGCTTAGTCTCTGTTATTTGCTTAACAAATGCTGATCTCAGGGGAGGAGTAGGAGGTGGAGGAGTAGCCGACAGACGGGCGCCGCTTCAAAACCCATGCCATTGCTCCAAAGTGAAGAACTGGAGGAGGTTGACTCATTTGGCACCATTAAGCCAAACTGCAGAGCCATAAACAAAGCCGGCATTAATGCAAGCTTAGCAGTAAGGGGCAGGTATGGCATAAAAAGATCGTTTGTCGATATCGTATCAATTGTTAGGGATGCGGGAGACATCATTTAGTTTGGATATATCAAACAAATTTCTGTTCTTCATATGTTGATATAAATCTTTTGAAGGGAAAACATGTTTTAATATTCAAATAAGTTAATAGATTTTGTTTTAAAAAAAAATGTTTTTTTTTTAATTTTCCCATTTTACAGGATATTAGGGTTATTAACGGTAAAATTACAGTCATCCCTAAGAAGTAAAATTCTTGCAATTTAACGAACAAATCTCTCACCTGCCCAAAATCTCCTTTGGCTCGTATTTAGCATAGAAGCCCTTGGCCGCATCCTTGTCGGGCAGCAGGTCATCCTCCTCGTCCTTGGCCATTAGATCCAGTGAAATCTTGCCGGCGCTGCTGAATCAGCAAGGGGTAATCTATTGGGCGGAGGAGAGATGGGAGGAAGCAGTGGATTAGTAAAGGATTATATGATGATCGCAATCAAGATCAGTTACTCTGCGGCTGGCCAATGAAGATGATGATGAGATGCGGCGACTGAGGAGGCGGGAGGTGGACTGTTGATGATGAGGTTGATGCGATCGTTTAAGGCGTTGCTATTTTTATAACGACAATGTGGGAACGAACGGACGTGCGACACGAGTGAATCTCAGCGACTGCGACTCTCCGACTTTGCGACTTTCCCACTTTGCGACTTTCGTTCTTTTTGGTTTTGGTTTGGTTCAGTCTTTCCTTTTAATTACCAAGTGACGTCGACTGCGCTGCTGCTGCGCTGGTGCCGCCGACTGCGCTGCTCCGGTTGGAAGTGGAAGTGGCCTGTATCGGTTAACTATCTCGCTCTCTCTCTCTTTCGCTCGCTCAGCTGTTGGCGGCTGATTTAATTAATAACGAATGCCAACTACAACAGAGATCGATTTGTGAAATAACAGGCAAAAATTAAATCAAAAATAATAGAATTAGCATTCACTGATACACAAGTGTGTGTATGTGTTATGAATGATTACACAACTACAACGGTTTGTTTTGTTTGTATTTTTGTAACGCACGCATTTTTGTTATTGTTCTTATCACCGCTACTTCTTATTGCTGGTGTTGTTATTGTTTTGCAGTTGTCTTGCTTCTGTTTTCACACTCTCCGACACATACAATCAAACAATGTGCAGCAGGTTATTTTTTGTTTTTGGTTTGCTCTCGTTTTCCCATCCTCCTTTGCAATCACACACACACACACACACACTCACACTCGGGCACACAGACGCCGCACAGCACAGCCACACACACGCACCATCGTGGACATCCAACAACACTAAGCGGGTACATTTCAATGTCAACTAAGGTTAAAAGTAGTACGCTTTTTGGCGGAGTTGGCGCACGCACCGCCTTTGAAACACATACACGTGTGGCCGCTCGGCTGGCTGCTCGCTTTCGACGACGTCTCGCGCATAACTCCACGCCTGATGCCAGATATTATCGGATTTAATTGCAAATGCAACAAAAAACCCTGTATTTTATTTTGACACAATCACAAAACTAGAGCTGGAAAAAAACTCGATGTTCATTTAATAATATCGATATTTCCGCACAACATCTATGTTTTCTTGCAACTATCGGATATTAATAGTATTTGATGGTTCATGTCTTGACTAACGCACTAAGGCATGAGAAACCCACTAGTGCCATACATTTAAAACAATTACACTCCCAAACAGGGATGGCTGTCTTAGCAGAGACACTCTCGCAATGAGGTCTAACAAATCAAAAATCCAATCGTTAAATTCGTTATAAAATTTCCAATGAAGTAACATTCTCAGGAAAAAAACAAATCGCAAAAAATTATGGGGTACCCCTTTTGCAAAATATTTTGACCAAAATCCGTAAAAAATCTGCTCGTTTTTTCTGTTTTTTTAATCAAAGCCCTGGGAAATATTGGAATATCATACATCATTTGACACGTTATAAAATTCACATAAAAAAAATTGCAAAAAAAGCATGGGGGTACCCATTATAAAACATTTTTTTGCAAAAATCCGGAAAAAATCTGCTCTATTTTTCTTTTTTTTTTTTTAATCAAAGCCCTGGGAAATAGTGGTGTCATGTTGCAATGTCAAACATCATTGAATTCGTTATAAAATTTTCAATCAAGTTACATAAACAGCTAAAAAAAAATGTTAATAGACCAATTTTCGCAAAAAATCCTGAAAAATAATCAAAATGGAATCGATCGATAGTTTGGTTTCAAACTAACATAAAAACCTTAAAAAAATGTTTTTCAGTTTTTTAATTCGAACCCGAAATTAGGGAAAAAAAAAAGGAAAAAAATTTTTTTTTTCAATTTTAAAAAAAAAAAAAAAAAAAAAAAGAAAAAAAAAAAAAAAAATGTATTTTGTTTGAAATTATGCGTCAAACTTCGAACTTATGTGTTACAGGCTGAACAAATTTACAAATTAATATATTGTTTAGTTGTTTTGTCCAATTTTTTCAATGGCAAAAAAATATTCAATTTTTCAATTTTTGAAATTGGGCTAACAATTTATAAATCCAAAGCAAAAGGGGGGTTTTGTGGAGTTTGGTTGGGAAAAAAATGTTAAATAATATAAATTAAAACAGTATAAAGAAAAATTGGTCACTATACAAAAAAAATTTAATATTTTTTATTTTTGGCATAAATAGCTTGTAATCGTATTATATAAATAAACAACAATAAATGAAGGCAACAAAATAAAATTTAAACAATGTTTTTAATTTGACGTACATATTTTTGCAGACCTAATTTTGGAATAAATTTGTGAAGATTTTGTGGTGAAAAACAGATAAAAGCTTCGGGAATTTAATGTATAGAGTATTATATGTATATTTAAGGATCAACAGTACCCTTTACACAAAACACACGAATTAATGTTGATGTATATTATATTTATTTACGGAATACAATTGTAAAAAATATTTAATAAGCGCTAATGTATATAATAATTATGAGGCAAATCTTACATTTTCTTTTGCTTTCTTCCGGATGGGGACGGGGGGCGGGGGTCTGGCTTAAAATGTTTATATTTTTGTTTTTTTGGGAGTGGAAGAAGTGGAAGTGGGTGGCGGAAAGGGATGATGGGTCTCAAGTTCAGACCGCTGGGGATCGTTAAGTTAATACTCCGGCGGACTAAGCTGCTCGCCCTGTAGATTATGATTTAAGTTACCTTCGGATGCAGTCGGAAATACGTTGATTTGTTGTTGTTGTATATTTACTATCAAAATGTCGTAAATGGAATACACAATACAAATACAATTGAAGCAGCAAAGTTATTCATTCAGTGCCGTAGATACATTACAATAATATAATTATTAATTTATCGAAAAAAAAACATATATATATATATAAAGAAGACAGACACACACGCTTGCTGTTGTACACATACACATCGGATCTCTAGGCCTACAAACTTACAAATAATATCTATTTATATACGTATCTTTATGGATTTCTTGCCATGCTTTGTTTACGTTGCCTTGCTTTCTTCATTACGTTTTTTGTGTCTAACCGAAATTGATATTTCACCTAAGCGCACGCTTTTCGATAGGGGGAATGGTTTCGGGGCTTGGAAGGGTATTTGGAAACCGGTGTAGATGAAGAGCTCCTTGCTCCGGTTTTTGGCTGGCAGGACGACGACTTAATTTAATACAGCAAATCGGTCTTCTGTGTACCCTCGCTGTACACAACTCCCGCGCCCGGCGTCGCCGTCAAATGGTAATCATCCTCGTCCGCAGCTGAGCTTTTCTTGGAGGCACCTGCTCCTGCTCCCGCTGCCGCTGTATCCGTTCCTAAGTCGTCCTCCTTGATCAGTGATTCGCCGATGCCCACGATGCTCCCATTTCCGTTGAACAGCAGCCGGCTGCCAGCAGCTCCGGCGGGACTGCTCCCGTTGCTGCTCGGGCTGTGGCTGCCATTGCTGCTCCCGCTGCTGCTGCTCTCGGGCAGAGCATAGCGGGTGACTCCCAGCTGGAAGAGGTTGTCCATCGGCGAGCCCTTCACGGGCGTGTAGAAGCCCAAAGCCGTGGAGCCTGCAAGGATGCGTAGATCAAGATTAGCAACTTTTTCACTTTAAGCGGGGTAATCCTCGAGGGGATTGGGGGTTAGTACAGTAGTAACAAAAGGTGGCACCGAGTTCGGGATAAATATATATATAATCAAGGTGAGGTGGTAGTGGTGGTGGTATTGTGGATGACGGAGGATCTGGTACGGATCTTTCCAGGCAAATGAAAACGAAACGTGAGCCGGAGATGGAAATGGAAATGGAGATGAGCGATGGAAGTAGACGGTTTCTGATGACTAGGATGTGCCAAGTGTTTTGGGTGTCTGGTGTCTTGGTGTGTGTGTTCTAATCTGGGTTAGTTACCTTAATAGTAATATGAATTGGCGATTAGTTTTAATTGCCCAGCGGAGCAGACAGAGCAAGTGCACTGGGTTAGAGGTGTGGCATTTCTGTTTTCGCACTTTATTCGGTTATCGGGTTATTTGGTCTTTCAGTTTTTTCAATTTTTTGTTTGATAGTTAATTATTGCGGTTCGGGTTCAGCGGCTGCAGTTAATCGGTTATTCAGTTTTCGGTTCGGTTTATTTGCCTTTGCTTGTTATCATAGATATTTTTGGTTTTGGTATACAATAGATATTATTTCAACGCTTTGCTTATGTATTCTGTTACATTTAAATAATATCTGCAAAAAGAAATTAGTATGAACAAAAAATAGAAATAGAAATAGAAGGCAACACAAAAAAAACAAAGCGACAGCGGTGAGTTTAACAAAAGGTTGTTGAAATGAAAACCATGGGACAAATAGAGGGGTTGGTGGTGGGGGAATAAGCGTAACTAGCTACAATTTCAAATCGCAAATTGCAATTCAATACATGTCCCACAACGGCATACCAAACTAAACTAAACAAAGCAAACATACATAAGCACATAACACATAACCAACCAAACTCACACGGGTGCACAAAGATACGTAATTCAAATGAAAATAGTCACTAACTGAGGTTCTACGATTCGTTTTGGTTTGGTTTACACCGACACTGGTTGGAATTAGTTGCTTACTAAGGTTCTATGCTTTGTTTTTTTTTTGGCTTGTTGAAATGGAAGGCATAATTCTCTACTGTTTGATAATATTTGGATCATTTAACATTTTGTCAACCCTTAAAAGACCACTAAATACTCTGTGTTTGATTCCCTAAAGAAGTGTTTGGATTAAATTTAGCTAGTTGTAGTCGAGCGGGTTTATTTCGATAATTTTAAATTAGATAATGAATTGAGTGCATCACTTTTAGCCTAGTGTATACGTTGGACACTTGTTTTACTGAATACAGACAGGAGGAGGGCGTCAATTTACCAAATAGCTATCAAAGGAACATATTTTTTTCGAGAAGTTAAGGAGAAAAGCTTCTTCCTTTTGTATTGTGAAAGTTCCATCCTTGGAGTAGTCAGCTAAAAAACACTTATCGCTCGTTTAGTAATATATTCCAGTTGATCGTAGTCCAGAGCATCCGCATAAACGGCGTCAGTGCATCAGGAAGCATATAGGCATCTATTAATCGATTAGTCGTGTGTTTCGAGTGTCCGGTTGCCCCAGTGTTTTTTTGTGTGTTGTGATTCGTGTGTTGGGGTTGGTGTTTTACTTGTTTTGTGTTCCTGGTTTCCGCATTGAGTTATTTGTTTGGAGTGAGTCGGATGAACACGGGGTTACACTTTACAGTTTAGCGGCCATCAAGCCAGATATTTGGGAGCGGATCGGGGTCACCAAGAGGTATCCAGGGGATGATGGGTGTTCTTTAGCCTAGTTGTAAACATATAGTAAAGCTTGGGCAATGCCTACGTTTCGCTGGCGGTTTCGAATCGGATCGGTTCGGATCGGAGTTGGAGTTGGAGCTGGAGTTCTGGTGTTCTGGTGTTTGGAGACTAGTGCTTATTTGGTGGCCATCAGACATAGTAGAGCGTGGTGCCTGGAATGCGTGCCTGGAGCAGGGCCGAGCTGGCATTGGACAAAGCCAGCGACGACGGCAGACTGGGCCGACGACGTCGCTGTTGGAGATCTGGGTCTGGACTCTCGCCACTACCCCGACTCCTGCTGCTTTCGCTTGTTTCATATTTACTCTGCTGATGCTGATGGTGGTGCTGATTCTGATGCTGATGCTGCTCCTTCGACTGGCGTTGATTGCCCATTGTAAACGAGGCTGCCTTCCGCGGTTTGGCGCCAGCAGCTGGCAAGGATTTGGGTGCATCATGCTGCAGGAAGCAGGCGTACTGCGGCTTCAGCAGCACCGATGGCCTGGCCCTACGTAGCGGTTGTGGCTTCGCCGGGAGCTGGGGCCGCTTGGCGATTGTGGGTGGCTCGGTTTTGACAGCGGTTTCCACTTCTGCTGCGATTGGGATAGCCGCTGCTGATGCTGCTACTGCAGGTTCTGGCTGCTGCGGCTGCTGTGGCGACTGTGGCAAGATAATACCCCTCCCTAAACTTGGGTAATCTGCAAATATGCGTGAGGCGAAATTGAAAGCCTTTCAGCCAGAAAAGACCGGAGCACGATTGTTTGCTATTTGGATCTCGGATTTGGGTTTAATAGCATTTGGTTCGTTCTTTTTTTTTTTTTTTTTTTTTAGAGTTTGAGAGCTGTGACATAGCATTTACATATTGGTACAAGTATATAGAAGAGCAGGGGAATCAGGGAACGGGGGGCATTGAAAGGGCTGCTAGCTGAAGGCCGCACCCACCTGATGCGCCTGGTCAGCCGGCGAAACTGAGCACCCAGGACCAAACGAAGCTTCGGCCAGGAGCAGCAGCCGTTGCTCGAGGTCCTGGCGCTACATTTGGGAACTGAGACGGTTACGGAAGTTGAGGCGAAGGCGGAGACGGAGGCTGGAGCGGAGATTGGAGCGGGCTCAGAAACTGATACGGAGACAGGGTGATCTGTGGCTCTATCAGCATCTGTAAAGTGCAGAAACCTTGGTTGTTATATACCCCGAGTTCAGTGAGGGATTGGGGCTTGATTTTGGGATCTTGGATCTCCGATTTCAACGGGGTTCCCTGCTCCTAAATGTTGATGTACGCTTGTACTTATACAACAGTCATGTCTTGCGATTTTCTCACAATGTTTCTCTTTTTCAAACAGCTATCTTCTTCTGTCATATATTGGCTTAAGCTCATTTCCACCACAATTTAAATAACTTTATTTATTGAACATCATTTGAAACATATATTAATAGATAAAATGGTCCATTTATAAGTTAATCTACTAGTAAAGGATTAAATCCTTGTAACTACGAGTTTCTTTTCTAAATAATTACAATTTAAACAAATGGATAAATAGATATGTTCATATAATAAACAAGATCCATGGCAAACTGTTGTGCGTGGGATTCCCCTTCCACCTGGTAGATGTTCCCTGCATCTCTATGGCATTACTATTGTCATTGCTAATAAGTGTCTGGATGTTGATGTTGGTGTTTTTATTTGCGAAACCCCCCCCAAGGCAAACGAAAGTGTTGAACTCAAAAACAAAGAGATCGCGATGAGTGATGGATGAGTGGGTATTAATGATGGTAAACAAAACTCAAGAACACAGCTGGTAAATCAAGATTAAGGACAAGGCAAGTGACAGAGACAGAGACAGGCATGAAGACAGAGACAGAGATAGAGGCGTATGCAGGCAATCAGGCAGACAGATAGAGACAGCGACAGAGTGAGAGACAGAGACAAAGACAAAAAGCCATTCCATTCCATTCGCTGCTGCATGCCACATACAACGTATAACACAAAACACATGTGCATTACGCACGCTTGGATGGATTTTTGTGGAACCGATATTACTTACCCAACGGTAAATTCCCCAGCATCGTGCCGCCCCCCGCTGCCCCCGCCCTGTGTCCAAGTCCAAGTCCATGTCCCGCCGTCGATGTGGGCAGCTCGATGATCTCGTCGACCGTCACATGGTGGTGCTGCTGCTGGAGCTCCAGCTGGTGCATCTGCTCCAGCTCCAACTGCTGCTGGTGCTGCAACAGGTGCATCTGCTCCGCCAGCAGATGGCCGAACGGATCGGCGTACGGCGGATCCTCGATGACCATCGATGCCTCGGAGGGGTATTCAAACGTCGACGTCAGCGTGTCGTTGAACTGCACGCGGAACTGTGGGAAATTGGTAAGAAATCTGATTAGTTGTTGCTTCTGAAATTACAGTCACTACAATGGTTTTAAAGGGGGCATCTGCTGCTCAGTTGCTTTTTGTGTTGAAAAATATATAAATTGTTCTGCTCAAATCAGCTCATGCCCTCATTTTTTGTTATTTTGCATGTTCATTTGTAGAAGTTCAGATATCCTTGCTTATTAAAGCTATTATACGCATTTACCTAAACTGAATTTTAAACATAAAATTTCACTTAATAAAAATTACGTTTAATCAAGTCAAAGAAAATATTTTCACTTTTTTTTTTTAACAGAATATATTTATAAGAATCATTACAAATAGTCATTTAGTCACCGCAAAGGTAAAATTCAAATCATTTCGATAAAGTTACTCGCTTAATATCCCGTATTCGAAATGATGCCCCTGTTATGTTAAGTTTTCTTTTTTACAAAAACCATTTAAAATTTGGCAAAAATGTATAACTTGCTGACATTGGTGATAACAAAACCGACATGGTATTCACTTCTAATCTGGCGCCATTGAAATTAATGATAACAATTTGGATATGAAATATTGAATGGGATTGGGAGCTGAATTGAAACCTCTCAAAAGTCAAGCAAAATAAATTAATTAAATACCATTTCATCCGACCTTTTTGTTTTTGATTAACGATCAGTGTATTATTAACATAGTCACCTAGAGATTTACATTTAGCGGTTCCATCAAATATATAGCCAAAACTAAATAGTTTCTCTGCTTGCCATAAAATTTCAAGGTTAGACGAAAGTATTGGATCAAAGCTTTGTTATAAATATATAAAATATTTATCGCATTGATCAATGAAAGACGATGCTGATATGGGTTTGTTTTAAATTAATAATGTGTTGGCTATATGATAATTTTGGATACTCTTTGGATGGCATTGAAGGAGTGTATCCGTGCTTTTGGAGTAATGGCAAATAAATTGTTCTAAAAGCAACTCCCATCAAGCGGCACTTACTCATCGATGCCTTATCGATGGCGTATCAATGAGTCAACCCCGATGATTGCAAAAAATCGGCTCCTTATCGGAGAACAAACCCCAACAGACCGACGCAATTCAATGTGCGATACGATTGAATTGATTTGGAAATTCAGGCTGCGGCTGTTGATGCCAAAAGACCATAGTAGTTCCCATATCAGTCACACTGATGGAACGCACCCGAATAAAGGAATAAATAAATAAATTAGCGCCAGGCGAACAAAAGGGAAACAAATCCCGAAATAAGGCAAACCTAATGCAAGTTGATTAATAGTCCCTGGACAGGCGACACAGCCGATAAATGTTATATAAGGCGAGCATAAATACCGCTTTACATTCCCCTTATCACGGTCCCCATTGAGTGGTCAAACAGTTTGTACTGGCACTCGGAAAACACTTCCCTCCTTTCCAACGGGGAAAATAATCTTATCTTATCCTTTCAACACACACCAAACTAAAATTGGAAAAAGAACCATTGCTATCTTTTGGTGGCAATAACAAAAGGCCGCCACCTGACTCACTTCTGAGTGATATACTATATGAGGATCGAGGATTGGGAGTCGAGAGTAGAGACTCAGGGGATCCTATTCCCATACATACCGTGGACTCTTTGGGTTTCTGGCGAATGCTGGACTTGCCGTCGATCACAATGTTGGCATTTTCGAACTCCACATCGCACGGCGATGGCGGGCACATGGAGTAGTCGTCACAATCCGTGTCCGTCGACGTCTCCACTGAGAGATCGCCCAGCAACACGAAGCCAGGCTCATTTGGCTAAAAGGAAAGATGGAAAACATAACTATTAGTACTTGTTATGGGTTGAAGTATATAATTAAAATTTGTTTTGGTCTTAAATAAGGTCATAAAGAATTCCCCAACATAAACATTCCTAAAATTGTTCAAGCCTGTATTTGGAAAATAACAGACTTGTTTATGGTTGATTAAAAGCTAGAAAACTAAGTTATTACCAAATAAAATTAAATAAATTAATAAATTTGTTGCTTTAATGTTTTTCAAGTATTTATTGCTTATACAGAAGTTATCAATTGTAAATTATATTCCCTAATAAAAATTGGTAAATATCTTTAAATATTATCGCAAATGTTTCGTTTGTCTTGGAATAAAATTCAGGATATTGTACTAGCTTAAAACCACTTTAAAAATGTGGTATTTGGTTAAATGTTTTTCGAAGCTATTTATGATGCTAAACTGCTAATTAAGATATTATTAGTAAATAAATGGTATACACGCCTTTATTAAAGTTTAACTACCTACAGAAGTTAAAGAACGTCCGCGAGCTCTCTTGTTCTCGACGAGGAATAACCCGTTTTTAATTGGTTGTCTCCCGATATTTTTGAAGGAGGATAGCCCCTTCCTCTGAAAATCTGTCAAGTTATCAGGTCATATGTGTTCGAAAAGTGAAATTCATGGAAACTCATTCTTAATCAGCGTTTTGTTATGGGTCATCTGTGACTCACGGCAGGGGTTCCGAGGTCCAAGAGGGTTCCAAGTCCACGTCCCGGTTTTAATTTCAGTTCTCAGTCCCGTTCCATGGCATATCCCTCTTTCTCCCCCCTTTTTTGGCCCATTTTTTGTGGCACAAATCGACCCCCAGCCATATGCCATATGCTATATGCCATATATACCTATACCGCAGATAATAAAGTTCAAAACGAGATAAAAAAGACAAGGCAAAGGCAAAAGCAAACACAGTAAGTAGAAGTGAGCCTCAAAAAAGAATTGACAAAATTGAGTTCAGTGGTAAGAAGAGGGTAAAGAGATAGAGAGAGAGAGAGAGAGATATGGCAACAGAGAGAAGAGAACGGCACAAAGCACAAACAAACGGGTTTACCAACGACAAGAAGGCAAGAGGAAAACTTAGCCGAACCGAAAGCTGAAGTCTAAAGCTAAGGGAAAGGTATAGAGTATAAATAGTGGAAGTGGTGTCTGTTTTTCCAACCAACTAATTCATAAAAAAATACATTTTTATATAAACTTTAGCTCGCTTTGGTATCCAACTACAAATTTTATTTTAAACAAAAACTAATTTTTAATTTTAGTTAAAAACATTTTAATTTGGTAATGTTTAGAAACGATTAAAACGGTTACAAATTATTTGTCTTTAAAACTAATTCGAATTTTTGAGTTAATATGAATTGTTTACCCTACACATAAAATAATAACAAGGTTAATAATAATAGTATATGTACATATGTAAAAACAATAAGTTCTCTAAAAATACTAAATAGAAAATTCTAGTCATTTTTTTCATTTTAAGATAAACTACTACTATAATTATTTCTGAGAACATTACTTTTGTTTATTTTAAATTAATAAAGCCAAAATATTCGAGCAAGATCCAAATAAAAAGGTGACTTTGCACCACCAAATAAAGGGAATTTCAATATGGTTGGAGAATAAGAAACAGCTGTAAGGAGTAGACCAATCTCGCATCCTATCCCATCTCATCAAAACCGGCATCCCGAGGAGCGACTGCTCCCCAAGAATAAAGTTCCCCACAGACACATTAAATCTCATGTACACAACACATATCTCTCCGGACTCGGACTTTTGCTGGCAGCAGGAAGCGCAGAAATAGCTTCTCATGTCCACATGCATGCTTCAAAACTGGTTTCCCACTCTTCCGATCTCGAAAACTGCAGCCAAAGAAGAACCCAAAAGAAGAAGGGACCGAAGACAGAAGACGGCCAGAAGATGAGACTTGCATCTGGCTGGGAACAAAGCAGACTTTGGGAAAGAATATGCAGATATGTGTATATATACATATATTTATGTATATGCATATAGGAGGAGCAACTGCTCATGTCGCACACGATTCGGGGCTATCGATCGGAGAGCTATTCAAGGCGAATTTTAATTGACTCGGAGCAGAAGATCACAGCGAACTATTCCCAGCTGTGATGCAAGCTTCGATCTCTATTAGGGGTTTGCCATTTCCTAAAGCAGTAGCAATCGTCGATCGAAGATCCCCAATTGATTGGCTATCTCCGCAATGGTAATAAACTGGCTGTGCAGTGTAATCTTTGTGAGATACTTATTAATCAACACTATGATTTAGCAGCCGACAGGTATTAAATGGGTGATTTTAAACTAACACATTAATTACTGGAATGATTGTCCATTCACTCATAGTTTTAGTAAAGGAATCTGTAAATTAGCAATCACAGATCACTAATTCCCAATACGTTGGTGCTTGATAGGAAATATTCTAATCTGTCGTTTAGAACTGCTATCACACGAAGAGTGACTGAAATCAGAGATATTATTGTTCCTGATTGTTTTTTGGTGATCTTAAACTTTAGATTACAGATCAGTCATCAAACTAAAGCTAAAGATTACTTCATTTCTCTAAAGTTTAATAAATTAAAACAGTTAAACCAAAAAATCAGTATCCTTTTGATCATTGATCCCTAATAAGTTGAATACCTTTTTTTTTTAGCATCGGTGATTGGTGATCGTACCTATCCAAAGCGATTGAAGTAGAGCCATTAGTCATATCGTAACATTTACGTTATATATGACTAATATACAAAACAAGAAAGAAAGAGTATCCAAACTGCGCTTTGTCACTTCTTCGCGCGGTTCTCTCCACTGTTCTCCGCAGTTTCTCAGTTCCGTTCTCGCCCTGTCTTGTTGAACTTTCGAAATGCGCATGATCGCTGTTCTCTGTGTGCTTTGTTTCATATTTGTTTATACGGCATGGCTGCCGTATGACACAAAAAAAAATAATAACAAAAAACAGTACGCGAGAAAGAAACAGAAAATAAACCATAACAACAAAGATATTGGGGACGGACGAAAGAAAACCAAATTACAATCGGGGAAAAAATAATTCATGGGGTAATTGTTAAGCATGAATAATCCGCAAGGCTGCGAACAGATAAGACGGCCGAATGTGCCTCTTCCGGGGAAGATTTCGTGGAAAAGAGTGAAATTTGTAGACCCCCGATCCCAGTTCCCCGTTCTATGTCCACTCACCTTTGGCAGCTCCCGCTTGCGCCTGTAGATCACAACGTCGCTTTCGATGTAGTCGGGCACCTCCTTGGTGCTCTTGGAGAAGTTGAACACCATCGAGGTGTTCTCTGTGGAATGATGGCTGGAACTGGGCCCCGATCCCCCGCCTGCTCCTCCGGCACCATGGCTCTGGTTCCTCAGCTTGCGCAGTGTCCACAGGGGCGAGGCGCTGGCCTCCGTTTCGCTGCTGGGCGTTTCCTTGGTGTTTATCACGGTGTCGAGACTAGTGGTGGGCGAGGACCCCGATCCCGTACCAGTACCCATTCCGGATCCGGATCCCGCACCGCCGGCTTCTGTGGCTGTCGACTTCTTCATCTCATTGATGCGATTCTTTTCAATCTCGCGGCTCGTTAGCGGTGTGCTACCAGCTCCCTGGCTATTGAATAGCGGACGGATTACTCCAATCTGTTTGGTCACCGCTGGCCCGCTGGATTCGTTGTTGTTCAGCTTGCGTACACTGGTACTGCTACTCCCGCTGGCTACATGCGCGTTCTCCGTCGAGTCAGCGAATGATCGCTGGGCGCCTCCCGCTGCCGTTTCCGTTGGGGGCTTAGGCTTATCGTTTGCCGCCACCGCGCCCATTTTATCGCGTTGCTCATTGTTGTCGCTGCTGTCGCCGTCGTCGTCGTTGTTGTTGTGGCTGTCGTCATCGCCTTCGCCTTCGCCATCGCCTTCATCGCGATCGTTTCGCTCAGTCTCGCTTGGCGCCTCGCTCTGCGGTGTAGCCTCCGTGTCCCGCTCCCTTTCCAGCGCCTCTGGATCCTGCAGCTCCATGCGTCGCATCATCACACTCAACGCCGACACGGGCGAATCGGTCTGGCGCGGTATTATGTCCGGATGGGCATGATGTGGGGTCCTTAGCGGCGTGGAGGACGCAAAACCAATGCCAGGCGGCGTTGCCGTTGCTGGTTTCTGATCCTTGATGATAGACTTGTAGCTGGCCACCTTGCTAGCCACTCCACCCACGCCATTCGAACGATGGGTGGTGCGCGGACGACGATTGGCACTCGCCTCAAACATCTTGAGTGTCTGTTTGACCAGATCCGGTGGCGGCCGTTCGGTGTCATCGATTATGGAGGTCAGGCGCTTGGGTGGCGCCGTGTCCGTGCCGCTGTGCAGCCGCTCACGGGCATTGTGGATCTTGTCCTCAATGGTGACGCAGGTGGGCGAGGTGACAGGTGAAGGGGTGGCCTTGAGAACGGGTGGTGCTGGTGCTGCGGCGGCGGCAATGGTGATTCTTTGACTGTTCCATGGTGACTTCTCGCAAAGCAGGGCCTCCACGGACCGGGCCCGTTTCATCACCTCGTTGCCGCGCTTAAAGTGACGCGATCGGTTACCTGAGCCCACTCCAGATCCTGCTCCTCCTCCATTGGCTATGACACCTGGTTGGTCGCCATCTGATGTCAAGGGCGGGTTAACAGCTGATCTTCCATTGGAGGAGCCCAGACTGACGGGACGCTGCTGGCCGGACTTCGAAGTGGGTTTGGCCCCCAGTATGGGTGGAGGTGTAGATTTGGCACGCACCTGACTGGCCACCTCCGGCTCCTCCACTTCCACCTCGTCGTCATCACGATCCAGCAAAGTGTTTAAACTGGTGGAGCGCTGAAGACGTTGCTTGCTACTTTGCTGGTGGGATTCGCGGAGTGCAAGGCTCAGATAGCGGCAGCGCAGCTTTGACACAATTCCGGGCCCGTAGCTCAGGTCCTCGCCAGTGTCCAATGAATCTGGAATGGGATTCGGGGGATCCACATCCCCGGTGGCCACCGATCCGCTGCCAATTTTTCCCGCTAGATGTCGGTGCTGGCCATTTTGTTTGGTTGTTTTCTTCATCTCTTGCATGGCGACCATTGTCGGTTTTACCGTTACCTTCGTGGGCGACAGTTGTTGTTGCTGCTGCTGTTGTTGCTGAATTATGAACTTGTTGCTCTGCAATTTATCGGAAATGGTCTTGGTCTTGCAGCTCTTGCTATCGATGGTGGTCTCTTTCGCTGAAGGCTCGCCCTCAGCAACGCTCTGTCCCGGTTTGCATTTCGTTTTCAAATGGTGTTGGTTTGGGCTTGAATTTTGATTTGCTGACGACGACGACGCTGCTCCAATTGTGCCAGTTTCAACATCACCACACCGGCTACCCACCACAGCCGGCGGTTCGGGTTCGCTCTCCCTCTCCTTCTCTGTTTCGCCGCTCTCGTTTAGTACCTCTGTCTCTTTCTCTTGACTTCTTGTGTTGAGTCGTAAACTCGATCGCTGCTTTGGTATGGGTGTTACGGTTGTTGTTGTTGCCGCTTCGGGCGAAAGGGAGACGGCAACAACAGAGTGATGACCTCCAGTGGAATTGGTATTGGAAATAGAAGATTTCTCAGACTTTTCCTCAGAAGAGTTCATATTTCTCTTTTGACTAGTGCTACTGATTGTAGCCGGTTCCATGGGGGTTTCTGGGGGAAAAAGTCAGAAAACAATACACAAATATTTCAAAGGCAATGCAATAAATCATAACTTGTTCCTTGCCAGCAGTCTGACAACTCTGGTGGCTATCGATAACCGACTATCGATACTGCGGCGGCCAATTTGAAAGTTTCGCAGTAATTGTAAACGTTGGCAAACCGAATTAAAACACTTTAATTAAAAACACTTGTTATCCATTACTCATGGGTAGTTAAGTGCCAGCTGAGCAATTGCAGATTGTATAAGTCACAAGTATTTTAAATAATTTTAATTCAAGATTATTTTATTTATATAAAAACAGCTAACCGTTTTATCCATCCCTATTTGTATACCCTTGTAATGGGTACTAAAATTCCAGTCAGATGTTTGCAACGCAGTGAAGAAGACATCGCTGACGTCAAAAAGTATATATTCTTGATCACGATCACTTTCATTTTAAACATTTGTCTGTTTTCTATTACTGAGAATTTTGTAAGATTTAAAAAATACATTTTTAAAATAATTTTATTAAATGGCAAAAAAATTTTGTATAGGAACGATCGGAAAAATTATCGGAAAATCGACATAGAACTCCAAATATATATTCTATAGAATAATATTTAGGTTATAGCTTCAAGGGTATATACACATTTAGAGTAATTTTAATGATTGATGAGTTTTGTTTACTGCTAATTGATTGCAAAGCCTTACAATTAATTCTAAAAGAATTACTTGAGTTTCGTAAAAAAAAATGTTTTAAACAAATTTTTTTTAAATTAGTTAATATGCCAAGAACTTTTTAGTACGGATTAATATTAATCATGCGACCTTAAGCATATTTAGCCTTATGAAAAAACTCAAAATGATACGATATAACAACATTTTTTTTTCGTAAAAGTATCGAAATAAAATTTTATTTTTTATTTTTCCTTGTTCCATCAATTAATTCTGAGATAAACTAACAGAAAAAGTTTATTTTTGTCAAGCAAACGTGTATTGCGTAAAATTGTTGAACCAAAACATATAATAAACGAGGACGGAAGCTAACTTCGGCAAGCCGAAGTTTTAATACCCTTGCAGACTTTGCCGAAATTGCCAAATTATTAAATTTTACACTTTTGTTCCTATGGGAGCTATAGGATATAGACGTCCGATCGTCACGCGCTTTTACCCTGATCAAGGTATGCATAAAAAATACGATTTGGAAAGATTCATGTTAATAGCTTTTACACTGCGCGAAATATCATCAATTCTTGCAAGATATATCCGATTGTTCCTCTGGGAGCTATAGGATATAGACGTCCGATCGGGGCGATTTTCAAACTTGATCTGCGTACACATGTTTTAGGACGAGTGTGAAAGTTTCAGATCGCTAGCTTTTAAACTGAGCTCGCAAACGGTATTGAAACAGGCGGACAGACGGACGGACGGACAGACGGACATGGCTATATCGACTCCCCTATTGATCCTGATCAAGAATATATATACTTTTTAGGGTCGGAATCGTCTCCTTCACTGCGTTACAAACTTCTGACCAAAATTATAATACTCTCTGCAAGGGTATAAAAATTTGTTGAAAAATTTGTTGTTTCGAACTGTGTGTAAAAACCATTACTTTTTAATAAAGGTTCAAATACTTTTGATTTTTGCTTCTGAAAAAAAGCAATTTTGTTGTTGAGGGATTCTCAAAACTGGTATGGTTTTCCTTTTGAAAAAAGGTTCAGAAAAAATATTTAAACAAGAAAGGAAAGCTAACTTCGGGCGGAGCCGAAGTTGATATACCCTTGCAGAATACTCTGTAAATTATATTCTCCAAAATTATTCATATGATGCATTCTTAATACTCATAAAAAATCCGAACTTCCTAACTTTAACAACAACAAAGTTATGGCATTTCCAATCGTTCAGTTATATGGCAGCTATAGGATATAGTCGGCCGATCCTTATGAAATTTGATAGGTCGGATTGATTGGCCAAAAATAAAATCCATAGAAAATCCCAACTTCCTAACTTTACAAACACCAAAGTTATGGCATTTCCGATCAATCAGTTATATGGCAGCTATAGGATATAGTCGGCCGATCCTTATGAAATTTGGTAGGTCGGATTGATTGGCCAAAAATAAAATCCATAGAAAATCCCAACTTCCTAACTTAACAAACACCAAAGTTATGGCATTTCCGATCAATCAGTATGGCAGCTATAGGATATAGTCGGCCGATCCCGGCCGTTCCGACTTATATACTGCGTGCAAAGGAAAGAAGGGTGTGTGCAAAGTTTCAATCCGATAGCTTTAAAACTGAGAGACTAGTTTGCGTAGAAACAGACAGACGGACAGACGGACAGACGGACATGGCTATATCAACTCAGGAGGTGATCCTGATCAAGAATATATATACTTTATAGGGTCGGAGATGTCTCCTTCACTGCGTTGCACACTTTTGACCAAAATTATAATACCCTCTGCAAGGGTATAATAAAACTCGGTAAAGCATACGAATTCGTGTATTCGAATACTGTTCAAGTAATACTTTTCTAAAAAAATGACTCTAATTTGCACGTTAAGTGAAAGTATTCCAGTTTAACCACCACATACCTGCAATTGCACCTGAAGCGGCTGTGGCTTCCGCCGAAGCCAAAGCCCCACAACTGCCATCGGTGGGCGAGGTGATGGACGCCGCCTGAGTGCGGGCCACGTTCGTTTTTCGGCGCTGGATGAGATCCTTTTTCCACTGCGGCATGTCCGGCAGGAAACCGGAAGTGGGCGACATCTCAGCTGCTGCCCCAGACCCAGATCCCGAAGGTCCAGCTCCGGCTGCCGATGCTGCTGCCACATCCGTGAGTAAATGCAACGAGGGCCGCTTCTGTGACTCCATTATCCCCGTCTGCAAGAGGCATTATTCGGAGCATTAGTGCATGTCAGCCGTATCCGTGTTGGTATCCCCTTTTTAGAGTGCCTACAGCCCTACATCTCGACCCAAAGACCAAGTCCGACGGACTGACTGGCTCAAAGCTGGTGCCGATTGCAAATGCCCGCTGCCCAAGCTCCTCTACGAAGCGAAGAGGCGAGCATTGCCGACCCAAAAGATTGGCCAACCATGGAAATCATAGCCAATTGAAACTATCTCATGATTCCCTATTCTAGAAGAATCAATTAAAGGCTTTTTTCGGTTTTAATACCCTTAAAAAAAAAAATATTTTATTATTAAGTATGTCACTTTTGTTAGCTCTTTAAAATTTACACAATCTTCATTATTTGTGCAGAATTAAAGAAAATAAATGCTCGTCTTAAAAATGGTCAATGTTTTAGAACATAAAAAACTAATTTAAAAAGTTAATCTTGTATGATAGAAAAACTTGTTTCAAAAATGATCTTTTATTCAAAAGTTGAACAAAAATGAACTATTCTTTAAAATTATAAAACATTATTTCTTACTTCCATGTCCATATCTTAGAAGTATGGCTACAGATTAATAATGCAAAAAAAAATTTTTTAATTAAGCAGTACTACAAGTTTTCAAAGAAAACAAAGATACAAAGCTGGCGAAAGTGATTTCCGTACTGTCTGCGATTTTTCAATACCAAACGGTTTTAAATGGGATCGCGCTTATAAACACACTGGTTATTTAGAAACCAAATGCCATGACATTTCTACAAAATGACAAACAAAAGTTGACTTCAGCTGTGATACGCAGAATTTCAACTTGTTTAAATTCTATATAAAGATAAACTATGGAACTCCATTACATTATAGTGAAAATATTGGTTGTTTGAAAGAATTCGATAATCCCGTTTAAGGTCAAAAACTAGTCGCAAGTGACGAATTATTTTATACAAATTGAAGGAAAAGATTTGCCATTATTCCTTATTTTCGTTTTCGCATTTAATACTAAAACAATTTGCTTAACTTAAGTTGGGAAAACTAACTATTTTAAATTAAATAGTTAGCCACAAATTTAAAGGTTAAAAATGTTTGTATGAATATTTAATTTAAAGTGTACATATGGACATTTATGACCTTGTCACAAGATAGTCAATTTAAAATTAAGGCTTAAACCATATTAAAATTTATTAAAAATTGAGTTTAAGTTTTATGTAGATTTGGAAATGTAGGGGGACCTCCAAAAAAAACTATGGACAAAACCTAAACCTTTAACATTTGATCACTTGATTTATGTATGTTAGGTGATCTGAAATTCGTGGTGACCAGGGCTTTTAGAGTTTTATTTTTCTTAATTGGATTAACTGCTGTTTTTACAACCCGACAGCAAAACAAAACGTAAAACAAAGGTAAGAAGCAAAGAAACCCCAATATTTTTCGAGCATAAATATGCTAAACTGCCATAATGAGCGGAAAATGCGATAAAACCGAATCGAGGTAGGGAAAAGCGGGGAAACCGAACCGAACGATTCTTCCCATTGTTTCGCTGAAATTGATTGCATGGCTAGAATATTATTGTTGGAATTGTTTCTGTTTCTGCAGCTTTGCTTTTGCATACCGCGATAAAAATTATTATTTTTAATTCCTCATATCACCGTGTGTGTGTGTATGCATTTCCACGACTCCGACTGGGAGAGTGTGAGTGTGTGCAGGGTGGGTGAAAAGGGGAGAGCGATAAAAAGGGGCTGCAAAATGCAGACGAAGCATAAAATAAACAACCGACGACGCGCTATCGATTTTTACGGCAAGTTGGAAGATCTCTGATACGATACACACAGAATACAATTACGGGAGGCTATGGCAAATTAAAAACTAAGGAGACTTTAACAGAAACGATTGGGAGATAAAGAGCCGGGTTTTGTTTATTTACACAGGAACACAAACACGAGCGCAAACACACATATGCATATAAACACACTGTTCCGTTAGTTGTTGGCCTTTTTTGTTTTTCTTGCGATTTCATTTAATCTTTATTCTGGAATTCTTACATTTGAAACGCTGCAGAGATGCTGGCTCAAAAACGGTGGTTGGTTCAGTTTACAGTTTTCCGCTTATCCGTGTTTTCCGCCTTTTCCCCCGCCTTGTCACTTTTCGTTTTTCAGCTCAACCAAAATCGTCGCTCGCCTCGCTCCGCGCACTTTCCAAACTGCACTTTCCCGTCTACTACTGCACTCGAACTCAGGGGCGTGGGTGCACTCGCTGCGCCTCAAAAGTGCATCTTTTGCAACCGAATCAGCGGAAAAATCTGCATTAAGTTAAGCCGCGTTTCCAATACACAAATATTGTCTATCGATTGTGCGCGCTATCGAGCGGACCATCGATAGGCGCCGGCAGAGTTGCCAGCCCGCAAATATAGCTATTTTCAATAAAAAATATAATATTTTAGGGTTTTTTTTCAAAAAAAAAAAAATAATAATAATAGCTTTGGAAAAAGTGATTTATTTTATTGGGGGCTAGGTAGGTATCACCAAACATGCAGTGCTCAATTTAAACTTATGTCTCATTTTCTTAATTTACCATTTTATAAGTGTTTATAAATATAAATCATAAGCTTAGTACTCATGTCCAATAAAGTAGTTCTTTCTTTTCTACTGCGAATATATATTTGGTACCCTTACCGTTATTATTGGTTGGCAGCGATACCTGGCAACGCCACAAGCTGGAGATCCGATAGTTTTTTTGTTATTTTCATTGCTTCGGATAAACAAAGTCAAGATTTGTTTATTATTCCTAATAGAAAATTGATACAGATCATTCAACAAATCCTTAAGTTAAATAGTTAAGGACATGAGTATTAACTGGATCAAGATCACCGAAAGGTAAGTGTTAATAGTGGTTGAAAAGGAGCAGGCACTTAAAACAATGGGTTTTTCTACCAACTAGAGCCCGTGAAGGCATAAAAATCATCAATGCCCTGCCCTACGACACCTTCACGACAGTTTTGTGGTACACCCACCGCCAGATGAGTCCCAGTGGAACGTCTGGAGCGCCGTCCAGTGCCACCAGTACGGTTGGCACCAGTGTGACGACCACTGGGCGGGCGGACAGCAGTGCCGAAGAGAATCCCACCAGCAGCAGTGAACCGGAGTACACCCTGGAGGAACTGGAGCGACTGGTGGGCGTCCCACGGGCGGACTTCCTACTGCTGATCAAGACCTTCTCCTACATTCTGCGACGCATCTCCACATTCATCATTAAGCCAAGTCTGCTGCAGCGTGAGCTCCGCGAGAAACTCCAGCTGGAAGATGAGGCCAAGATCGATGCCATATTGCGTTTGTGGGTGCGCGAGACGACGCCCATTATGAACAATTTGGCCAGCAAGCGATACGAATCAAATGTCATCGAGGATGTGGCCTGGAAACTCAATTTGGAGGTGTCCTCACACTGCCAGCAACGGGAGAAGACGCCACTTGCCGTGCTACAGATGAAAACGGGTGCCGGCGAGGATATCAACATCGAGATGACGCATCCAGAACTACTGGAGCTGTACAATCAGTTCGAGAACATTCAGGGCGAGTTGGATGCCATGCTAGCCATGAAGGCTCCAGATGCGGCAGTGCCAGTTTCTGGCAATCAGTAGTGAGACCCCATCGATCACTTTTAGTGCCAATTTAGTTGTTAATCTAATACCTGTTAAAAAATATGGACCTATAGTATGCAATACTAACACGATAGTAGCCAAATGTTAAACACGTTTTAAAATAAAATTTTGAATTTGTAAATTTCCGATCGTAGCCAAATGTTATAAATATTATAAAGAAGATGTTTCTAAGTTTAATTTGCTTTCTTTTTTACAAATTATAAATAAGTATTTCGGTTTGTGTTCGTTACATTACAAATTATTAATATTTTGCCTATGTTTTTAAGGACTTCTCCAAATTTCCCTATTAAGACTAGTAATGTAATGATTCTCGTGGCAACAGGAGTTGCCTTTTAACTATATTTGATTTAAGAGCGGTTAGCACTGGGACGTTTTCGGCTAGGACTTCGTCGGATTGGGGAGGGATCTTTTATCAAAAATAGCTAACGAAATTACAAGAGAATGTGCTAACCTAGCCAGATGTTACAATTTTAGTTATGTTTATGCGTATTGTTTTATTTTTTTTTTTTTTTTATGAGCTTGGTGTAAGTGCTCTATTTTTACCCGCCCAACCTTGTTAACACTTTGCAATGCTTTGAATTTGGTGTGTTAACCCTTAAGTGATTTGATGTGTGTTGGTTTTTCTTTTAGTACCCCATTATATTAAATTAGTTCAGTTTCAATTCCATGTTAACATTCAAATATAATTCATGTTCTTAATAGCAATAAGTATGTATATAAAACTAATCATTTCAATATCTTATCTCTTTTCTAATTATTAACAAATACTTCATTTTTAATTTCTTGAGAGAAGGCTTATCCTTATATATGTATTCTTAATTTATTGAAAGGTTAAATAGTGTTTAAATAATTAATTTGATTATATATAATTTTCCATTGAACAAGACTATAAAACTATAGAAATTGACTTTTCATTTTTTTACTTGACTACCATTAATTTTTGTTTTTAAATTTCTTATATATATATATTTATAATCTTATTAACTTTTTATTTATTTTTTTTGTTTTGTTTTTACTTGTTACCTTTTTAAATCCACGTGTGCATGCAGGCCTGTAGCTGAGTGGCTGTAACTTTAATGGTTAAGGTTAGGTTATATAAATATAAAAATTATTAATTAAAAAATATCTGTGGTAGCATGCTCTTTTCGTTGTTTTTTTTTTGTCCAGTATATATAGTTTTAATTCTCATCCAAGTTATTTCCTTTACGCTGCGCTGCTGTGAGTTTTTAGTTGATCAGGTTGAACGTCGCTTGGCCAGCTTAGCAGCTAAATTATTTTGTGGTGCTTCGTCAGAAGGTGCAGTTTCATTAATTGGTGGATTTAAATCCAACCACAAATCCTGAAACTTTATGTTTTATTTCAGTCACATGTATTGATATTTTTCGTGACAAATTTTACCTGCACAGATATATGTTTTGCCAAGTTAGGTTCTTCCTCCGTCTCTTGATCGGTTTTCTATTATGCACTTAATATTTTTGTAACGCACTTTGAATAAAATTGCCTTTTATATTTATTTGGCATGTGCAAAAATTATCACGTGTTTTAAGTGTACGATTTTATTTACTCCAAGAACGATCTGATTTATTTGAGAGACTCTGACCAACTAAATGCACATGCTTAAAATTTTCCATGAACCGCGTGGGCGTAGGATAAGCTTACTTCAAAAAAAAAAACAGATAGTATTGCTGACTAAGATAAATCAGCTAACCAAAGTTCTTTTACACAAGCGTGGCTTTATCTTTTGAGCTTTTGTTTTAGAGATAAGATAAGACAAACAAAGTGACTCTCAAAACTACATATGTATATGACTTAAGCCGTACACATACAAAGCTGACCATCACAACACAGATTATTTTATTAGCTTTTACAGTGATAAAAGAAGCTGAAAAATCGGTCAGATTCATTAAGTCATACACTTTTGAAGATCTTTTGCGTGAAATTTTCCAATTACTTTACCATTTTCTTCTAATTCGTAACAATGGTTACCGTGTTTGCGAACAATTTTTGCTTTTAAAAACTTTGGAGCAAGCTTTGCATTGAATTTTTTAATTTATTACTCAGAGCAAAATTTCGCCTATAAACTTGTTCTCCTAGTTCATATGTCACAAACCTGGTACGAAGATCATATACCCTTTTATTAGATATATATGCCTTGCTGATATTTGCCATTATGGTTTCCCGTATAACTTGTAGCTTGTCTGAATCTAAAATTCTTTCACCTATTTTAAGACTTTCTAATTTTCTCAACAGGTCATAATCTTTCGCATGCGAAACCATATTGTTTCCAAAAAGTGCAAAGTATGGTGAGCATCCGATTACTGAATGATAAGCAGAGCGTAATGCTGCTGAAATGTTGCTGATTTTCTCATCCCATAACCGTTGATCTGCACCAAGATATGATCGAATGCCTGATATTATGGATCTATTGAGGCGTTCAGATGCGTTTGATTGGGGACTATAAATAGCTGTTAGAAAATGTTTTATCCCATGCCTTCCAAGAAATGACTTAAACAGTGAGGATTTAAATTGACTTCCATTATCCGTCACAATGCATTCTGGAACACCAAATACATGAAAAATATTGGTACTTAAAAAGTCTACAACGAGATCTGCTGTAAATTTTCGCAAAGGTTTAAGGAAATGAAACTTAGTTAGGTGATCTAACACAATAAACACTCCTATATTTCCTCTCTTTGACCTAGGATAAGGTCCAATAAAATCCATATAAAGGCGTTGAAATGGCCTTTCACTTATTGCCGGGTTTCCCATAGGTGGTTTCAGTGTGATATTTGGGGCTTTTGATTGTTTACAAACATTACACCGCGCAATAAAGTTTTTCACTTCTATCGCCATGCTTGGCCAATAGAAATTTCTGCGAAGTCTCTCTAAGGTTTTTCCTATACCTCCATGAGCATTATGAGGTGGTGAGTGAGCGTTCTCTATAACTGATTTAGTCAACTCGGATGGTACCCATAGCTTCCAGCAGTTTGACTCGCATACGTCGTCTCTATAAAACTGATTTCTACGATATATATACTGATCCACAACTTTGAGATCTGGTAAACGATTTTGATTCTCTAGTATGACATTTTTCTGCAAAACGTAGTCGTTAGACCAAAAATAAGGTGAATCCAAATCGATTACTGGTAAAACAACATCTATTTCGTTAATTTCCTTGACTGGCAATCGCGATAGCGCATCAGGAACTATATTTAGGCTTCCTTTTCGGTGTTCAATTTCGAAGGTATAATGTTGCAATTTTAACGCCCATCTAGCTAAGCGACCGTTGAGATCAGTTTGCCGCATTAACCATTTTAAGCTCGCATGATCCGTAATAACTTTAAATTCGAGGCCTTCCACATATTCTCTAAACTTCTCGATACTCAGTATAGCACCTAAACATTCTAATTCTGTGACACAAAATTTCTGCTGAGACTGGTTTAATTTATGTGAAAAAAATGCAATTGGTCTTTCTATATTATCGTCATCAAGTTGAGCAAGAACACCACCAACGCCTGTTTTCGAAGCATCGCATTGAATAATAAAGGGCTTCTCAAAATTCGGTGTCACTAATAATGGTGCTGAAGTTAATCTACTTTTTACCTCTTCAAATGCCTGGTTAGCCTCATCCGTCCATTTATAGTCTTTGCTCTTTTTGGTTAGATCTGTGAGAGGTGCTGTTATTGTTGCATAATTTTCCAGGAACCTACGATACCAACCGGCACAACCTAAAAATTTACGCAATTCTCTAACAGTTTTTGGAGGAAGTAAATCTTTTATTGCTGATACTCTTTTTGGATCTACCTTAATACAGCCGTTGCCTATCACAAATCCAAGATAACGAACTTCAGGAACACACCATTTACATTTTTCTAAATTTAATGTCAAACCTGCATTTCGCAACACGTCAGCCATTACTTTAAGCAGACTTATGTGCTGAGTAAATGTTTCACTGACCAACAATAAGTCATCAAGATAAACAAATACACGGCTTTTAAGATCAGGTGGAATAATAACGTCCATTAAACGACACATTGTTTGAGCTGCATTGGTTAAACCAAAAGGCATTACCTTGAATCTGTACAAAGGTCGGTTTGGCACAGTAAATGCAGTTAAATCTCTACAAGATTCCTTCAAACCTATTTGCCAAAATGCATGTTTAAGATCTAAAGAAGTTATAAATTTAGCTTTGGGTAATCTTGAAAGAATTCCATTAATTTTTGGTTGTGGATACGCATCTTTAATAGTTACTGCGTTCACTTTGCGAGAGTCAAGGCATATTCGAAACTTTTCTCCTTTCTGCACTACAGCTACAGGACTACTCCATGAACAAGTCGGAGGTGCGGTTTCTATCGCAGGAGATACCGAAAAATATCTTTGCTTAATAGGTTTTGCTTCGGCAATAATTTCAATGGCATGCTCTAAAATAGATGTTTTTCCTAAGCCATCCCTATTGAAATCTGGAAACAATGATATTACTTTCGTCATTTGCTGTTTTTGTTCACCACTCAGAGTGTCTGGTAAATTCAGTTCGCTAACGTATATTGACTGGTTTAGTTGACTCATTAAACCAAAGATGTACCAAAAGTCAATTCCCAAATAAAGATCTTGTTTCAGTTCAGGTATTATATAAAGCGTTACCAATTTAGACTGATTACGAAATGTAACTTCGGTTTCAACAGTTCCAAGAACATTATATTTTTGACCTCCAGCAGTTTCTACTAGTGAATTGCTAACTTTAAAATCCTTATTTTTGTTTAAATATTCCTTGGCTGCTTGTCCACTTAAACACGAGACAGATGCTCCAGAATCTAATAATCCGTCATAAATTTTACCAAAAATTCTCACTTCTCCAAATGGTCTAACATCTTTGTCTTTGCTAAGGATTGCATCTAAACTAACCGTCAATCTTTGCGATTTATCTTTAATTTAAAAAAAAAATTACGCAATCGTAAAGAGTTTCGCTTAGGTCTGTTCCTGACATCAATTCCAATTTGTTTACTCTGATTAAAGATTTTGTTACGCACTCTAATATAATTTCTTAATCGAACATGATATGGTATTATAGGATATAATTTTCCTTTCACGTCATTCTTTCCTATATTTATATTTTTAACATATTTTGGCGATGGATGAGTTAAGTCATCCAAATTAATCAGTTTTTTGGATTGGAACGATAGATGGTGTTGTCATATCCATTCGACCTTCTGTTTTTCTGACATAACTCGCAATTTGGTCGTTTCACATTTTCTGTGCCACATCCCATACAAAATATTTTTCTTTCAAATTGACAATCTATGAATTTATGTCCATATTTTCTACAATTCCAACACAGTATTTTCATATCATCAGCTTTATCTCCTTTTATTTCACAAATTTCATTTTCCATTAAATAATCGTTCATACTTCGATCGTCTATACATATTTCATTTACTTTTCGATTAATCTTTGTATTATAATTATTGTTAAATTCCTCACTAAAAGCTTCTCTTCGTGTTACAAGATTTCGTAAGTTTCCTAAAGAATTTATTTCCAAATAGAAAAGCTCTTTTCGCAGAAAAGGTCTTAGGTTACGTTTAAGTACTGAAACTAATTGACTTTCGCTTATTGGATATTGTAACCGATCTACCAACAACATAATTGCATTATGGAATTCATCAAAACTCTCATTGGGTTGTTGCTTTCTATCCCTTATTAATTCTCTTACGTCGTCATCTGACAATGGATCGTGAAAATAAGAACTAAGAGAGCTGCAGAGACTTTTCCATACTACTTTGTCAACCGTACGCCTATACCTCCAGAACCATTCACTCGCTCTCCCACTAAAAAGTATGTGGATATGATCGCACAAAATTTCAAATTTACCATCCAAACAATCATTTGTCAAGGCAGTCACCATATAAATAAATTTTCCAACAGGCATACCATTTCTAGAACCATTATACTGTAATTTCCAACCACTTATAACATTTACTATTTTTCCAATATCTGCACTGATGCTATTACTTCTGCTCATTCTTTCTTGATTATTTTGGCCTTGAGAAACACTTGGAACGAAAGGAGGAGCTTCTCCATTTAATCCTACAGGAGTTATACTTCTACCCCACTCTGGTTCAATATTAGCTGCAGTTTCAAGTGATCTTCGATTGATCTGATCTGTTGTCATTCTAGAAATTTGTCGTGAAAGCCCTTCAATAGTTAAATTCATTTGGTCAAGTTGTGAATTAACTCGACGTTCTATCTGATTTACTATTCTTTGCTCTACTGAATTCGAATGCCTATTATCCTCAGAATTATAAGAATTTTCTATATTTTCGTCTCTAGGTGTAACTTGGTCGTTATTAGCGGCTGTTACCTCTGACTCGGGTACTCTTTTCTTTTTCTTCTTTTGTCCGCTCGATAATAACAATCTTCCGTTGGAATCGGTTTCCCTGTTTTGCTCTAAACCTTCTCTTGGAACGACTTCCATAAGACTATTTCTTGTTACGTTATGGTTACAAACCGGGCATATACGAGAACTATCAAGCCAATTCAATATACACAATCTGTGAAAAGTATGCATACATCTAGTAATTAATCTCATATCTAATTGCGACATTGGCTGAGAACATATTTCACAACTACTTTCATTGTTTGGCATACTTGGCCGATCTAAACTGTGTCTCACTGACATTTTGCTCTAATTTATTTCACTCACAGTGACGAATTCTCAAAAGTTTCTTTCTTTCAGGGGTACTAATAAAAAAACAAAACACATCATTTTTTTTTTTATATACGCAAAACTTTAACTTTTCCCACAATTATTTAAATATTTTGTCTTTAATAAGGACGGTACGTCAATGCAAAAGGAAAATTGTTCTGGGCAGTAAAGTTAATGACTAGCATAATAACCTTAAAGAAATCCACAGGCAATGTTACATTCCTATCACAAAATTCTTATTTTAGCTCATAAAACAATTGTTTTCGCATACTTCGGACGGCTATGTACAGTATTGTACCACTACATCAGCTGTATTCCAGAGGTTTCTCCAACAATTATTTTAATTGCTTAGACATAGCTTTGAACGAATAAGGCTTAACGGATGTTGGTGTTAAATTCCAAAATTTTCTTTATTAATTTTAATGCCTTTGTTTGTTCTTTTGCCCCACGTTGGGCGCCACTTTTGTAATGATTCTCGTGGCAACAGGAGTTGCCTTTTAACTATATTTGATTTAAGAGCGGTTAGCACTGGGACGTTTTCGGCTAGGACTTCGTCGGATTGGGGAGGGATCTTTTATCAAAAATAGCTAACGAAATTACAAGAGAATGTGCTAACCTAGCCAGATGTTACAATTTTAGTTATGTTTATGCGTATTGTTTTATTTTTTTTTTTTTTATGAGCTTGGTGTAAGTGCTCTATTTTTACCCGCCCAACCTTGTTAACACTTTGCAATGCTTTGAATTTGGTGTGTTAACCCTTAAGTGATTTGATGTGTGTTGGTTTTTCTTTTAGTACCCCATTATATTAAATTAGTTCAGTTTCAATTCCATGTTAACATTCAAATATAATTCATGTTCTTAATAGCAATAAGTATGTATATAAAACTAATCATTTCAATATCTTATCTCTTTTCTAATTATTAACAAATACTTCATTTTTAATTTCTTGAGAGAAGGCTTATCCTTATATATGTATTCTTAATTTATTGAAAGGTTAAATAGTGTTTAAATAATTAATTTGATTATATATAATTTTCCATTGAACAAGACTATAAAACTATAGAAATTGACTTTTCATTTTTTTACTTGACTACCATTAATTTTTGTTTTTAAATTTCTTATATATATATATTTATAATCTTATTAAATTTTTATTTATTTTTTTTTTGTTTTGTTTTTACTTGTTACCTTTTTAAATCCACGTGTGCATGCAGGCCTGTAGCTGAGTGGCTGTAACTTTAATGGTTAGGTTAGGTTATATAAATATAAAAATTATTAATTAAAAATTATCTGTGGTAGCATGCTCTTTTCGTTGTTTTTTTTTTTTGTCCAGTATATATAGTTTTAATTCTCATCCAAGTTATTTCCTTTACGCTGCGCTGCTGTGAGTTTTTAGTTGATCAGGTTGAACGTCGCTTGGCCAGCTTAGCAGCTAAATTATTTTGTGGTGCTTCGTCAGAAGGTGCAGTTTCATTAATTGGTGGATTTAAATCCAACCACAAATCCTGAAACTTTATGTTTTATTTCAGTCACATGTATTGATATTTTTCGTGACAAATTTTACCTGCACAGATATATGTTTTGCCAAGCTAGGTTCTTCCTCCGTCTCTTGATCGGTTTTCTATTATGCACTTAATATTTTTGTAACGCACTTTGAATAAAATTGCCTTTTATATTTATTTGGCATGTGCAAAAATTATCACGTGTTTTAAGTGTACGATTTTATTTACTCCAAGAACGATCTGATTTATTTGAGAGACTCTGACCAACTAAATGCACATGCTTAAAATTTTCCATGAACCGCGTGGGCGTAGGATAAGCTTACTTCAAAAAAAAAAAACAGATAGTATTGCTGACTAAGATAAATCAGCTAACCAAAGTTCTTTTACACAAGCGTGGCTTTATCTTTTGAGCTTTTGTTTTAGAGATAAGATAAGACAAACAAAGTGACTCTCAAAACTACATATGTATATGACTTAAGCCGTACACATACAAAGCTGACCATCACAGTAAAAAATGTATGTTGTAGTAAATGAACACTAAAAATTATTTTCTAATGCTAAATTATATGTTAAATTGTACTAAAAACCTTTATTTGTGTCCTTTTGGCGGTTTTGGTTTAGTTTTTAACATATTAATATAATAGATACAAATTTTGCATAGAATATTGCTGAGATTTACAAATTTATTTTTATTTATAACACGAAAGCCTTATAAAAATTGGACCACCTGCACAAGTATTGATAAAAACCATATTTATCAACACAAAAGGTTGCCTACAGGTTCTCACAATATTCTCCCCCAGGGCTTGAACTTTGAATCTGTGTGATTTACGAAAACTCGAAACAACAAACAAAACACCATACTATATATAAACGGAGGGACTCCTAATCTTAATACAATATTAATGCTTGGCCATAATCTGCCATCGACTATGAAAGAAATGATAAGCTGCCTAGATTTCAAAATTTGTACGTAATGCTAATCAGTTGGTCATATAGAAGTACTTATGAACCCGAAAATGATAGTTAGAGCTGAGGGATCCTTGTAATGAGCTACTGAATTGCATTTTATTTCCATTAACTAAAATTAATGTAATGAGGGAATTCTGAAACTATTCTGAAATACTATGAATCAGATATATAATTCTTTATATTTTTGTATATTTAATATTAATTATCTTTCATGTGCCAAAGTTTAATATATAGATTCACGTTTAAATATATGAATATGCTTTGAAGTGTTTATTAGGGTTTCATTTTAAACAGCAGTTTCAGCAATATGCTTAAAAGGTTTTACAAGATTTCTTTATTGATATATTATTTATAGCAACTATTTTGATCAAAAATTTCTAACAACATATGAATATCTTGCTGAACATCACTACTTTTCTCTAAGAAATGTGATTTCCTTTCTGAACAGGACGATCTCACGAAATGTATTTCTTTAAATAATTTTACCAAAAACAAATTACAAATTGCTAGTATCTGAATTTTACATGCATTTCAGCAACATATTTCATAATGATCAGAAGGATCCCTCCAAGAAATATGTATTCCTTGCTGATCAGGTTTATCTCACCAAATATATCTTCTAAAATTATCTTATTCAAAACTATGTTAGACAGTTCTTGGATTCAACAAAGCCAATGGAACCTATTTGGTGTAGGGCACCGGTGATCAAAGAACCAACTTCAGAGAGCGGTTAGTGATCTGCGAGTAGTTTTTCCCCAGACCTCGACCACAATGGACACCTTGCTGGCTGGATGGACGCAATCCGGGGATTTCCTGCAGGACAAATGGGTTTTGCTGCTGGACATTGTGGGTGAGGATTCGTGGCGCCTATGGGTGGTGGGCAGCACGATCGTTATCTTCTCCGTGTATTGGCTGTACGCGGGCATATTCACGCTGATGGACATCACGAACCGTCCGCGTTTCTTGCGCAAATACAAAATTCAGCCGGGACAGAATGAGCCAGTCGATCTGACCAAGCTCTGGAATGCCATAAAAATGGTCCTTCTTAATCTGACGGTGGTTAACTTTCTGGTCTGCTGGCTGGTCTACGAGCTGGTCTACAAGACGGAGAACAGCCGGGATATCCGGGTGCTGCCCACGTTCAGGCGATCACTGCGGGACCTGGCCGTCTTCGTGGTCCTGGAGGAGGTCATGTTCTACTATGCCCACCGCCTGCTGCACCACAAGTCGGTATACAAGTATGTGCACAAGAAGCACCATGAATGGACGGCTCCCATTGCTGCTATCACCTTGTATGCCCATCCGGTGGAGCATGTGGTGGCCAATCTGCTGCCAGTGGCCACCTCCATTGCGATCCTAGGCACCCATGTGGCCTTGGCCTATGTGATCTTCGCCCTGGCCATCGTCAACTCCATGAGCGACCACACAGGCTATAGCTTCCCCTGGTCGGCGGGATCGGTCCGGTTCCACGACTTCCACCATGCCAAGTGCGTATCCCCAGGTGTCCTTCGCCTCTTTTGCATTTTCATTGGGATTATTCTCCTTCTTTCAGGTTTAACTACAATTACGGCGTACTCGGTCTGCTGGACAAACTGCATGGCACATATCGCACTCCCACGGAGCAAAGGATCCAAACAGCCCCAAGGATAAAGATTAAGTCCAGCAAAAGGAAGACTAAATAGTCCTTTTATTTACTTGTTTTTCTTTTATTTTGTTTGGATGGAAATACCACAGCCAGCGACATCAATGATATCGGTATTTTTTAAAAAACCTAAATTTACAAATTACAAATTCGTTAAAATAATTTTTTGCATTAAATCACAATGCACAAATTCTAATTTAAAATATTTGATTTTTGTGATTTTTTTAAAAAGTTGTAGGATTACTGGAGGTAATTTGTATAAAACCTAATGAATGACCTCTAATGCATTATTTGTAAACGTATATTTTCGGTTCAGCCTACTATGAGAGTAGGACCTTACATTTTTCAATAAATTTAGACCGCCTTAACCTATATATATTATAAAAAATGTTTGCATTGCTTAAATTATTTTTTAACATTACATTTACATTTTGCAATATTCTTATTTTTAAAGTTTAATTTCCTGTGAGCACAGGGTATGCTTGTTGCATATCGCCCATCCCTAAGGTTTTTAGAGAATCCAAATAAATAAATACCAAATACTTTTCGGTATATTTTAAAGACCAAGTCGAGTAAACTAAACGCGGGCACACCGAGCGAAACGCAGCGCAGCGCAGCAAAATCGACGTTACCATTATTTATAATCAATTAAACAATTGGGAAAATCCGGCAGCAGATCGCGCAGTATTCGTACCGCCCCCGCCACGCCTACAGCTGCCCACGCCGCCACGCCCTCTGGCGCGGGGTCACTTCGATAGAGAGCGCTGCGTGTGTGTGTGTGAGGGAGAAAAGAAAAAAAAACAGGCAGCGAAAAGCGATAAGAAACGGAGCACACTGGAAAAAATTGCGATAAGCAGTGGGGCAAGCGGAAATCGCCAAGATCCTGGAATGGATTAACGGCACAGTCGGGTTGTGAGGTTAGCCAACAGTGGGATTAGGAGCAGGATCAGGATCAGCCATGTCGTCCGCCGTGAACATCCAGATCGTCTCCATGCCGAACCTGGCCAAGATCGAGAGCTTCCTGAAGGACGTTAGCTACCGGGAGACGATCGAGTACAGCGCCAACTTTAACACGCGCCTATGCATCGAGCGGCGCCTCCGGCTGCCCTTCCTCGATCCGCAGACGGGCGTCGCCCAGAACCACTCGCAGCTCTTTCTGGACAAGCGCCAGCGGATGCCCGGCTTCCGCCAGGGCCAGATCTACACCTATCCGGCTGCCCGCTGGCGAAAGAGCCGCCGTCAGTACTTGAGCAAGATGTACAGGTGAGGATCTTCTGGCGATTCCGGTCGGACTTCGGGGGTATATCAGTTATGCTTAGGGTTCTATGTTCAACTTCAGTATTTCTTAGTTTTCCGTTGTCAAACTACTTAAATATCACTTTAATATACGTTTAGGGGCTTAAGCCCTCTAAAAAGATATTCAGGTTGGGGTTTCCATTGGGTTTTGCAATTAGGCGATCAAAATATCAGTTATCGTCACGGTTAAGAGAAGTGAAGGAATATTCTAGGGCTAAGGCTAGGTACCCAGTAGGGAACTCATGAACGGAATGTCTGTGCAGTTACTGACATACCCGCTATGAAAATGTGGACGAGGTGAAGGTTTGTCCTGAGATTCTGGTTGAATAGATATAATATATATTGCCGAAAAAGTTCCAGTTCCAACAGTCCAACTGTAAGAAATATGTAAATAAATTTGGAGTAGCACATGCATTTATACATTTCTATGTACGTAATTCAATCCATTCATTTCGGATAGTCTAGCCCTTGGAAATAAATAAATAAAATTAAGGAATATGCCATTCGATCCCTACTTTAATAGATTTAGCGAGAAAAACAAATGAAACCAATGTTCGTTCCCTGGTACGAGCACTTTTTGAGCTTATAAATATCTTTTGATTTACCTTAGTCATTACATCTAGCAATTGCCATGATATCTGATTATCTGATTTTTTTCCTGCAGTCGCTTTCCGGAGCGCCCTTTCCAGGCGCTACGCAAGGAGCACGAGGCTCTGGTGGCCAGCGGCGTGAATCTGGGACTAAGCAGCCTGTCCAGTGGAGTAGGACCCATGCCCGGCACCACTAACCTGGCCAGCAGCTCCTCCCTGACGCTAAACATGCTCACTGGCGGCGGGGCAGCGCCGGCTGTCCTGGGTTCCCTGCACAGCGAAACTGCCCACGATTTTAATGGGGCCTTCAGCCTGGAGGAGTCCAGCTCACTGGGTGCCGCCGGCGGTGATACATCCGATAGCAAGGACAGCCAACAGCAGCAGCATCAGCAACAACAGCACCAGCAACAGGCCGTCAAGGAGGAGCAGCTGCCCAAGGAGTGGTTCTACGATGACATGGACATGAACGATGTGGACTCGCTGGAGGAGCCCAAGTCGCCGGCGGACGATGAGTACGACTATGACCCGCGCTACGGGAACAAAAAGCGGCGTAAACGGCGGCCTGGAAAGCGAGGAGGAGACTCCGGCGGCGGAGGTGGAGGAGGAGGCTCCAGTGGTGTTGGCAGCTCCGGCGGCGGCTCCAGTTCACGGAGACGCAGTGCCGCGGTCAGGTCCCGCATCGCCACGACAGATGCGGCGCTGGACGCCTCGCTGGAAGCCATCGAATCCGGTGAGAGTGTGCCAGGCAGCAATGGCGGCCCGGTCTCCAGCGGTGGCATCCTCAGCAGCAGTTTGGGAGCAGGCTTGACAGGAGTTTCGGGATCTGGTGCAGCAGGAGGTTCAGCAGGGGCTTTGGCCAACAGCCGTAGATCCCGGGGAGCGGGAACGCGCGGCAGGCGACGAGCCAAGGGACCAATCAGCGCCGTGGGAGCTGTGTCCGATCCGACAAGCCCCGGTATGGTTTTCGAACCACCATCCTTCGAGAGTGCCGCTGCTGCTGTGGGCGTGGTCGAGGACGCGAACGCCCATTTGCGCAACTATCGGAAGTATCTGTAACCGCTCTTTCAACAACTAATTCGTCGTGTAATCAATCAATCCCCTGTTTTTGCGTTGTTTTCTCGCCTATCGATCGACCTACTTTTCGAACATAATTTAAAGCTAGTTTTTAAGCCTTAGTTGATTACTGTTGCCTCCCAACAAAATATGGAAATTAATCAAATACATTGTGGACCAGGAACAGAAACAGGACTAGGATCAGGATTACGATCAGAACAGCGCATCAGGCCGTAGCCAATTTAATTCCAATGTTTCGCCTCTCTTAACTTTACGTTCCCATAGCCAATTGATTGTTGTTTTTTGAACTACCAATAGGCTGGCGAAATTCTCTGCAAACGAACTTCAGCAGAAACTCCAAGGAAGTAGAACGTATTCAGAGATCACTTAAACTTTTTTTTTGGAAAAATATAGTTGCATGTTTTTGAAACCTTTAGCAATTAAAAATCTTAATATCAAATTACCAATGAATAATTTAGTGGACGATTTATATGATAGCTTTAAAACCGTGTAAATTTCATCGTTTCGGACACCCCTAGGTATTTAAAAATTATATAATTTAGGCAAACAAAGGCACTTTATATAAAATTGGTTGGAATATGTAAACGAGTGCTTAAAAAAATATTTACATTTAAGTAAAATGAAAAGTATATAAAAATATTTCCTGACTACATTTTCAAAATTTTTGGCAAAAGAAAAAAATCTTAACAAAATCGAGAACTAATGCAACTCCACCGAATCTGAAAAGTGTCCTGAATTAAATATGCAACGAAAAAGTCTTAAAATCTCCATGATATCGGATTCGAATACATAAATGCGATCTCAAGCCTTTTTCGCCGCATGGCTTCCAATTTGTTCTTTAGAGAAGTTCGCCAGACTATAACATTATATTGTACATTATATATATGAGTGTACAGGCATTATATATATTTACATGCATTATATTAGCGAGTCTACTTAAACCTAGTCCACCTTTTGGACTGGCTCTCCACCTAATCGCAATCTCTCAGTTTCTGTTGCTGCATGTTCTATTAAAACACTATATCTATCTCCCTTCTCCACATATTATATTAAATTTTTTTATTTAACCAAAATTTTAGTTAAAAGAAAACAATTCAAATTGTAATCTATTTAGGCAAGTGGTAGGGTATCTCTAGCAAATAGAAGAAGCTAAAAAACACTTTCGTAAAACCAAAATTTTTTCTCTAGGATCATAATTTTTAAGCTGAGCTGAAAACAAATTTTAACAAACTAACAAAACAAAAATTAAAACAAGATCAAAAAAAAAAACGTGTACATTTCGAAAAGTCAAAGTCCACAAAATTGTAATATTTGAGCGACATAAATCACACAAGAATCCACAAAAGAAGGCAAAAAAAAATGGAAATAGGTTTCTAAGATGTTTTAATATATTTTGTAATAACAATTGCGCAGTGTTTTTCTCGTCGTTTTGCAAAATTATACATCCAGCAAAGGCGAAGGGTATTCTCAATGATCGGTTCCCCGAGAGGATTTGCCAATCATCGGTCATCAGGCACTATTGCTGGAAGATTTCTTCGGGAACAACTACTTTCTGCGTTTGGAACTGCTTGAAGTTTCATCTGTGGAGGATCTGGTGGGTCGCTTGCGTTTCTGACTTGTTTGGGGCTGCTCTTCATGGTTATCATCTTTGGTGTTAGCTGACTTTGTCAGCTTCTTTCGAGTTTTTGGCAGCCTCTTGGATGGTTTTTCCTCCTGTTTTAAAGATTTTCTAAATTTTAGTATGAACAAATTTCTCTTAAAAGTTTTAAATGGCAATATATAAAATATAAATTCTTGTAAGTACTCTATAATTCAACATTTGTGTGGTAAATAGTGGTCCTGTGATATGTAAAAGATAGAGTTGCTGTTTATATTTTTGGCTCAAAAATGAAAACGGTTTTGTTTTTCAAAATATTAATTAATCAGCGTCGAAAGATGTACAAATAATCGTTCGAAAATGTTAACGTTTTAATACCCTTTTTTTGGAAAAAGCTTTTTTAACCGCTGTAAAAAATAACGTAGCTGAGTACAACGTGTACCTAAACTTTTTGATTTTTCGTTTAAAAAAACCTTTAGTTAGACGGGAGAAATAGATCTAATTGTCGGCTAAAATTATGATTTTTATACCCTTGCAGAGGGTATTATAATTTCAGTCAAAAGTTTGCAACGCAGTGAAGGAGTCATTTCCGACCCTATATATATTCTGTATATATATATTCTTGATCAGCATCATCAGGAGAGTCGATATAGCCATGTCCGTCTGTCCGTCCGTCCGTCCGTTTCTACGCAAACTAGTCTCTCAGTTTTAAAGCTATCTGGTTGAAACTTTCTATTGCAGGTAGTATATAAGTCGGAACGAGCCAGATCGGGCGACTATATCATATAGCTCCCATTATTTGGGAATTGGTAATAGTTAAATATTATGGAATTATGGTTTTAATTAAACTAAATTCGGACAACCATATTATATAGCTGCCATAGAAACGATTGCAAAATGCAGTGCAAAATCGACATAACTTCATTGTGTTTAGTAATATAGGCATAGAAATCGAAATGTAGTAGATATGTAACAACTGCAAGGGTATATAAACTTCGGCTGGCCGAAGTTTGCTTCCTTTCTTGTTTACTTTCCTTCTGCTCCTTTAAATCGATTTTAGGATGCTCCTCCTCGGATTTCTGTTCCTGCGTTAAGTTACCTGATGCAATATCCGTAACTTCGGATTTGGCTGGCGTCGTCTTTTTGGATAAAGCCTTAGAAGGGACCTTCTTTCAAAATATTAGTTGAATTTGATAAAATATTTTGGGTTCTTACATTTGATCCCTCTAAATTGACTGCAATTGCCTCCTCCATGTGCAGATCCTTGGATTCCGAATTCTTTTGGGATTCACCAGTCCCAAACTCTATCTTCTTGGGCAGATCCTTGTTCTGCTGCTCCAGACCCAGAATCTCCTGGATCCGATCGTATACCTCCTCCACAGTGGGAAACTTAAGAGCACGCGGTGGCCCTCGCTTTAGACCCGACCAAAGTGGCACCTGCTCCTGCGTTCCCTCTCCCACGTTCAAGCTCAACTCGAAGGCGCCGCGCCGAGGTGCTCCGGCGGCATTTAGGCGGAGTTGCATCTGCCGGAGACCACGCTCCCGCAGAGCAGCGTGCAGCTCCTCCGCCCGACGACGAAAGACGCGTCAGGATCGGCAGTGCTCCACGTTGAGCACTGGTTGCGAGGGATCTAACTCATCTGCAACATCCTCCCGCAGAGCTGGTTCCTAAAAAGCGTCACATTTGTTGGTTAACTATTAACTATTGTTCGTTGCCATTGGGAAAAGCAATATTTTCATCTTACAGCCGCTTTTTTGGTCCTTTTTGGTGGCATGTTTTTAAGAAAATTGCGCCTTTAACTTGCAGCAGTGTTGAAAAGCGACTAAGACAATATTTCGATAGTCAAAGCAACCAAACCGGTTAGCAAGCACACTCTCCCGGGGTTAGCGGGGATTTACTCCTCAGGTAGTTGCAACTACTATAGGAAGCGGAGACTTACTCCACAGGTAGCGAGTACATCCACCATTTATGTTACTTATTAGAGGTGGGCGAATAACGATAGCGTCATACCAAACATCGATACTACCGATTTCTGGACAATATCGATGACACCGATGTTGACATCGACGTTCTTCCACCTCTACAAATAATCGCAAACATCACATCGACGTTCTCTATCCACAACATTCGAAAAATTCGTACTCGCGCTGCTAGTTGTGTATGTCTGAGTCCGAATCTGCGCCAAAATACCGCGATACATATTCGAATTCGACCGAATATACATGGTTTTTTGGATGCTTAAACGTTATAATTTTTTTTTTTGACAATTCGCCTTTTTTCGTGGCGCGCGTACGTTTTATTGGCTGTGTGTGTGGTTGATGTGCGTCGGTGTTAGCGAGCGCCGGGAATTGAAAATAAATTAGTAAAATTGAACTAACGCCGTGTAGAAGATTGTTTTATTTACTCGACGTTTGTAAATTAGTTTTAGGTCTTTCTATTTTTTTATGGTGTGCGTTCGTGTGTGTATGTGTGAGTGTGCGGGTGTGCTTGTCTGGGAATTGTTTAAAATTGGCAGCTGGCACACGGACATCAATTGCCAAGCCAAAAAACCAAAACAAAATTGTTGTCTCTCTGCGCTACTTCACCTTTTTTTTTTCGTTGCTGTGCCGCACCCAGAAGTTGAATAAAAGTTAATGGTTTAATTCAAATGAATGGCGAATCCAATTAAAAGCGAATGCTAACTGAATTCACGCCAAGTGCGAAGCATACGATGACAACAAAAAAGGAGGAGAGAAAAGGAGGACGCCAAACGCAGCAACAACAATACCGACATTAACTGTACAACAAAAAGCGCTCAAAACTCAAAATTTAAGCTGTGCTGTGTTATTGTAGCAATTTTCGTATGTATTTACCACGAAGCCAAAACTTCGTAATCGAGTTTTGAGTGGAGTAACTGCCTCTCTCTCTCGCTCGCTCATTTTAGCTGAGTTTTGGGTTCTTGAGCGCTTTTTATTCGTATCCTGGCTTGTTGTGTCTTCTCCTGGGCTCCCACTTGGTATATATATGAGAGGTAAGCATTATTTTGTATTTCCAATTTTTTCATCCAAGGGCGTATTCTTAAGTCACACACCGATTTTTTTCTTAGTGGCTTTAAAACAGGTTTTTTAGATGTCGAAGAAGAGGAAGAGCGCAGACAATGAGCGCGAATTACGGTTGAATCTGTATGAGTGTGTGCCTCTAAGCGCGCATGTGTGTGTGTAAGGTGGGGCAGCTTCAAAAGAGATCACATTTGAGCTCTTTTTACGTTTTCCCTCTCCCTCGATCTTTCTCTCTTTGGCGCTCTCTAGGTATTTTCACATGTATATTTCATATTCAAATAGATTTCTCTCGGATCCACAGTCTAAATTCTATCGATCAAACACCAAATAAACATATTTCAATTATAGATGAAAATATTAATACATTTTACTTTAAAAAATCCTTTCAAATCTCCGGAAGAACAAAAATAATATTGAAATTTTAACTTTTACCGATCCAGACACTTCAAAAACAGACATAAAAAGCTCTTCAATTGATTTTCAAAACCGCAAAACAGTTGAAATACCCGTTAATAAGATTTAAAAAAACTTATCTAAATTTCAAAGTAAAAAGTTATTGAAACTGGTATTTAAAAATATCTGTATCATCACTTCTTAACGTTATTTTAAACGTGTTTTCCCCAAAACCCGATTTAAACTAGTACCAGTTTTTTATGTTGAATATATTTGGTTTTCAATTCGAATACAAAAAGTTTTGAAGTTAGCATGTCTTAAAATAAATGAAACTTGGGCAAGTTCGACTGTAGTTTTACTGCTGACCATGTTGTTGTTGTTCCTTGGCGCTATTTTAGTTGCTTTTGTGTTGACCATGCGGTCATCGCGACGACGTCATCGTTGTGAATAGTGAATATACATATAGCACTGAACACTGCGCCGCCCGCTCGTTCCGGCCCAGCAACGCCGTCGACGGCAATGCCCCCGCCCCGAATCGACCCAAAAAATAATAATAAATAAATAAGGGAATAACAAAAACTACGACAACTGAAGCAGCAGCAGTGGCCATAAAAAATTAGCCTGCCAGTTGGTTAATAAATGCCCTTGTTGGCCTACGGCTTAATTAATTGTAATATCTTCTTCAAAGTAAATTGTGGCTTAATTTATTTGAACCATACACAATCATAGATCTAAAAAGTAGAGTCTCCAAAATTTGAAACTTTTAACAAACATTTTTTTTATATTTATTTTTACAATTTTTAAACTTTTTTCGAAGTTTTCAGAAAATATTCCAGTACATTTAAAGTCATACTTCCATTTTCAATAACATAGATACGATTGTATTTCAAATACATTTAAATTAAATATTTACAGTAAATAAGTAACTAAAATTTGAGAGCACACTTTTTAAACCGTTCCAAAAGCAAAACCAAAAAAAAAGGTTATTTTCAAAAGTAATCATTGAAAGACTCTAATCCGTGATACGCAATCGCAGTGTTATATTTTGTAATGCTATAATATAATTTGATTTCCAAACTATTTTCCAAGATTATGGTAGTATTTTTAGATGGAATTTGGACATAGATTCTTCTTTTTAGCAATGAACTTGAACGGGACGTTAAAAGCTTATCGATAGAGAACCATCCCCTATAATTTATGCCACGACCAATTGGAAAAGTCAGGCATAATTAAAGCAGTTCATTAATTGGGGAGGTACTGAAATGGTGCCACATGTACAAAAACCTCAATTTTTTAAGTCATGCTTCGCCTAATTGTTATTCCGAATTCGCTAGGAATATTTTTGCTCTGACCGCGGTGAAAAAATGGCAATCTATTTCTTATCGGTCGGCCTTTAAACCTCAAATATGCATTTATTCCCATTGCTTGATAAGTTCCACTGATCTTGGGTGATTTCCTTCGTAATTGAATTGTTCTTGAACGCAACGAGGGAACTTTTTTTTATAAGTTCTCTTGGGGCATGAGGAATTTACTTATACTGGTTTTCTATTGGTTTTGTCTCTTTTGAGGGCTGCAGAATATATGATATCATCGATTTCTTTCGACCTCCCCCATTCAGCGAAATTTATGAGATTTATGTTGATATTCTCTTGTTTGGCGTGCAATTGCCTGGCATTTGTTATACTTAAAATGGAACGCCCAAAAAGTCTGAAAATTAAGAATACGCTACACACACAAATTTTTGTTTTCCAAGTGTGTAAATATATACCTATAAATTTATGCGTTCTGGTGCGAGAGTGTGTGTTTGTGTGTCGAAAATATATTGATATCATCGCGGCATCTGGATTTCAGAGCTTTACCATGTGGACTTGTTGGATCTCGTTTTTAGTCTTTCATCTCAAGAACAGCTGACGATTGCGTCATTTTCTTTCTGTGTGTCTCTCGCTTTGAGCAGTTTTTAATCCACGAAAAAATCCTTTTATGATGTCATTTTAGATGTTGCATGTCGCTGGCCTCAGGCAGCAAAATCTTTTTTTTCTTGTAGCTACCAGAAAATCAATAGTGAGCCAGGAAATATTCAGTGTGTTTTCTGCTGCCCCTTGCAAACAAACAAAACCCAAACAGCAAGCTGATGTCATCATTCATTGCCTTCTATTTGGGCCGTTTTTTGATTTCGTTTCTAACTTGTTTATTCGCTGGTCCACTCCACTTCCTTTCTTTATATGCTACGTTGCTAGTAACTAATACAAAATTTGTCTATAAAAATAGCTTTTATGTTTATAAATCGCATATCTGATTGGATAAGTCCAGATTTCTAGATCAAAAAACCAAAAAAGCTAAGCCGCAAAGTAATTTCATCGTTAAAAATCATTATATTTATAATAAGCTTTTTTCATGACAAGGTCAATTTTGTTTTTTGGGTTAATTTTATTTAAATATGAAATATTTGTTGGTATCAATTTCTAATTTATTTAATAATGAAATACACTACACTACATGGTTCCACTTTTAATCAAATAATTTTCATTGAAAATTAAATTTAAAAATTATTTTATATATTAGACATAAACCATTTTTTAACGTATTTTTCAACGGTATTTGTTTGAATATAAAATTAAATACCTATTGCTATTTCTAACCAACATGTCACTTTCCTTCAGCTTTGATTATTGGCTCGATTTCAAAATGATTTTTTTAAACCAAATTCCATAACTGCCAAATATAAATATAAATATATTTTAGATTTATACAGTGCGAGCAAAAGAGTTGGCTTGGTTGAAGGAAGAGGGTTAAGGAGGCGCAGTGCGTGTTGTTGTGGGTTAAGGGGATTCTATGCCGGTTCGCGGTTTTCGCGGTTGCCGCGCTTAGGATGTTTGTTGTTTTACTTTTATTTATCTTTTTCTTCGTTACCTTGTTGTTTCTTCTCAACAGAGAAAAAAAGTGTTATTAGTGATTAGAAAAATATTTAAAAAATGGATTTACATTTGTAGTAAAAGGTTTATTTCCCTAAAACCTATAGTGAAAATACCAAAATTTTATTTAATTAACTTAGAAACTGGATATTAAATAATAAAAATTCTTTAAGTTCAGATTTATATCTGACAAAGCGTAAAATTATTAAAATAGTAGTAATAGTATAGTAATAATAAAACTGAGATTTAATGTAAAAAAGTTAATGTGTCATATTTTTTTGATGAACGTTTGTGATTTATCTTTTCGCGCTGTGCATTTGCTAGTTTCGCTTGTTTTATCATCCGTTTTTGCGGCTGCTCTAGGTGCCAGTACCGTTGCTCTGCGAGTGCATTGCACTTTTAAGTGTTTTCGGGTTGGGAAATCGGGGGGCGGGTGGTCCGTGTGGAAAGCGGGAAAAGACGGCAGAGAAAACCCCATGTGGCACAGTTGCACACAGACGAAAAAACAGAGACAGACAGACAGGAGTGGCGACTGCAATTTGCATTAGCCTTTCGCTATGTTTTAGTTCTTGTGCAGTCACCTCCAACTTCTTTTTTCCATTTTCCGTTTTCCATGCCCAATGGGGCTACTTGGGCCCTCTTGTCATTTGGGTTAAATGTGTGCAAACATAGAAAAGGGGCATGGCTTTTTGGTTAATTAAACTGAGAAAAATGAATAGAATGTAACTTTTATATTAAATCAGTATATTTATTAATTCAAATTTCAAAAAATATTAATTTGCTTTGTGAATTTAGTTTCATTTCGAAACATCAGACGATTACTCAGACATTTTATTATCTACCATTTGCTTTGCAATACGTAAACGAAATGATCGAACTCTTACAGATTACCGAACTCTTTGCCAATCTTCGTCCGCCATTTAATTGATCAATCAACAAACTGCATGAAAAAACAACACAATAAAATGGCTTTATCTTTATTTATTTTGGTTTACCAGATCTCAAAGCGATCGAGTTTCGTTTTCTGCAATTGTCAGTAATCCTTTATCGACATTTATTTGATCGAAGCTGTCATTTAATTTGTTCTATCATAAACAAACGTCAAATAAAGCTTAGTCGGGAAAGGTAGCTTTTTTCAAAATTAAATGGTGACTCAAAGCCAATTCATTCTCATATCTTCCCCGGTGTATTTTTTCAGGTATGTAGGTATTATCGGACACACCCAGTGAGAAAAAAGATGTATGACAAGCTTTGCGTTTGTTTGAGCCTCTCTTTTCGTCTCTCTTTTTTTTTTATTTATTTTATATTTATTCTTCAATTTTGGTGGGAAATTGAGTTGTACAATTGATGTTGCCAAGTTATTTATTTTATGAATAATAGCTACGGGGCGTGTTTAACTGATCGTTCAAATTTATACAGTAAATATTCAATAGGAAAGCAACATTTCGTAGTACATTATATTATAAATTGCCTTACGACGATTTTCATATGTAAATGAAAAATATAATTATCTAAACTCATGGAAGTGTAACCTATTTAAATGATCGACATATGTATATTTATAATTATTTGAAATCAAGTTTGCACAGCTGAGACTACCCACATCAGATTATTGTTTCTTATGCTGCATTGCTTTTTTTACCTTGGGGAATTCTAAATAAAACCATTAGTTTGATGAACATTTTTTTAGGACTATTTTTGGTTTTTTTTCCCCGACATATACTTCATTTCCCCCTTTTTTTAACATTTGCGTACTGCTAGTTGTGGGCCTAAAACTTCCGTTTAGTGCGTTAGTTGGTCCGCTTTAAATGTGGTTGAATTGTGGGGATGTAGAGGAAAGTTGGTTAGTCGAGCTCCCGTTTCATAAATTGCATTATGTTGCCGGCGAGTGGAGTGAAGTTGCCACCGCCAGAGGAGCATTGAACTTCTCGTCTGTGGTCCGGAAACCTGACAGCAACTCCCAGTGGAAAATGTGCCCCTTCTTTTTTCCGCCAGCCTTTGGTTAAAAGTTTTGCGTCAGCTTTGCTCACTTCCTTTGAATTTCTCGCTCACGCTTTTCATCCACGAGAGGTGGAGTTTTTTTTTGATTGATTGATTGTGGAAAAGTTTATACTTTTTAGTGGGTTAAAAAGCGGCTTAATTAAGTGATAAAGTTGGTTGATTATATTTGTTTCATTTTCTTCGTAAAAAAACAGTTCAATTTTTTGTAGACAGTTTTTACCAGATCTTTAATTATTGCTCACTGTAAACAACCTATTTTTTTTATTATATAAATAAAATAGCTGCTCTGCCATTTGATGCTGCATATATAGCCTTTTGACTTTGGCCGGATTGGCTGGATTTGTAGATAGATAAATGAGATAACGTTTGGTCAGCCGTCAGTACATCATTCATTCATTCAAGCATTCAATCCATTTCCCATGCTGACCACACACAAAAATTATAAAAAAAAGAAAGACAAAGAAGAAGCGGAATTCATTTCATTCACATTGATTGGGGTGGCTTCGGATTTTTGGATCACATCAGGGGTTAACAGCGTGTGTATCCGTATCTTTGCAACTTTGTAGATACTTTGGTTTGGCTGCATTGGTGTTTGGTCGCGTGTCAAATAACTGTGCTTGCAGCTGTTTTCCGAGGGATGGAAACTGCACATATATGTGGATGGATTTGTGATATGGAGTGCCCGATTCATTGTCCTTTTTCAGGGTCCACGTTTTCCTGTTTGCCCGCTACCTAAACAGCAATTTTGCACTTATTTACTTTCGGGTCTGCCTCCGGAGAATTTCCACTTTCTACTCTTAATTGCCCACCGAAAGTCAACAGTTCTTAAATGAGAAACGAGAAATGCTGGTAGCAATCCCCCCTTAAATTAACAAAATTTATTGGCATTTAATGCGCTGGCATGAGGGCGAGAAAATTTCTTCTACTTCTGCACTATGTCGCAATAAAAAATGAATTTTCCAAAGCTAGGAAAATTAGTCACCACAAGCAACGTCAAATTAATTAAATGGGGGGAGGAGGTTCGTGGTGTGTGCTTATTAATTTGCTCTGATTAAAGGCCCGAAATGACCCCTCAAGAGTCATTCAATCGCTCACTTTTCCCCACTCTGATGAGGCGATGGAAATAAAAGCGGAAGAGGAAGAGAAAAAGCTTTCTAAGCCGCCTAATGAATCGGCCCCCCGGAAAATGACTAAGCTATGAAAATGAAAGGAGAACTGGGTGTGACAAATGGGGGGCATGTATGGCACTGCAATGCAGTCGAATCAAAGGGCCAAGGCCACTGAAAATCCAAGTCAACAAGACAAACAAAATTTAAAACTGCCTGCAAAACTTTAGGGTAACTTCAAACTATCAGTAAACATTTAAAAATGCTTGTGCATTTTGAATAAATACAATTTTAACATATATTTTTCAAAAATTTAAAAAGAAATTAACAGTGTAAAATAAAATTTAAATAAATGAATTCTATTTTTAAAGACTGGGTTATGGGTAACATTTTTATATGTAAGGAATTAAATAAATCTGGATCTCTTTTCTTGGGGTATTTTTTTTTAACGCAATATTATTGTTTGATCAAAGCTTATATTTATTTTACAATATAATCAGCCTAGCCCATATTTAAAAGCCAACAGATGTTAGGAGTTGTTCTTACATGATCTTTCGCTTTCTACGGCTATCAAATGCAACTCAGCATTATCCTTTATAGCCGCCATATGTTGCATACCAAAACTAAAATGTATGTCTGGCTCCATTTCCACCCTTGGCTGCATTTCGCTGTCGGAGACCTTACCAAATTAATAAATTAGCATAAATTATCAATTAAAATGCGCTCAGTCAGCGATTCGAGTTAGCGGCCAACAGCGATAGGGGAAGTAATTTCAGGTTTGGCTTTCAGGATCGCTGCAACCACCCCGACCTATAGATAGAGATACATATATATGAATTTATGGTGGTGCCTCCGAGCGTCAGCTGGCACCTATATCAGCCTTCCATCCCCCTATGCACTTTAGCACTATTAATCAACTTCCTCCGGAGCCATCCAACCCCAAAAAACGACTCGTGCTGGATTTTATCATCTCCCGAAAATTTCTTTTAATTTTATATTATTTTAGGGGGTTACAGGGCTTTTGCAAAAATAAAGTAATTTAATCACCCTTTTTTTCTTCTTTAAATAATTTTAAAAACTCAAATTAATTGGATCGATACTTTTTCAGATATATACTTTAAAGTAATGATACGATTTTCTTCAAATGGACACATTAAATAATTTTGAGATAAATTAACAGAAAAATGTACAGTTTAAATTTAAAAATAATTGTGTCACCAGTAATAAAGTACAGCAGATGTGTTTCCTTTTAGTTGAAGACTTTTTAAAATTCGGTTAAAAACACTAATACCTTAAATGCACCAATAAAAACGATAATTTGTTCATATACACGATTTTTATATCGATTGTTTATTTTTGGTCTTTTCTTTTAAGTTATTTTAAATAAAAGCTTAAGCTAGAGAAAAAAAATTTAATTTTGTAGATTTGGATATACACAAAGTACATATTTGGTTTGAAAACATTGCTTCACCTTGGTATTTTATTATTAAAATTTCACATGATTTGTTTTGGAAGCTTTGGGTTTAACTGCAGCTATTTTTGATTATCTCCTTATTTTTGGTTAAATATATGTTATTAATACTTATTTATTTTTTTTTTGTGTTTAAAGCACTCAATAAGCAGGGCCTATAAAATATTTTCCTAATTTATCGCTCAGATCTCCACCACATAGCGACTGCTGCCCGAGGGACTTATGGAATAGTAGCTGTTCTCTGAAAAATGTAGTAAAGCATAAAGCACATTAGATTTGAATGAGTAACTTATATAATATAAAATTTTTAAGGAAATGAAAAGGTGATTTTTAAAATAATTGGGCACGATATTTATGGATTCCACAATACTCACCTTCGTCGCTATCGAAGCTATAGAAATTGTCATCATCGCGGGTCATTGACCGTCGGCTGCGTCGTTGATGCTGGAGGACTTGAACGGGATTCTGGTTGAGATTGGAACTGTGGTTCGGAATGGGATTGGAGTTGGAGTTGATGTTCGTGGGCGTCGAACTTCGCCGGCTGCTGGGAAAGGATAACGGAGAACCGTACTCCGATCTGCTGCAATTGGAGTTCTGGCGATCCAGAGCTAATTCCATGGACTTCTTTTTCCTACTTCTTGCGATCTCGTCCTGTTCGTCGGTTGTTTGCCTTGCATTGTTGTTATTGAGAGTTATTTGTGGTATTACCACAGCCCGATTCGTGGGTGTCACCGAGTCCATGGTCTGTCTTTCGGTTATTTGAAGCTCCAAGATTTGCTCCATCTCCGGCTCCACCTCGTCCTCTTCTTGGCCACTTCGCTCGTACTCCTCGCTGTGCATCCTCCGTGGACAAAGTCGGGGTCTACCGCCCTCGAAACGGGATATCAGCTTATTGACCTTGCCCACATCCCCTGGTCGCACCTGCTCGTTGTAGGTGAGTCGCAGGGAACTGGTTTTGACCAGGGGCTTGGCCGGTCGCGACATGGAGGCGCTTCTCTGGGGTATACCTCGACTGGCAGGAGCAGCGGGTGCTACTGCGGTAGCAACAGTTTCTGGGGGAGGGGGCGGTGGTTTGCTGATGGGCAGCGGCGGAGGCACTGCATCGTAAATGGGTGGCGTTGCCGGGCGTTTAGGGGCGGTCGTCGCTGTGGAAGTGGCGGCGGCGGTGGCGACTCTGATGGCGGTCGCTCCGAGGCGTCCCTCTCCGAGTACCGGTCCTGCTCCTGCTCCTGCTCCTCAGCCAACTCCGCATCCTCTTCGTCCTCCTCCTCCTGGGCCATCAGGCTCTCCCTACTATTCCCGATCTGTGGACTCTGCACCCGTATCCTAGTGACCCGGGAGCTGCTGTCGTCCGCCTCCTCGCCACTGGTAGTAGTATCGATACTACTCCCAGCACTTATCCTCAAAACTGGGGCATTTCGCAGGGCCTCATCGAAATCGGCAAAGGCTGCGGAGCCGCCCGCCGACGCCTCGAATATATCGATGCTCTTGGGCTTGTACAATGTCGGAGCTGGCCAGGATGCCTGCTCCTTGAAGCCGGCGATGATCTGTTCGTTGGGCAACCAAGCGTTGGCCTCAGCTGGTGGGACTTTGATGCCCGCTGCTGGGGTCTTGAATTCCGGCGATGGACTTCTCTTAGCCGTCGGTTGGGCACCCGAATCACCAGGATAACCAGAGGACGGTGAACAGGACGAGCTCCGTGGTCCAGAAGATGAAATTGTGATCTCAGGATAGGGAGAACCTCTGGGGCCAGTAGCAGGGAAACTTTTAACGCCAGGGCGAGGCGAATAACCGACACTTCTGATGCCCGGAGAAACGGAGCCCTTCGAGGCAACCGCTATGATCAGCGTGGACTCGTAGGCATCGGAGTGCTCCTGGTGGATAAGAACCCTCGGATAGTCCTCGTCGGCTATCTCCTCCAGCGATTCGCTGCTCCAGGCAGCCGCTCCGCTCTTTGACGCCGCCTGAATCTCAGCCAGCTTCGCCATCTGGCGAGCAGCGTGGGTGGCCGCAGTTCCCGATAGGGATGGACCCTTCCTTGCCTGATCCGGATCCTCCGGCTGGATCTGGCCAAACGCCTCTTCAGCGGATATATCTTCGCCACTGTCATCGTTCTGGTCGTTCTCATTCTCGAGGCTATCGCTGCGATGGTAGGTGGCCGCCAGTTCCTCGTCATCATCGATTTCGACCGGCTCGTGGCCCACTGTATTGGGTTTGGGTTGCGACATTTCCGGGTTTTGGCTGGAGTGGCGCTGAAAAAACTTAAGCTGATGCACCTTCTCATTGAGTTTGGCCAGGGTCTTCTCCAGCTGAGAGCCCAGGAGCAGGCCGCCCAGAACTCCAGATGTCGCCGTGGGCTCTACATTTGCACCCGGTGTTCCTTCGCCCTCTTTGGATTCCTTCGAACTCTTGAAGCTCTTTCGCCAACGCTGCTGGAGCTGTTCTGTGGATGCAAATCGACTGAGACGTGCTCTCAGATTCATGGAGGAGCTTTTGCCAGGTTGATCCTTGGGCTTATCGCCCTCGCCCTCGCCGTCCTCTTCCTCATCCGAATCTGTGGTGGCCTTGGGCTTGATCTTGGCTGGCCGTTTAATGGACTTTCTAAGCCTCTTGATGTTTTGCCTAATGCCCAACTTTGAGCTGGGATTATTCTCCTCAGCATTCTCATCGGTCTTGGACGCCTCCTCTTTGCCCCTGGAGAGTTGTGGCAGATTGGGTAGACTTGGTAGATGGGGCAACTTGTTGAGCAATTGCTTATAGCTACTGGGACGTCGTGGAGGTGGCACTTGGTTTGCTGATGATTCCACTTCCGCGGCCGCCTGCTCCTCCATTTCCAAAGGAGGCTTCCTAACCTTTGCGAATCTGGTGGCGGCTATACCTGGCTTTCGGCGACTTGGTAGTGGCGGTGTGGCCTCCATGCCGCTCTCATCGGTTTCGTGGCTGATCTTGCCCTTCTCGAACTGTTCGTGCTCCACCTCGTCGTCGTCGAAGGTGTTTTGACGGGTGCCCACCAATGTTTTGATCTTGATGTCATAGTTCTCGGCTATTTCGCGATCCCTGCGTTCCCGGGCCAGTTTCTCCGATTTCAGCTCCCGCTCGTACTGCTCCACATAGCGATCCACCTCGATGTTGTCCTTTCGTACCGTCGTTTGCTTGGCGAAGATGTGTTTCAGCCTCAGTTCGCTGAGACTCTTGTAGCCCTTCTGCAATCGTTGGGTTAACGTGGTGCGGGAATTCCCAGTCGGAGGGGTGTCTGCCCCGCCAGTTGGTATTTTGATGGGACTGATGGGTCGCGAAGCCCTTTCCCCGCTTCCGGGTGCATAGTAATCGTCGTCGAGACTCCCAGCACTTCTATACGTTCCCGGCTGTGATCGTCCCAGGTTTGCCCGGCCCTCCTCGTGATCACCCTCGTACATCAGCGAACTGATGGTCGAGATCCTCTGGGGCGTCCTGTTGATAAACTGCTGGGACTGGGGGGCCACCTGGAGATGAGATTGCTGTGGCTGTCCTCCATCTTTCGTGGATCCTGCTGCTGCTCCACCGGCTGCATCTGCTCCGCTCTTGGAGCTGCGAAAAATCTTGCGACCGCGCAACTTGGGCAACGATTTGGGCAACTTCAGTTGAGGCAATTTCGCTGCGGGGAAAGTTTTATAAAATTAAAATATAATTTTTGATGATTAATGAATTAAATAGTGAATTTTCTAAAAAATGTGAGGAGATACCAATCTACCAATTTTTTAAAAGGTAGTCAAAACTTATCATCTGTTTCCGTTTTTTATTTGAAAGCACTAACAATTCGTTTTTGGAGATTGAAAATAAAAGAGATTATAATAATTTTTAAAACTACATTTGAAAATCAAAAAACCTTTATGTAAAACCAAATAAACCAAGTCCAAAATTTTAATTTTTCAAAAGTATATCCTAAAATGCAGATCAAGTTTGAAGTGTTCACCAAAATCTCTCAAACTTACATCTCAAATTCTCTACATCGATGCGCTGACATAGATTTCGGAAATCCATAGTGGAACCAATGCGATCCGTATTCCTATTGGGATTTTGCTCCGAAGTTACGGAGTTACGTCGCTCCAACTGCGATTCCGATTGCACTTGATGGATATGATGATGGTAGTGATGGAACTGGTGCTGCTGCTGTTGCTGGTAGTTCATCGCACCACAGCTAAGATATATCCACTATATCAGTAATGCGTTTGGGGACCGAAACCGAAAGCTAGAAACTGGGAACGTCCGTTGCAGTTCAGCATTTTAGCCAGTTTGAAGAGGCTCCGGCGGAGAATAACGCAGAAAAACACGGACTACGGCTGCGGCACTGGCACCTGTCAATGGAAAATCGCTAATTCAATTAGCACACGGGGGCTTTTCCAACCCTTTGTTTTGGTGCAAATACAGGGTATTTCTCCGGCATTTCACTATATAACTTTGATCGGTATGGAGATGGGGTCATCAAATTTGGTATGTGGTTTAAATGGAAAGATAAATTTAATGTTCACATAAATACCCAATCGGAAACTTATTCATCCTCTTTTTATAACACATTAATGTCTGGAATAAATTAGTTTTTTTTTTAATAAATATTTAGCTGGTTCATACTCTTACTCATTTCAAATCATAACAACATTTGTTTTCCATTGTAGGAAAATCATACCAAGAGGTATTTCATATATAGCACCTTGTGGCACATGGTTCTGGCTTGTTTTTCCCTCTTCCTCGGCGCTGTTTTTGTGTTTCCTCTGCCAACTGCTAACTGCCCTGGCACATTTTCTAACCAGGTCTATGACGTTACCTCGTACTACCCCCCACATCCATATGTGTATATATTGATTCATTGACGGTTCTGCGTCTGGTTTTGGTTTTCTGTTGCATTTCGTTTTTCCATTGTATCAGTTCTCTTGGCCACTTCCTCCGCGTTTGTTTTCACTGTCCCAAGGCAAATATCGTCGCAAAAGTAATAAATTCACAATAATCGATTCTCGGTTAGTTTTCCTTTGTTTTTTCTTTTTGTTTTTGTATTCTAGTTTTTGGCTTTGCCTTTTGTGCGGTTAATGATTTAAAATGACAAAAAGCATTCGACATCGAATTTGTGGGGGTCTCGCTGGTCAAGGCGAAAATGTGTGTTTTGTGTGGTTGCAAAATTGCCTTTGGAAAATGATACATTAATACATTATTAAAATACATTTTCTTTAAATATGGTTCAAAAATGTGTTTTAAATTTAATATTTTCGATTAATTTATATTAGGTATATCATACATTGTGCCTTATTTCAATGTGATTTATCTATTGCAGATTCAAATACAAATTAAATTCAGACTTTAGAAAAAAAAAGAAATTACTAACAATTTTGGGAATTTCGAAGTTGTCAAGTTTTGATTGTATGCCTTCCTCCCAAGACTACAATATTAAAAAAAAGGAATTAATTTTACAATTATTATTATCTTTACGATAGTTTAACCACAACATTTTAAAAATAAACATTTTAAAATATATTGAAGCTTTGTGTCAGTCCTAAGCAACAACTTAACATAAAAATAAAATATAATTTATTACCTGAAGATGCAAATTTAAAACGTACATACTTATTACCAATTTTAAATATATATGTATTAAACCAATTTTGAAAATTACCGTTGACAAATAAGCTCTCTTGATGAGACATCTGGTAGTCATTAAATGAACACTTTTCCCGTTGAAATCAAGTTAAATAATCGTATTACTCACGGCTCTTTTTCTTCTTCTTTCATTTTCTTTTCAGACAAGAGACGTGCTAAAGTTTTACCGCCACCCAACCGCCCACTTAGTATGCCATTTCACTCGCACTTGTCGCGTCGCGATTTTCGCAATTTTCTCAATTGAAAAGTGTAAAGTTCTAGACGCCATTATCATCGTTGTCATAATCTCATTTGCAGTGCAACAGCAGAAAGTAATAAAAGCTCGGCTCGCATGCAATTTTCATTAGTGGGAAAATTGTTTGATATTTAAGAGACATCCGAGGAATAAACAGAATCAACAGCAGACACATTCCAAACTAAATTAATAATAGAAAAATAAAAGTAAAAACATAAACGAAACAACACTTGAGGGGGCGAGCGGAGAGCCAAACGAAAAAAATGTGGCGGCAGTCAACGATGCTGGCCGCGCTATTAGTGGCTCTGTTAGCGGGCAGTGTAGCGAGCAAATGTAAGTAAAACTAAAAATCAATTTTAAATTTCTTTAAAAAAAAATCCAGCTAAAAATCAAAATGTAATCTGTAAATGTTGCCCAATAATTATGTTCTGTTCGTATAAAATGAAACACGATACAATTTTGATAACTCACGTGGGCTTTGTTTATAGCTAGAATTTAAAGAAACTCATTTAAACCGTTCATAGATCACCTTAAAACTTAAAACCCTGATCGCCCTCTAAGTGTATTCCCCACGGTCCTGTGTTTAAAATTAGTAAACAATTTTTGAATGTGCTAATAATACTCAGGGTTTTCTGAGGGGAGTCCACAATTTATGCGATCAATTAGTTTGTTGGGACCCAATGCTCATCGATCTTTTCCCTTGTTCCTCCGCATCTTTAGCCAACTCCCCACCAAGAATCACCAAACAACCGACACCCGGAGAACTGCTCTTCAAAGTAGCGCAACAAAATAAGGAGAGTGACAATCCATTCATTATCGAGTGCGAAGCTGATGGACAACCCGAACCAGAGTAAGTAAACGATCGGGAAAATATATACATATATATGCATATATGGGAGGGTTCTGGGGCACAAACATTGTGGAAATAGTTCGTGCGGTTAAACCTATTAGATCTCTTTTATATCCCCAAGGTGTCTATACATTTATGTACTCTGCTCTCTATTTTAATTCACATAAATCAAATTTAAGCAGTCGCGTCTTTAAAGCATCTTATACCAAAATTCGTTCAAGAAATTAGATTTGTTGTTTATTCATTTCAGCCTCGTTGTTCTAGACTTGTTGTTTTTTACGAAAGAAATCGCGTCGTCACAAGTATTTTTAATTCATTGGAGAACAGCAGGAAGCACGTTTTGGGGAAACTGCCCAAACAAATAGTTATTAGTGTTTGAATCTCTGCTCTAAATAGATTTTTATAAAGTTTTGTATGATTTGATTAAAGCTTTCATAGTCATTTATTTAACTTAAGATAAAATCATTTTCCCTTAAACTTTAAAGTTTATTTATAATATAAATATAAAAAAAAATTGTTTACAACATTAAAGATAAATAATCAAACCTCTTTATTTGATTGTACTTTATAGGGTAATAAATGTTCAACATTCTAAATATAAGGCTTCATGCTTATTGTGTGGTCTATTGTTGTTGATCTATTTTTGTCGACGAATCATCTAAAAAAATATTTCTTAAAGTATTTAAAAGTTTGATTTCGCATCCTCTCTTATTATATATTTTTGATAATATAAGTCACCTCTGAGTAATTCATAGTCTTGGTCTATTAGAGCGATTTGAACCTGTTTCCTAAACACGTTTCGTTTCGGTTGTTTTATTCATAGTTTTTAATCATTTTTTTATTAGAACGTGTACTTGGGACCGAATGCAGGGGAATTGAGTCATTCGCTTGAAAAATGCGGAATTTTAAGTTAAAAATTCGAGGCAGAGGGCAAACGGCTGTTGATGATGGTATGACCTCATTGCCAAAGAACAGAAGGGGTGTGGACAAAAACGGAATAGAACAGCAGCGGCATTATGTGCCATCAAAACATTCCAAAGTGCCAGTGAAACATTTTTGTGTTAAAGAATATGAAATAAAAATAGTTTTTCCCTCGTTTTTATTCCAAAAACTAGAAATGAACTGTACCATTTCTTTTAAATTATTCATAGTTTTTAATCAACAAAATTCGATATCAGCTTTAGAAATTGTTGTTTTAAGAGGATATTTACTACAAATTAAATAAATTGCAAATATCTCTCTATTTAATATGATATGAAATTATTGGCGCTTTCGAAAACATTAAAGAATTTTTAGTGGATTGATACTATTCTTAATATTATTCTGGATTAATAGTATTCTCTAAACAACACAAGTGCAAGCAGAGCGCAAGCAGAGCGCAAGCAGCGCAGTAGCAGCGCTGCCGACGTCGGCAGAATAGCAACAGATGGTCGAATGCCAGGCGCACACACACAGATACGCATACGCAGGCACATACACACACACACATGCAGAACGTGAGAAATGTGCAAGAATAATAAGAAGAAGAAGCAGAAGGAATGAGAAAATTGTGTGTTGTTTATTTTTACACGTACCAAAACTAAAATGGGTTAATAGTGGGAAATGTGTGCGCTTTTCTTTCGGCCCCCCTTCGTATTCCCCTCTCGCCCCTTTTCATCATCTCCCTCTCTTTCGCAGCAAGTGGTTCAGGTACAGTGTTAGAAAAATATAAAAAATATCAGAGGCGAAGCGGTAATATCACAAAAACCAGTTTGACCGGATGGCCAAGCACGCTGAGAATATTACCCAAAACGAAATGGAAACAAATTATATGAAAAAAAGAAATGAACTCAACTATGCCGGCAAAGCATTACGTAATTTTACGGGACAATTTTTAAACAAATTTGATTTTTCATTAGTTTCTTTGGGCACCATCTAGGCAATATTACAAGAAGCTAATGATAAAATACAATTTATTTTTAGTCAAAGGAAAATTAAAGATAAAACAATAATTTTATTTCTTTGTTAATTCGATACTTACTAGTTTGGATGAATCTTGTAAGTAGTTGCCGCCCGTGCAACTAAATTAATTAATTAATTCAAAAAAATGATAGAAATGATAAATAAAATGGTTTTAAAAGTTAAACTCATAATGGATTTAATTAAGCCATAATAAGATCATTAGATAGTTTGCTATCTCGATAAAATAAATCGAAAGTCTATGCACATTTTGTAATTGCACAATAGTTGCAGACTTGGGAAAGATATATATATATTACAGAGCAAATAGTGTGGGTATAAAACGGAAATTATTGACCAATTTTCGTATTTTATCTTAGGCATGTAATAAGCTAAATTACAGCCATTTTTTCTTTCTCATTTTTAATTCATAACTATTTGGTTATGCTCGTTGGTTTGTGTTGGTTTCAACTGCACAGAGAGAAATATAGCAGAAATAAGGTTTAAAAACTTTAAAATATTGTGTAAGCTGTTTTAAAGTTGGATTTCTTGTTATTGCTGTAAAAAGTGTATTTGGAAAGTTTTGGGGACTTTGGTCTTTTTGTAGATACGAGTATATGAAATTATAACTTGTGAAACAACATTTGAATGAAATCTTTATATAAACTCTTAATTCTTTTTTAATTTATGGGTCAAAACATAAATTAAATTAGATTGTTTCTTTATGAATAGTTTTAGTTAAGGTGTATAAAATCTGAATTTAGGTCATATAAATTATATTCATGTCGGACTTTTTTCTGTGTTTGCATTACATCAGTGGCACGCTTAATTTTCTTTTTTTTTTTTTTGCTATCTGGGTTTTTTGTGTGTTGCATTCTATCTATATATCTACATCTATATCTATCTATACGCCTCTGTGATTCGGCCTGACATACTTTTATTGTTGTCATTGGCCGATGTCTGGTGTCGCTTTTAAATTTTTTCTATTGCTACTTTGCTGCTGATGTTGCTGCTGTGTATATGTTGCTGTTGCTGCTGCGTGTATGTTGCTGTTGTTGTTTCTGCTGCTGCTGTAAATGCATAACGCAATGCGTGCACAGTTATTTTTAGATACCAACCCAAAGTGATACAATGATTATGATTCAACGATAAATGATTCAGATGATAATGATTATGCTGTTCGCACCCACATTTTGTTCTTTTTGTACTTTTTTGTTCTTTCTTAAAAAAAATAAGTGTAAAAAATGCGTCCTATTACCGTTTTTATATTATTTTCGATTTATTGCTTAAAAATGTTTGAATCACAGAATGTAATCAATGTACGAAAATGACTGTTTCTGCCTTGCAAATGTTTATCCAACTTTTAGAATTTTATTATATATTTTTTTAGCTACTCTAAATCTTGAAGTCTACAAACTGAGTCAGAATCTCAATTGATTGCAGTTAATATTAGGTGCAGACACATATGGTCGTTGTGTAGAAACAAAACCAACTGACGCATCGAGAGAAATGATTAATTCGTATGGAGATAAAACCAGACGAGATTGAATGATTAAAAAGATTAAAATAATCCAAATGAAATTAAAAACATGTTTGTTTCCTAATCATTTATCATTCGTTTTGTGTTACAAATTTCCCCCTGAGGTTGGTCTACGATTATATCTGCGTATTACTTTCCATTTTTAACTATTTCCATACGGTCTGTGCCTCGCCTTTTCTACTCTCAAAAGTGGCAGTCCGTAGGTTAAACAGTTCAATTGAATCGGGTTAAAGCGCAGCTATTTAAACCTCTCAATTTTGTTCGAAACATTTTGAACAAGCAAAATAAAATAGATGTTCCTCAAGCTGCCCTTGAATTTTAAAGAGTTTAGGCTCAGCTTTTGAAAGAAAATAAAAAAACTTACTGTCTTTGATTTTCAAAAGTTGTTTGTTTGCTTGAACTTTGATGAAAAACTAGTTTTGTGAGTTTTTGTTTATGTTTATGCATGTGTGGGAGCCATGACAATCATATTAACTTTAAACCTACAAATTCTTGGGTTTTCTTTTGTTTGAAGCTTTGAAAAATGATACAAGCAAAGCTTTAAGGTTACGTTAAATTTTTGGTCGCAGTACAAATTCAAAAATATATTTTTGGACAAGTAATATATTTGTGGCACAGCGAAAAAAATAAAATAATTAATAATAATAATAATTAAACTTTTGTTGTATATATATTTTAGATTGGGAAACCTTCCAATATTTTTCAGCTTTTTTTCTCGTCGTAGATTTTCAAGGCAACTCCTAAAATCAAGCAATTAGCATGTTATCCTTGTGACCCAGAATATTCCACATACGCAGTGTAGGACGCCAACAGCTGCCAGCTGCTGGAAGATAAATAGAGATAAAAATATGGAAAAAAGGAGTCGAGTTGGAGGCTCCATTGATTTTTCACACCACGTTACACAAAGTCCTTCAAAAGCTGTCGCTACTAGTTCATGTCCTTGAATGTTATTTTTCTTCGCTCCACTACACTTGGCTCACCCTCCCTTACATCTTCCATCTCCCCCTCGTTAATTTTGTTATTTTAGCTTCATGTTTCCCTAATGATTTTGTCTCGTCAGCTTGGCGCCAAGTTTGCCTCTACCACCCCCGAAAAAATAAAATCAAGGGAAAAGGGAACAAAATAAAGGAAAAAAGTGCAACTGAACAATTCAGTTGTTAAGTAGTCCGATTAAAATCCGGAACTTGCAACCCCAAAGAGATGGAGTCATCAAATGTCTGAAAGCCCGCAAATACAGTGAATACTTGTTGAGAGAATCATAATATGTATGTAGCTTGCACATATTGGTTTAAAATGTTGTTTCCAATATAAATGTTATCTGACCTTAAATAGAATCATAAGTTTCTATAAAGTTCCGATCATTTAAGGGTTAAATAATATTATCTAAAGTAAATAATAAAAATAAAAAATCAAGAGCACGTATATTAAAAGCCACTTTTAGCCCAATCAAAGTCGATTATAATGAATTTCCAGTCACAAAGCTTGACTGTACTTCCTTTTTGGTGTCTCCCCCTTCGCAGAC